ATTTGAAGGGTATTCAGGTGTGTAGCCATGCAAATGAATCAATGCCAATGTTGTGTGCTAACCAGATGCTAGATCAATGATCCATCGATCAACGGTTACGATACAATGAGTTCGGCCCCTGTTACAGCTGCAGCTCTGTACTATCAAAACGTCCTCAACCTCAACGATACTTACATTGCAAACATTACTGCACGAGCAAAGTCTTGTGGTTACACTGACTTCCTCGAATATGCATCAGTATTCCCTCCCGCAGGACCAATCCCAACAGCTCCAAGTTCAAGTGAATATGGTTGTGACCTTTACGATGACATTTACAACGCAGTCTACTACGTCAATCCATGTTTCAATATCTACCATCTCACAGATTACTGCCCATTCTTATGGGATGAACTCGGATTCCCATCTCTCGGTGGAGGTCCCAACAACTACTTCAACCGTACAGATGTCAAGGAAGCTCTCCATGCGCCAGTCGATGTTGATTACTTCATCTGCTCTGGTGGACCCAACTTATTCCCACATGGAGACAAATCCATTGATTCTGCTCTCGGTCCTCTCCCCTCTGTCATCGAACGCACAAACAATGTTCTCATCGGCCACGGACTTCTCGATTTCCTCCTTTTCGCCAATGGTTCTCTAATCACCATCCAAAACATGACTTGGCACGGTCTTCAAGGATTCCAAGAGGCTCCCTCTTCGACGCAAAACTTCTACGTTCCATACCATGAATCCCTTGGTACCATTCTCTCCATTGTGAATGATGCCATCCCCAACGCACCTCCACAATATGACACTGCAGGTGCGGGATACCAGGGAACTTGGCACACGGAACGAGGACTTACGTTCTCGACGGTCAACTTGGCGGGTCACGAGGTTCCTCAATATACTCCTGGAGCAGGATATAGACATTTGGAGTTCTTGTTGGGGAGAATTGCCAATTTGAGTGTGGTCGGTGACTACACGACGCAGACGGGAAATTTCACGGGGGTTAGTGCGCCGTTGAAGATGAGGGGGTTGCATTGAGGCAATGATATAATGAAATAACGAACGTGAAAAGTTAGGATTTTAATGTCAGTAGTGTATTTGCGCTTGTATATCAAGTCTACCGACATGATGATCAGAAATACATACGAATGTCACGGATAGATATCGTAATACATTAGCATCTAGATAATAATGCAAAATGGTTCCTCGACAACTTGAAACCTCTTTCTACATTTGAAATGACATCATACGAAGACAGCAACCATATTTTTTAGTCTTCGGCTTTTGATCTACAATCGAAAACTTCAACCTTAAAATGCCCATCTCTTTTATTCCTCATTTTTCGCTTTATCAAGACATCTTAACTCGTCTTACCCTTCTCTGCCTATCATTCTATCTTCCCGCTCTCCTCCCCAAAACAGGGTTGCCAGCCTTCCTACTAACAGACACACTTGTTGACTAGGTATATCTTCATGGTTCCTAGACATTCGTTATCATGATCGCAGACGGCAGATATCTGACACTCTGAAAGTAGCCAACTTCCCATGAAGCTATCTATATACATAATTAGAAATCAAGCACCCAGATAGCCTGCTCCAAAGTATCAGCAAAGTAGCCCTTAGCACCGAAAAGGAGAACCAGGACACCACATCAAAGCATCTACTTGTAATATGCTTTACGAGGGCGCGAGCGGAAATAGAATGAAATGGGACGGAGAAGGGCTCGAGCGGTTACAGTTTATGGCCGTTGCCCGTTCATCCCGCTTGCTCGTATATTAAGCTCCGTTCACTCGACCTCTCAATTGGTGTTGTCAAGACGAGGAATAAGAAAGTTTATTGGAGACGGGGATTTATTATCCGTACTGTTGAGACTTGGATGGTATTGTTGGGCTTTGGTCTCTTCGATTGCATTCCTTACTGATTGCGTATGTGGAGTTGTGAGTTGTGTGTCAATAAGTGTAAGGTTCCAACCTTATGAGACTATTATCGATGAATGTACCTATCTCTCTACCATTCTTCTTTCGCAAGAACTATTGGCATGTGAATAGTGAAAAAACTGTCCAGTAGGTCCACGGGTACACAAATGCGTAATGCGCCACAAGCGCCACAAGCGCCACACTTCACATTCATCGTTGCTCTGGGCACCTGCACCTCCAGCTGCAAGGTTCTATTGACATGTGAGCCAAAGAATAAAAATACCTAGGCAGGAATCGTCAAATGTCCCAACACAAGGACCATCCAACGGCACAGCTTGGACAATATCCATAATTCTGAGCTGTTCAATCCTCCTCGACATATTTTGTTGAGTTGCCCTTAGGAAATCCTCCATGACCTCCCAGTCGAACCTTCAATATTCTCTTTCGATACTGGGATTCCACCAAGTGTTTGATACTCCACATCCACCATGATTAACAATTCATGGGCTGAGTATGTCTTTATCCGCATTTGTATTTTTGCCCTGCAGAGTATACCACTTATTAGTTTAGCATATTGTTTCAGTCTCGCATTTACTACTTTCTTTACAGATTATGAATTTTACAGAGTCTCGCGCGCTTTGGAAGTCGTGTTCCTGGCCGAATCTTTCTTCTTCCTCTTTTGTTTCCTGCCGTATCGCATTTGGCTTCAACAAGAAGCTATACATCCGCCACCACCGTCGCGAGAAGAGAGAACGATCTTGTATCAGAGGTGTTCAGACAATATCACGGATCCGGAGGCGTATTTGCAGAAATGGTTTTTGGGTGCGGATATTAGGGATATTAGGAAGGAGAATGTAAAGGAGTTCTTTCTTTGGGCTTTCTTTAATCGTGGTGGACTGCCTGGGGATGATGATGAGGAGTTGGAAGATTATATTGCAATTCTGGAGAGGCAGCTGGGAAGGGAGATTCCGGAGGGAAGAGGCAATGCGAAGTGTTTGAGGTTGACATTGGATGAGGTTGTTATGTCGCATAGGAGTTTGATTTGGTATTGTGTAAGTATTCGTATTGTCCATGTGCTGATAATATAAGATGCTAATGTTAATCACCATAGTGTGTCGGCTTTGTTGACTTTCTAACATTCTGTTCCTTGCGTTACCATGGCTTCAACTTTTACCGCACGAATCTCAAACAGTCCCTCAGCATCATTCCTGTTCGCCCGCACAGTCTATTGACTACGTATCATTCGCCCGCTCAGCACATATCGTATTGGCACCAACCGCACACTTCGAAAACCAAACTCCCAGTCGTTTTCATTCATGGCATCGGCATTGGTCTCTATCCCTATACCCAATTCCTTAGCGAGCTCAATGCCTCCACCGGCACACCCGATGATCATATTGGCATTCTTGCTCTCGAAATAATGAACATCAGTTTTCGTCTCACTCATTCTGCCCTCTCGCGCGAGGAAACCGCTCTCGAAATTTCCCAAATAATCAGTCAACATTTCGGGCCAAATCAGAAATTCGTCCTGATTTCTCACTCGTACGGCACGGTGGTGACCACGCACCTTCTGCAATCTCCCATTTTATCCCCGCGCATCGGACCAATTGTTCTCATCGATCCTGTCTCTATCTGCCTACATTTACCTTCTGTCGCGTTTAATTTCACTCGTCGAATCCCGAAAGATGCGAATGAATATCAATTGTACTATTTCGCAAGCATGGATCCGGGAGTTAGTCATACACTGGGAAGGAAATTCTTCTGGAATGAGAATGTGCTATGGAAGGAGGATTTCGAGGGGAGGAAAGTTACGGCAAGTTTGGCGGGAAGAGATTTAATTGTGGACACAGAGGCTGTGGGAAGGTACTTGAGTTGTGGAAATTTATCTGGCCAATCGACTCCAAGTTTGAAGGTTACGAATGGAAATCCGAATGGAACAGTCAAGAGTATCTCGAATGTGGCTGTCGCGCCTTTGATAGATATTGATGAGCCGGGAGCTAGAGAAGTAGAAAGACCCGTAGAGGTAGATAGTATACAACAAGATGGCGTGGATATAGAAGATGAGGATGAGTGGAAGTATAGAGAGTGGAAGGGAGTAGGAACAGAAGTTTTGTGGTTTGGAACATTGGATCACGCGCAAGTCTTTGACAAGAAGGCTACAAGGAGAAGAATCATTGATGTTGTGAGGAAATATTGCGAGGATGATGCAGAAAAATAGTTTGCGATTTGGGGAGTTTCGAAAAATAGAGAAGAGGGGAGATTAGATTCGATTAGATATCGAAGACTTAGACAGATCAGGTGTATACTATGGTGGAGTGGGAGGAGAAAAAGACATGGAGTGATTCGCCTATAGACCTACAAAGACCTTTAATCCTCGTCGAATACCTAAGATCTATACCAAGGAAAGAATGGTATTGAAAAGCATGCGTCTTCATTCATACGCGGCACACAATGTCAGAGTGAATCACGCATCAAGATTGAATAGGACGATTCAAAACTCCCTACTGATATAAGCTAAACAAACCATTTCAAAGTCCCAATCCAGATTTCTCTTACTGTTACAATCTCGAAAAAAAAAAAACTCTCGTTTGCCTGCCAACAGGCGTACGTACGTAGTCTGATGTCTTACATATGGAATTCTTCAAGGTATTTGGATTATTTGATCTATCGTATACGAAATTTACATCTTTCGAATCACACCTCACTCCACTTTCTCTTATGCGAGACCATACATATCTAGATATATTTCGCACAATCGTAAAATTATACCTCAAAATATCTACCTACCTCCTTATCATGATAGCACAACAGACGTATGATACTTATCTACTCGTATCCAACATCCAATACTATACCCGCAAATAAGTAGCGTAGCGCTATCGAATCTAGAACCCTACCCTACCCTCCCCTTCCCTTTCTGTATATGCTTATTTCCACTTTCGGCTTCCCCGCATTATAATACCTACCTAGTAGATTCCAGATATCAGATATCAGTATCTGTCTGCATCTAATTACCGGCGACACCGGCGATGCGACGCTTAGTGCTAAAATCTACCTACGCTCGCTACGGTACGGAGACTGGTGAAAAGGGCTAGACCGCGGGATGGAGAAGTGCAGAGTGGGTCCAGCTAAAAGAAGAGCAGCTGAACGGTAGCGTGCGCGCGTGCAAGAATTTCGGTTTGGGAGTACGGATGGGGCTAGAACGCTATAGATTTGTGCAGAGGGGAAGATACGGGGATTTATTTCAATTGTGTGGTTTGGTCACTTTGGTGGCGGCGTGCAGCTGGCTGAGTTGGAAATGAGGTGGCTTTGTGGTTACTGTAGAGGGTGGGAATAGGACACGATGGATGGGAATGGAGTTAAATAGGAGATTGCCATCCTCTTCAATGTTGATGATGGTTCTGCATCGATTGTCTGTTCAAACATGTCGTTCATAAGTGAAAGTATCATTCCAGATTGCCGAATCAAGCCCGCCCGAAAACGCATCATAATCTGCTGCGATGGAACCTGGCAATCCGCCGTCTCTGGAAAAGAGAATTGACCATCTAACGTAACACGTCTCTGTCGCGCCATCAACAGCGTCGCTCAAGATCCAGATGATGGCGAAAATTGGCAGCAGGTCGTTTGGTACGATTCTGGAGTTGGAATCACATCCACGGGTCTAGGACCTGGACTTGAGGGAGCCATTGGTCAGGGATTGGAAGGGAATGTTATTGAGGCGTACAGTTTCTGTGTACTGAATTGGAATCCGGGAGATAAGATAATGTGTTTTGGATTCTCTCGGGGTGCATACACGGCGAGGACGATTGCGGGTTTGATTTCGGATATTGGGATTTGTTCGAAGAGGCAACTTCAGCAATTTCCTGATTTGTGGAAGTTGTATAAGCAGAAAAGATCCGGGGACGATGAGACCAGAAAAGATTCTATGGCAGTGCTCTGTACTATGATCGGCGAGAAGGGAGAGTTGCTGACCCGCAACCAAATCCGGGGGATCGACCTGATGGGGGTTTAGTTTGGGATATAAAGGCTCATGGTGAATGGGCTCCCGAAGAATCAATGGAAGTAGAGGTGGTGGGAGTCTTTGATACCGTCGGAGCTTTAGGGTTGCCAGAAGTCTTTGGGATGGAATTGCCCAAATGGACGACTGTTGGTGATAAGCCTGAATGGCACAATGTTGAACTTTCAGCCAGTAAGTCCTTGTGCTGATAGAGCTGCATTAACCAGAAAGCTAATTCACATCCCAGACATCAAGCATGCATTTCAAGCGCTGGCCCTTGATGAGCACCGTCAAGCATTCACACCTACTCTTTGCTACATCAAAAAGCCAGAGGATTTTACAGACGCTGAAATAGAGGCGCAACGGACTATTTCTGATAATGCACATGCAGAGTGGTATGATATGTGTTTTACTCCCCACCCTAGTTCCGAAAAAATGAGAGATCTGGCCAAAATCCGAGATGAAGCTACCGAAAAGGTCGTTAAGATGGAAGAAAACAATAAGATGAAGAAAGCACTAGGCACTGGTGAGAAGGTACTGGAACAAGTCTGGTTTCCTGGTTACCACATACACATTGGTGGTGGATCAAGTGATACGCTATTGAACAAGGACAATATGGAAGAAATGTCCAACATTACGTTAGCATGGATGCTAGACCAGATTGAAAAATATGTGTCGATTGACCGGGAAGTCATAAAGGAAGACGGTTATGATCGCCAGGGAAAATTCGCGCAACTGAACAACGAGCGCCAAGTCCACCTAGACAGAGAAAAGGAGCGCGAGAAGGAGGGTTGGGGTCAGTGGATGTGGCGAAATGGCAAATGGGCAGCTTCCAAGAACATTCACTATGAGAACCGACGACACGCGTGGGGCCTTGGAGATCTGAATGATAGTTTCACCACCATGTATAAAGCCAACGGATCGAAGCCACGCACACCAGGTCGCTATGCTCTTGATAAGAAAGGCAATAAACTGGGCGAAACACATGAATATATTCACCCAACTACGGGATTCAGAGTTCAACAGCTGAATAAGAAAGCAGAAGAAGCGAGGATACAGAAAGATCACAGGAATCACAAGAACTGGGAAGATTTGAAATACAGACCTATCGGCCTTAAAGGCGACGAGTACAAACGCCAGGAGAAAGTCGATAAGCAAGGAAAAGTGACAGCATATGAGTATGTTTTCAAGTACAAAGATTGTACAGAGACGTTACCAGAATGGCGGTTGGGTGATGCGGATTGCTATGAGAGGCTAGCTATTGAAGGGTCCGCTGCATATGACTATGTCGATGAGCTTGATCGAACTTTGGAAAGTGGTATTAAGACCGTTTGTCTTGATTTCTAGGGCGACAAAGCATCGTCGTTTCAAGTCGTCTCTAATTAATAAAGGCATAAGGTTGGCTATATTTCGGTCTGTAAGCGCTTTGTTTGTATAAATTGTATATAATCTCGAAGTAGTATATATTTATATAAGGGGTCTTTGATTGATTCATATATAATGAAATATGATAGTCCTCGAATATAACAAGTTAATAAATGTGAGACTTGGAGAATGCGAAAGTTGATAAGATTTTCTCTTTTCTCAGGATTCAAGACTCAGGAGGGCACGTGGAGGGGCAGAAGATTAATCAGGGACCAACTGAGTAGTGCCACACTTCTTCATTAGCGGCTGAGCCCCGCATCCACCGTAAATTTCGTCATTGGTTGCTGGGGTATCCGACAGGTATAATGCCTAGGTAGGTAGGTACCAAGCTACCTACAAATAAACAAGGCTCTACTCTAGACAATTCACCATCACGCGGTTCAGCTAGGTAGGTAGGTATTTAAACTAAGACGCCTTTCGAGCTTTTTGTTTCTTTCTTTTCTTCTTTTCGTTTTGCTGGAGCAACCAGTCTGACAAACGAAATTTACCATTATATTCTACCTCGAAACACATCCTTCTACCAAACATCCTTCTACCAAACATCCACACCTCTATAGAAACAATAGACTCGAATCCTTCCTGTCTCCTTACCACAAACTCACAAGCTCATTTACTATATTCGCAAAAAATGTCGGAGCAAACTCAAGAACCCCTCGTCGATACAAGTTCCGTTGTAAGACCAGCACAACACGAACGTCAAAAGAGTTTAGAGAAGTTGTATGCCGATAGACCTACGGCTCACGAATTGAAGGAGAGACATATTTTATTAGATACAGATGCTGCACCGTACGTTTTTCTCTTTCTCTACGATCCGACTCAATACTATTCCCATCCCCATAGTTTCCCAGTCTGCTATCGTGTTCTGGCAGTTTGTTCGTCAAAGTACTAATTGCGGGGTAAACAAAATAGTGGCATTCAAAGTGCTCAACATGCACTCGAACAACAAAGAATTTCGGATAGTTTGAAGAAGAATTTGGAACACCGTCCTACCAAAGAGGATTTGGTTGAACGTATGTATTTCCTTCCATCACAATTTTCACACTTCATTTCGATCGGAATAAAAGCTAATACTGAAAATCAGGCAATATCCTCTCCTCCACAACCGCCGCTCCAGGTATCCAAGCACAACAAAAAGAATTGGAGAAACACATGCGTGCGGATAGTTTGAACGAAAAATTAAGTCATCGTCCGCAACCGGAAGAATTGGTCAGTAAGGGTGTTTTGAAGGAGGATCCTACGAGTCCGATTGAAGGCAGTAATGAGAGTGCCGAGAAGAGATACGAGGAAGCTATTGAGGAGGAATATGCTAAGAGAGAAGGAGGTGCCTAGATTTACGGCAATCTATTGTGATTGGGCTGATGGGAGTTTTTGATTTTCAAGTGCGAGGGACTTGTCATTTAGCATGTATGCGTCCGATATGATTGCAACGACGAGAAAAAAGGAGTACAAACAATGAATGTGAAAATGGGAATCGGAATCGGAGTGCGAATAGGGATGGGTTGAAACGCGCGACTAGTTGCTGCGATTTTCTAGTAAACAATGAATTATACCACAATTCTCACACATGATTGCCTTGTTTTGTATCTTCGGGCGAGTGCTCTACATTGTTCATGGAAGGGCCTATACTCTATACTAGTGAGTTGGTCTGCATTGTGGTCTAATTCCAACGATATAACATTCGCTTCTACATATCCCACAGAGCACTTGTTTGGGAGCTGGTTGCTAGTCTGAGGATCCAAAGCTAAACCATGGACTAAGTTTTGATGCATGTCTGAGATTACAATATAGAGATCCCCCATCTTGATGCTCTTGACTTTTCTTTGCCGGTCTGGAATTTTTAGTCGAGCTAAAAGTATAGCGATATATCATCACCTTCGCTAGCTTCTATCACAGATTTGACTTTCATATCATCAGCTAGCGAGAAGAGGGTGAGCTGTTATGATGTCATTGATACGTGAATTTAGTTGTATGTAGATTGTACTACTGAAGATAGAACTATTATTGAAAAGCCACCGATGCACCGCGACATGTTATTGGGTATCTGAAATTTATGCAAAAGAACATATGCACTGCCCATCCAAAAAGCCCATCAAATGAACTCCCCCGAATGCCAAATCCCATCCAAACGCATCATTGCTTGATTCTGGTACCCCGTTTCAGAAGCACAATTTTCGCTGTTTAGGATCACTGGGAGTATTTCCTTTATCCTTTGATTTCTCTCCTGCCTTGGTTTTCCTTGAGCTACCAATTTGAGATTTGTAGCCACTTCCGGATGCAGACGGTGATCGAGGTACCCCGGACGTCTCTTGAACTACGTCTCTGATTGTCTGTCTCGAAAGACAAATATCAATGTGCTCGTTGAATTCCTTTTCATTTGTCGCTTGCGGCCGCTGACAAACGGGACAGTCCCACCATTCCTCTTCTACCACAGCACCGTCCTTCGGTTTGGGATTCGGCACAATTTCTTTTCCGTGATGTCGCCGTGGATCGTTTTCTTCGAGTTGACTTAAACTTTCCATTTCCTTGAATTCCTCTTCTCGTTCTTGACGCTCGGCATCTTCGAAGAGAAGTTCTTCGGGCCAAACTTCCCATCGCTCCTCAGAGTCATCTTCTCGGAGATCAGATGCTTTTCGTTTCGCTACAGAGGAAGATTTGCGTTCATTTTCGCCAACATCATTCTCCCGTGAGTCTTGTTTTCTGAATCCGAAAAAGGCCATGGTATCGGGCTTTTTCATGCTGATTAAATTTGTACACCGGAGCCCCATTAGTCGTAATGTCAAACCTGGCATCTCCGCCTCCAGTTTCTCAAGCATGGGAAGAGAATATTTGTACAAATCGTCAGCTGAGAATACTGCCTTTGGTGGGGCCGCCTGTCTTGTAAGCACCTCGTAGGTTTTTAGTTTCACTTTAAGAACTAGAGTTCGCCCTTTGAACTGGGTTCGTTGCATATCTTTTTCCAGCTCCTCAGCTGTACGTCGAAGTTTGCTTCGAAGTTCTGTAGCATCATTCATTTCATTGAATGTACTTTCTGTGCCGACACTCTTGCGGGTATACTCCTCGGCCGGTTTGACGTCTGTTCTTCCGAGTCCAAGATAGCATTGCATTAGAAAAATGAACGCCTTTTCTCCAAACAATTTGGGTAGATAGTGTCGCACATTGTAGATATCTCCGCATGTATTAACGCCTATGGCGCCTAGTTCCCTTTCGAATACCCGTCCGATTCCGTTAACTCTCCGAGTTGGAAGGTCTCGCATAAATTTCATAATCTCAATTCGATTATTCGCAACACGATATTGACCATTAGGCTTATTGTAATTCGAACAAATTTTAGCCTAATCATATTCAGTCAGTATATTGAAACCCAAACTCATTATCAAATTCTACAGCAACGGGTTGATGATAATAGCGTCCCGCCTCGCCCGCCATACCGCTGACTTCTAAACTTGCAGAATGTACTCACTATCTTAGCATTGGCTGCAATTCCAGCAGATATGGTTACTTTCGTTTTCTCATGAACCTCTCTCCTCAGCTGTTCAACAGCAGCCTCCGGGTCGATATCATTCCTTTGACAGTACTCCGTGATGTTAAGATATGCCTCATCAATACTAGCGCTCTCGAACCGTGGATCATAGTCTACCAAAATTTCCCGGACTTCTTGTGCCTTCGCGGTATATTTATCGAAATTCAGAGGAACCTGAATTAATTGCGGGCACAACTTCTTTGCTATGAACCCCGCCATCGCACTTCTGACCCCAAATCGCCGTGCGTGATAATTGCATGTTGTGACAACTCCTTTCCCAACAGAAAATGGAACATCTTTCAATTCAGGACGATCGAGCTCCTCTACTGCAGCGTAAAATGCGTCGCAATCAATATGGACGATTGTTTGAGTCAGATCTCTTGTGAGTTCGAGCTCTGCAATCGCAGTGTCTGCTCGTCGACGGTCGTGAGCTAAATCAAGCTTCTCCAATTCAGCCTTCTTCCCTAAGATTCGTTCAATCTTTACTGTTAGGGTCTTGTCTCTTTCCTCCTCATGATTGAAATATTTAGATCCCTTCGAAGCATTGTAGATGATCTCGGAAACCTGGTGATAAAGTTAGAGAGACCACAAACACATTTCGGTCGCCACGTACCTTTGACTGGTCTACAGAATCTTGTCCAGATTTTGTAAGAGACGGGCCTAGTAGAGAATACTTGAGAGACTTATGCACATTCTCGTCCCTTTCTGGAGTTGTTTCCGATGCCATGTCTCGATGTCCATGCTCGACTCGTGGCGACTGTAAGAAACGCGAAAGGCATAATTGTTTGACGCGCTGTCATGCTTTCAATACAGATAGCTATTATGTAAGCGACTCAGAATATCACTTCCTTAAGAAAAACCTCCAATGAAATGATATGCAGAGGTTCATGATTTTAGATCGTCTTTTAAGGAGTACTAGTTTTGTATACGTTAAACATTGTGAAATTTTAAAGTTTCTAAAGTCTATAGCAGCTTTCAAAAAGCAAGTTCATCGTCAAATGATTGTGAACGGGCTCGGCTAAACTTACTCCGATATATTTAATCGATAAAAAAAAGTTACGCATGTTATCGAATGGATGAATGATACCACAATCCAGTAGCAACCATGAGTATGCATAGAGTAGTCCGCGCTGTGGCTTCAACGGAAGCTTGCGCTGGGGCGCTACGTGGGAGTGTCCCCAGAGCAAGATTTTTATGCTTGAATTCGCCTGTTCAAGGGCTTGGAGCAAGAAATGCGATACTCGGTGCCAGGTTGGGAGGAAAGAGACATTTCTCTCAATCGCCAATTATCAGAGCTGGTGTTGCCCAGGCAGTCTTAGAAAAGGCTGCCGCAGATCCATCAGCTCTCACCCAAGAAGCTATTGTCGACAACCTGAATGCCGCAGAGAGGGATCGATTGAGGAGGGTCAGAAACATTGGTATCGCAGCACACATTGACAGTGGCAAAACGACCGCCACAGAACGAGTTCTCTTTTACACTGGACGAATTAATGCTATTCACGAAGTCCGAGGAAAGGATGCCGTCGGCGCAAAGATGGATTCTATGGAATTAGAGAGAGAGAAAGGTATTACAATTCAGTCTGCTGCTACTTTCTGCGATTGGTTGAAGGTTGAGAATGGGAAGGAGGAGAAATATCACATAAATTTGATCGATACCCCTGGACATATTGATTTCACAATTGAGGTCGAGAGAGCTTTGCGAGTACTAGATGGAGCTGTCATGATTCTTTGCGCTGTCAGTGGCGTTCAAAGTCAGACAATTACTGTGGACAGACAAATGCGGAGATACAATGTTCCTCGTATCAGTTTCATTAACAAGATGGACAGAATGGGTGCCAATCCTTTCAAGGCTGTCGAGCAAATCAATCAAAAACTACGAATCCCAGCAGCAGCACTTCAAGTCCCCATTGGTTCGGAAGACAGCTTCAACGGTGTCGTTGATTTGATTAGGATGAAGGCTATTTACAACGATGGGCCCAAGGGGGAAATCATTAGAGAGACTGATGAGATCCCTGAAGAACTCAAGAAGTTGTGCGAAGAGAAGAGAGCTCTGTTGATCGAAACATTGGCCGATGTCGACGACGAAATTGCTGAGATTTTCTTGGATGAGAAAACTCCATCTATCGAGCAAATGAAGGCTGCTATCCGACGGGCAACCATCAATTTGAAATTCACCCCTGTCTTGATGGGAAGTGCTTTGGCTGACAAGTCAGTGCAGCCTATGCTTGATGCAGTCTGCGATTACCTACCAAATCCTGCAGAGGTCGAGAATTTGGCGCTTGACAAGCGAAGAGCTGAAGCCCCCGTGAAGCTTGTCTCTTATAATGAGCTACCATTCGTTGGCTTGGCCTTCAAGCTTGAGGAAAGTAATTATGGTCAATTGACCTATATTCGAGTTTACCAAGGATCTTTGAGAAAGGGCATGAACGTGTTCAATGCTAGAACTGATAAGAGAGTCAAAATCCCTAGAATTGTGCGCATGCATTCCAATGAGATGGAGGAAGTTCCTGAGATTGGAGCCGGAGAAATTTGTGCTGTTTTCGGAGTTGATTGTGCTTCTGGAGACACATTCACCGACGGTGGTTTACCATACTCTATGTCTTCTATGTTCGTACCGGATCCTGTCATTTCCTTGTCTATCAAACCAAAGACAACCAAAGATGGATCCAACTTCAGTAAGGCTATGAACAGATTCCAACGTGAGGATCCAACATTCCGTGTACATGTCGATGCCGAAAGTCAGGAAACCATTATTTCTGGTATGGGAGAATTGCATCTTGATATTTACGTCGAGAGAATGCGAAGAGAGTACAAGGTCGAAGTTGAAACCGGTAAACCTCAAGTCGCTTACAGAGAGACCATCACTGAACATGTGGCATTCGACCATACTCTCAAGAAACAAACTGGAGGTGCTGGTGATTACGCTCGTGTCGTTGGTTTCTTGGAACCTATTGAGCCTGGTCCAAATGGATATGCTCCATCAACTTTCAAAGAAGAAGTCACTGGAGGTTCTATTTCTGATAAATTCTTGTTCGCTTGCGAAAAAGGATTCCTCGCCTCTTGTGAAAAGGGACCCCTTCTCGGTCACCCCGTTCTCGGTACCCACATGGTTGTCAACGATGGTGCAACCCACATGACAGATTCTTCTGAAATGGCTTTCAAGAATGCCACTCAACAGGCTTTCAGAAAAGCTTTCAAAGAAGGCAAACCACAAGTTCTTGAACCTCTCATGAAAACTACCATTACAGCACCCAATGAGTTCCAGGGTAACATTGTTGGTTTGTTAAATAAGAGAAACGCTATCATTAGTGATACGGAGATTGGACCAGAAGATTTTACTCTTATTGCGGATTGTAGTTTGAATGCTATGTTCGGATTTAGTTCGCAATTGAGAGCAGCTACGCAAGGAAAGGGAGAGTTTGGTATGGAATTCAGTCATTACGCTCCTGCGCCAGGACAGTTACAGTAAGTGGTTTCTTGGATTCTCACCCTCATTTTAATATACCTCATGCTAATACGTCTTTTAGAAAAGAGCTCATTTCCAACTACGAAAAGGCACAGGCTGATAGACACAAGAAGTAAAGTGGATAGCTGATGATGATTCGGAGGTCTTAAGGAATTAGCAGTGTGTCGAAAGTGTGATGATGAGTGACGAGATGGATGCCACAAAAATTTAATGAGGCACAAAAACCTTCAACACAGTTCCACGGCGAATGGAATACGATGTACGGATATACGGACATAAGGGGCGTACAAAATAAAAGTTTCCATGAGTAGATGAGTGGGTGCATGGTTTGAACGGAGGAACCACCTTTTTGGACGAATGGATGGATATTTGAATGATTAAGTGGGGGATGGCCTTACGAAATAGAAGGGTACATAGAAGATACCTTTACTGTATATTACTATAGCGAATAGATGAATTAAGACCTCTCGACTTCAGGAATAGAAGAAATGGTATATGCGCCATCCTCGGTAAAATCAATACTTAACATGATTACTAAATGTCTGAAATGCAGCTTTAATTATGCCAAAGAAATTACAGTCAATTCCCCAAAGCCCTTGCGGTCCATTCCCACAATTGCTTTGCCAAAGTTGAATCCTCAGCCGTTGTGTCCAACGTTGAATTGCTCTCAACACCCACCGGCATGTAATATGCGCCATTGGCCAACTCTTTTTTTTTTGCTCCCGCGGCGGCCCACGTCTGATTCATAATGCCTTGCTCAACCGTTATTGTTTGGCTTACACTAGTAAAATAGACAAACCATTTATGCCAAAAGGATAAGTTCGAGACCAGCCCCGTGTTGATAACTCCTGGATGAACCGCTACAGACGTTATCTGCGGATAACGACGGGCAAGCTCTGCTGCATAGAGTATGCTGGCTATCTTGCTTTGTCCATAGCGGCTCCACGTCCCAAAGGTCAGATCCTCTTGGGTTGTTTTCAATTTGTCGAAGACAATGCCTTGACTCGGATGAAACTTCCACCCCAAGGAAGTATTCAAGACAATTCGTACATCGGAGGAGGGCATCTCAGCAGTCTTCAGCATGATTGGTAGTAAATGATGGAGAACGGCAGCATTGCCGAGATGATTTGTTGCGAACTGTATTTCGTATCCGTCTTTGCTGAGAGCAGCAGGCACAGCCATGATACCTGCATTGCCCATGAAGATATCAAGACGATCATGCTTGAACATTTTGATACCGGTAGCGATTGATGAGAGTGAAGACAGATCAATGGGAAGGAAGGTCAGGCCCGCTGATGGGACATCCTTCTTGATAGATTCGATGAGAGCTGACGCCGCGTTATTATTACGTCCCGTGAAGTAAATGTGTGATGGATTGTGTTTCACAAGAACTCTGATTGTATTGCTTCCAAGTCCTGCTGTTCCTTTGATTAGGTACCATTAGCATTTGTGAACAATCACGCCAGGGGGGACTTTTGGGGTCTTCACCTCCAGTGACCAAGATAACTTTGTCCTTCAAAGTGGGTATATCCCTCTCCGGCCTAAAATTAATATCTTTAATGCCGCCCATACCGGCAACTTGAGCAAAAGATAAAGCAGGTAAAAGTTATAGTAGTAACAATAAATGTAAAATAAAAGGGGTGAAGACTTGGAATTGGCTGAAGTGGGTTCTTGGGGCAACTTGCACGAAAAAGTTAAAGATTGTTGTACAGATAGACGACTGCAATTGAACTAAGTGAGGCATTACTGATTCTGTATTTGAGAAAAGGATCGATATTAATATACGTGAACCTCAACTATGAAGACCTGAGTAAGGCATTGCCACTGCTATCAGCTTACAAGGTAATTTCCCAAGCAATACTAGTAGACAATAATCAAGTGGCCAACTCTGGCTCACACATGGGTGCCATTGGGTCACCTTGCTGAGAAGAAAAGCTGTTTTATGTCAGAATCTAGATAAACATATCGTTTCCGAAGCGAAGGTTGTGAAAGGATGAGAATCCATGAAATGCAGTGGCTCGTTTGGTGGCTCGTGTGGATGAAGGCTAAGCTGTATTTGGGTGAATTTGTGTAAGCAAGGTGCATCAACCAATCAAGAGCTTATTATCCACCCGCCAACCCGCCTCGGGACGACGCTTCCTCCCTCATCCGAAACGTCTTTCAGTCTTCTTCAAAGATGGTGGAATTGTTAATATAAAAGTTCGCTCTTTCGATCCAAAAACTGTAAGCAGATTGCAGAAATTCACTCTTAATACCCCAACTGCTTATCTTTTGCTTGGCATGCTTCAATTGTTTGGAAATCACATAAGCCAGACACCATGAATATCACGCAGAACCCTTCTTTTAGAGTAGAGCCAATGTATCATCTGGCCGAGGTAGGTACTATCCCTTTTCATTTCCACATGAATTTCGAGAATGCTGATTTCAACTTGAAGGCTAAAAAAGACGAGGATGATTGGACGGGTACAACAGATGCAAAGGAAAGGAGAAAGCGACAAAACCGTTTAAATATCAGGGCTTTCAGTATGTAACTTATTAGCAAAATTTTGTGGCTTACACGCGTGAAACATCAAAAGATTTCCATAATTGCAAAAATTTCAGATCATTCCTCTCTGACCATCTTCTACTTCGAAAAATCTTCCAATTTTATTGGAGAACAAGTGTGGTTAGCCTTCACCACTGCAGATACATGGCGGTTCTCAGATGAGCTATTTCTGAACTCTATTTCAAGAGTCTCTTAGAATTCTGGACATTTGGACTCGGCAGTAACGTAGCTGACTTGGTCACAGGAAGACGCAAGGCACTTGAGGCAAAATCCTCTCCGAAAGACCAATTTATTATATGGAAGCCACAGTCCCAGCCTGATACTTCAGCTCAGAACTCTGCATTCAAAGCAAAGCCTTTAGAGCAACGGCTCGCAAACATAAATCAAAGTTTAGAGGTATCAGGTTTAACATTCCCACTGCCTCTGGATCACCTTCTTACACTTATTCAATACAACGTTCTCCGCGCTTGCATGACGAACTCGACCATTCTAAAGCTACCCCACACCACTGCCACTGAGTGCCGCAGTATGCTCAGCGCCCCCATGTTCCCAGCCCCTTCCACCATTCCACCGTCTCTCTCTCCGACTCCATTGCAACTCAGCACTCCTCACCCCCAATGGATAGATGTACTTCCGTGTCCGAAAATGCGAAACAATGCCATGCTTACTTTCCATGAAATAGATGAAGATGATTTGTGCAGGGATCTGTGTGGAGGTATATTTGAAGATTGTAATGATTTAGATGAGAAGGGGATGCTGGTCTGGAATGATCCGTGGCATGCAAGTGGATGGGAAATCACAGAGGGGTTTGCAAAGAAATGGGGCTTCTTATTAAAGGGCTGCCATGAAATCGTCGAGGCTTCGAATAAATGGAGAGGATTGAGGATTGAAGATAGATTAATTATTGAGGTCTGAAAGGATAATCGCTCTCGCTTTTTTAGAGATTGCTATGATATGGCGGCAGGTTCGATGATATCCAATTTAAGATCGGATCTGATGATACAATGGTGTCAAAACGTTTTTGCGTGAATTCTGTATACCCAAATTTTTATTGAATGAAAAGCTATCGCCCCGATCCAATCAGTAGGTAATGATATGGCACGCTATGGTTATCTGAAACTGTGTATGATTATACTATTAAACAAGTGCGAAATAAAAAACACGCAGTGGGGAGAGTTGAAATGATGGCTGCAGTGTTTGAATGCTACAATCTCCTCATCGACCAGAAAGAAACCTGCCAGACAGTATTGAAGAAACTACCTGATACGAACGGTCCGATCCGCAATCCTGAAGGTCGGTCTATCCGTAAACAAAGTAGCAACATCATAGGATGCCGCAAAATTTGGTTTCTACCAAGGACATGCTCATATCTAGCATTCAATGTTCTCGTCTGGGTGAACTTGACTAACAACGATAGTCCACTGGATTCAAAAGTCCCAATTCATCTTGCTAATCGATAGTTCGGGTGGTAATATATTGCTAAATATAGCGTCTGTAGGATTTTCAGGGGCGCGATCCTTCTCGCTAGGAACCGCTAAATCCTCCGCATCTGCCGATTAATTGTGACGGTATAATCTCTATCTTTGGCAGCATAAGGATCTTGCAATCGAATGCAACGCACATGACGTCAAAGCACGCCAATTTTTATAGACAGATACAACGAATGTGCTCGACAGGTTCCAAATATTGCTCAAGAGATATTAACATCGATTGACGGAACCAATTACCGATGTGGGGATAACAAACCTAAATGTTGGCGCATCCTACGTTATTGACTATCACTCTTAGCATAAATTTGAACAAGGTTGAAATATTCAGTGTACAATCACCAAAAAGGACAGCAGAGTAGCTGCCAACTGACATAATCATGTCAGAGATAGCGGCGTACAAAGAGTAACAATGTCACTCGCTAGTAGTAATCCGAGCTACCCGTCAATTGTTGAATATGGAAGGTAAAAGCTTGAAGTCCGACAGTCCCCAATCTCATGCTCTCAGCGAGAGTGAATGATACCCCATCCATGCACTGGAATTTAAGATAAGACTAAAATTGCCTAATCTCAAAGAAAAGAGGGGTAAACAAGAAACAACGTTCAGCTATTCATATGGAAAGGGAATGTATCTTCCAAACTTCCCCATAATCATCCCATGCTTGATCTTCGTTTTCGCCCGATGTCGATGGGGCAATCTCGAGCTGAAATACCGCCAAAATCTCTCAGAACACATCGCAACTTGCGTTGAACCTGAAATAGCGGAGCTGTTGGCAGCAGGAGTTTCAAATCAAAAGAATTTATAAATCATGACCCATACGCCAGAAACTACCTTGACAGTATGAAAGATATACCAGAATCGTCCAGTATGTCTGTGCAAGATTTAACGTCAGAAGAGGAACCTATGGCTATACAGTTCGTCTCTGGTCGGGCAAAGGATGAAATAACCCAAAGATTGATACGATCACATGCGATGTCTGCTTTTCGAAGTAAGCAGCGACAGCAGAAAGCTAAACGAAAAATTTCCGCGCGTAAACTTATGGCAGTTGAACGCTCCTGCGAGTTTTCAAAGTCTAGTCTTGGTTCATCAAGCTCATCGCACGTAAGATCATTCGCATGAAATTCACTCGATCAAATTCCTGACACTTGTACCAAGAACCAGCAATACGGATCCGGTCATGACACTTCACTTGAAGTCACACAAGTGGGACTGCCATCATTATTCGCTTTTGCGCCCGCTCAACCTGACCCTTCAAGTTCTGGACGCCATCCATCACCTGATGTAATTCTCAAATACTCCCGAGAGGTGAGTACAACTAAACAACTTGGTGCGTCGCGTCATGAATTCCCAAGGTTGATGTGATGCCTATGATCATAAATGTGTGCCGAGAGCTAAAGATTGATTTAGCTTTGATATTTTGTTCGCCAGGGCCCGAGATATTAGTTGATTTTCCAAAAGCTGCCGGACAAGCCTTATCGACAAGCATCGTTTATATGATATATGCCTATTTATGCTCGGTTCGAGGAATGATAAACGATGAATTGGCTACAGGACTGAGAGATGCAGCCATTGCACAAATTGGTCAGAAACTAGCTCAAGAAGGGACATTATGGTCCGATGCTACAATAGCGTCAATCGCCTATTTCTCAACAGGTATTTGGGTGGGTGAGGGGTATTGGCGATGGAATATCGGACGGCTAATGATTGTATTTCAGGCAATTGAGCGCAATGCAGAGGAAGTTGAAGCACATATGACTGGCGTAGAATTGTTGGTAAAGAGACGAGGATTGGAGAGCTTTGGAGTTTATCCATTTGGACAAACAATACGGAAGTACCTGGTGATGTAAGCAACCTGCCCCAATGCGAATACCAATTTTGTGATTAATGCAGATGTAAGGCGTCACATCTTTGTGAAGGCTATTAGTGCCGAAGAGCTTCCTCTGAGCTTCAGCAATTCATCGATTCGATTGAAAGAGAATGAACCTCAATGTTGGCGATTCACTTCCCCGTTATATTGTCCATCGGGTTCATTCGAATCTGTCAGACAGTTGAAAGGATTCGACGACTCCCTGATCCAGGTTCTATATATCGCCAAGGATTTGATCGACCTCATTACTGGGGGATACGAGCAAACGGTCGATAATGCCAATCACCAAAGCCGCTTATCTGTAGCTTTGTACTTTCTACAGCCGGGTACTGTCAAAATGGGTCCTTCCAATCTGACATCCCAGTACTGGATTTTCGAATCCTGTAGACTTGCTACCCTTATAATATTTCAAGCCATAAAAACTTGCACCCCTCTTCCTTCATGCGACGAGTACCTCACATCGGCAATGATTTGCGCCATAGAAAGAACGGACGTTGACGAAACTTGGGGGGACGTGTTAGGCATATTATATTGGGTATCTATCATTGCTTGTGCGTCAATTCAAGGTCGATCAGACCATGGAATTCTGGATTCGAGGTTAGGCAAGACGATATTCATGATAGCCTCTTCCGTACAAAATTTCGAGTACGCAACAGGGCCTGCCCAGAAATTTGCGCAAATGCAAATGGGTTTGGCCAGGAGATACGAATTGGCTGCCGCTGGGAAGATGCAAGAGAATCATTGAAACAAATGAAAGAAGGGACAACAAGAAATGGGTGATCAATAGCTCTAAGCCGGGAAGGGAGGTCGTAGTGTTTCGGATTGAAAGTTCACCATTTCATTCCTGCAATACGAGGATGCACAATAGGACACAGTGGTCTGTGCGTTGATTACAATTTGACCTCTTAGCGTGACTTGAAATCAGTTACATGGTTGATCATAATAATGATTGTCTATTCAGAACCGAAATCTTATATGACATCTAAAGTGATTAAAATAGAACTATTCCACCTATATAAAAAAGACTAATTATGAACTCAAAGTAGTCCCCCATCCTCTAATAAGGGGCACCAATTCCCCACAATAGCTCCTCTCGAACTTGACATACCTCTTTGTCCCTCCAAAACTCCACGCCACGGCATTCATTTCTTCCCTATCATAACTAGGTGCAAATTGCACAAACTTTTCCAACTGCGCATTGATCACCGGCCAATTCTTCGCCGCTCTATCTGGCAATTTCAATGCATAATAGCCCACCCTCTCGATTTCTCCGCTATCAACCTTGATTGTGACCGCGAATGTATACCCCACTGCGTTGAGGAATTCCTGCATTTCAGAGAATTGAGCTTGACTCGGTGGTTCTGCACCAGCTAATGCGTTGAAAGAAGTAGCTTGTTGTAGAGAAATAGGCCCCTGAGCCCGAAAATATAAATTCACAGTTCCCTTTTGGTAGTCGACCGCCGCATGACGAACCTTCTCCAACTCCAGCGCCTTGAATCTCTCCTCATGTTTGGTCAAGCTCTCTGGCACGCCTTTGGCACTCAAAATATCACCGAGTGGTCTCATGCCTCTCATGTATACCCATGCCTTTACCAAACCCTTCTCTGCGTCGAAATCACACGATTCTTCTGGTAAGCCATCATACAACGAGCTCCAAGATGTAACCAAATTTCCCAGGGTACTGGCAATATCTGGAGACAAAAGACCGGCGGATAAGGCAATATTTACAGTATCTATAGGTCTTCGAGAATAAAAGCGATAATTTAGAGCATCACCCAGACGGTCTGTTGCGCGCCATAGAACAACACCGTCATGAAACGAGTCAGAGAAGACAGAGAGAATTTTTTTGGTTGTGGACTCGGAATATGGCGCGTTGATTGCAGCTGAGAGGATTTGAATATCGTTGAGAAAGCGCGATTGATCGAACTTTGAAGGTTCCGAGACCACTTGAACAGCCATTTTGCTCTTAAATTGGCAATTATTGAGTAAGGCACAATTGTCTTATGATCATGATTTTGGAAATCTAAATATTTATATCCCGAGGCCCTTAGACTCGCTCATGGCCGATGTAGTGACTGCTAGTGACCAACGCCATAATCTCGGCATACATGCAAAGTAACCAGACTGGTACTCAAGCCCCGAGTCTCGTAAGAAATTTAACTTTAATTTAGTGATAGAAATCTTCATCCTTCCACTCGGAGTCAAGATGTTTGCTTTGCAGAAAAACAAAATGTGCAGAAGGCAAGGATTGAACTCTCACCGCATGTTTCCACTATTAATCGATGCACGGAATTTGCAACGCGCCCATAGCCATGGTATTGGGAGGATGGGTCAGTGGGGATGATTCCATCCATTCTTCTGGAATCGTCATTGGTGTTGGTATTGGCCAATGTTGGCTTGGGCTGTGCCAGATCAACGTGGAAGTGTGGAATCATAGCCTATTTTAATTCGGGATTACATGGGCCCCCACCCGAAGACAAAACCGGCAATGACCCGGAATCCGAAGTATATTACACCTACCCCTATTCAACAAAAATATGGCTGATGGTGTATGGGCTGTTATAATCCTATTAAATTCCAATCCGCTCCATGCGGTATTCACACACTTCTTGTCTTACTTCATCACAGATAAGCTGCAGTATAACTTGGTTGTAAGATTCCGGTTACGCCCAATTAATCTTTCGGTCATATCATACAAATGTCTGTGAACGATAACATCATGTTCAAGGGTGTTAACTTGTAGTGAAGATTTGTTATACTCTTGGTGAGTGATAAAGTTGGTATTCCCTTTCCGTGTCTCTCTTGCAAACATCCTGGCCGGGATCTCGCTAAAAGCTGGATGATCTCGAGGATCAAAAATTGCAAATCCAATTCCGGCCTCTTGACGCATCGTTTCAATGCTGGTTGTCAGAGAACCGCAGTCTTTCTCGATGTTTCAATTTTCCCCTTCTGAGCTCTCTCCCATCATTCCTCTTCTCTTTCTTCCTCCTTGTGGTTGAAGAATGGACCTCTTTTCTCCTCCATCTAATAGTGGTATCTAGATCATTCGTTTCCTTCCTGGCCTAGGAATATCAAAGGTTTGGGGCAGAGGACTACTTTAACCAGAAAGAAAACATATGAAAAAGCACATAATATTTAGACTGCCTTGATTCATGTCGAGGAAATACTTTAAATGACTATACAATAGAAGGGCAATATAACATCATCACTTCTTTCCCCCTTGAAATACCAGCTCCTACTATTCATTTATCCTCTCAATCTGAATCTGAACATTTACTTTTTCAATGATATGCCAAGAGTGATGGGCCGTTCTTCCCTCCGCCTAATTCTTGGTAATAACGAACCTTTCACATTCTGCTCTCCAAGAAAGGGGCGAACGGCGAAAGCGGAACAATGCCTCCTCTTTTCGATGCTGTGCTCAAGGTTTTTATGAACTTGACTAAGATTGAGTGCTATGAACAATATTTTTCGTGAAATACATACTGCCGGAAAGTTCGGCACTGATCCCCTGTTTTACAATCTTGGCTTCACTTGATTCTGCCATAAAACAAAGTCAAGCCAGCTGCAACCATAGTAGTGTTCAGGTACAAGAAGATACATTATTCGCAAGCCTATACATCTAGGATTTAGGCTGGCAAATGTCTAGAACCGTCTTTTGACTTGTGCTGTAGATATCTTGGAGCTGTGTGACTTGATATTATGTCTTGAAACATTGCCTGAGGAGATGCGGTCAGCGTCTCTCTGTAGCTGTATAATTCGTCTCATTGATCGTTAGATGCGACAGTCAAACCAAACTGTCAGATGCCTGGAGTCAGCATGATTAAAAACAAGTGAAGGTACGGAGATGCAGGGAAGTTTTCGTAAAGCCAGTGTAGGGTTCAGCTTATTCGCTTGAGTACACTAGGGTAGATTTTCTTCGGGGGGAGGATGGGAGTAGTGTTTGACTTTTGGACTGGGATTTGAACGTCTGCGATATATTCACACAGCGATGATTTCTGCCTAGTAGAATGACGATTCCTCCTAGGAAGGTGGGGGTTATTAGCGAGATGCGATCTCAGAACTCCAAGTCTGTTGCATATTGAGTTTTCCCCCTCAAGATTCCAGGAGATAAATGCCTGTTACAGCTGATGGGTAGAATACTAATGTCGCTGGCATATAGTCTTCTTATTATGCTTGGCCCGGCGTACTAATAGACACACTACATGGCGAGGACTAGAAGTGGTTCGCAAGATTCCTCCATCAGCTGTGACTGTGTTAACATCATCGGTTTAGATCGTTGCAGCAAACGGACATGCATCTTTCGAAAGGACCAATAAAAGCCTGGCATTATTAACTTTTCTGAAATGAACATATGATCGCATACATCGAATTTCGACGCCAGGACGGCTTGAGTGTGAAATCCAATGTCGATTGCGTTCCACGTCAAAAGATGGCAGGCAGTAAATGATCTGACGCCTTAATTCGACATTCTGCTGAGAAAGTTGAAAGATCGAACCATCAGGACCCGAATCGATTTCGATAGGGGACTATAATCGTCACTGGACGATGTAATATGGAGGCATTTAGTGGCAAGTGACAAGTGGAAGCCGTAAACTGTTGGTATACCTGAGAGACTCCGAGATCAACGCTGAATGTGAAAAGGGTGGACAATTTTCCTACAGTATCTGAGAAAGCCTCAATATATGCAAATATTTGTAAGCAATGATGGAAACTCTTTGTATCATGCAAGAATTTCTGAACGCTCAGTGAATAAAGCATTGATGCCTTTTGTCGATGTAGTTCTGGCATCCAGAGGCGCCTGATTGATGAGTAAGCATGATGAGGCTGTCGAGCGGTCCCTCAAACTCCGGTGACCGAACGAACCAAGTGCGAAGCTAAGCTCAATAGTTGCCGCGTCAAGGTTGACAACCTAGAACTCTCAAACAACTCCTTCTACATATCACCACAACGGATTTACCGTCTTTCTTGTAATTGTTCTTTGATTCGATACCCCAAAACTAAATCAATTTATCTTTTGCCATAATGTCTGACGAAACTATTCGTAAGCCTGATAAGGACTTCTCCAAAGAGGTTGACACACAGCTTCCAGAAGCTGAACAGCTTGCACAGGTATAGCTCTTTTGTGATTGAAATCGTCTACGAGATTTTCTGACATATTTTACTTCATTAGACAAACGTGCAAGGTGCCATCGAGAAGCTTACAGTGTTGGAAAAACAAACAAGACAGGTCAGACTGGGAGACTTTACACATATGCGCAAGCCATTAACATTTCCAACAGGCATCAGATCTTGCATCAACATCCCGAATTCTTGTTGGAATTGTCACTATTTGCAAGAACGCCAACGATTGGAGTTTATTGAACGAACAAGTTCTGCTATTATCAAAGAAACATGGGCAACTTAAACAAGCTACAACAAAGATGGTACAGGTTGTTATGGAGTTCCTGGATTCGACACCAAACCTCGAGACGAAGCTTACAGTAATTGAAACATTGCGTACAGTTACGGAGGGAAAGATTTTCGTCGAAGTTGAGCGTGCCCGCGTTACTAGAATTCTCTCCGATATCAAGAAGGAACAGGGTGATCTCAAATCTGCAACGGACATTTTGTGCGAGCTGCAAGTAGAGACATTTGGATCTATGGAGAGGAGAGAAAAGACGGAATTTATCTTGGCACAGGTTGCATTATGTATAGAGAACAACGATTGGACACAAGCTGGAATCTTGAGCCGGAAGATCAGTACCAAATATCTGTCAAGAAAGCCAAAGAAGACTCCAGAGCAGTTAGTGAAGGAGGCAGAGGATCGAGAGAAGAGAAGAAAGAAGGGAGAGGATGTTCCAGAGCCAAAGGAGGACGATGTGACTGATCTCAAGTTGAAATACTACGAACACCAAATCACTTTGGCGAAGCATGATGACAAATACCTTGATGCTTGCAAGCATTACAGACAAGTTCTTGATACAGAAGCTGTTGAAGAGGATCCCCAGAAGCTTCAATCCGTAAGTTTTGAACTTTCACTTCTCTCGAGAATAGAACTAATAAGCACAGGTTTTGCAAAGAATCATCTACTACGTCATCTTAGCCCCTTACGATAACGAACAATCCGATCTTCTCCACCGCGTCCACAAAGACACTCGCAACAGCCAAGTATCTCTCGATGCCCAACTCCTCAAGCTATTCACAGTCCCCGAACTCATGAGATGGCCCGAGGTCTCGAAGATATTTGGCCCACACCTCTGTGGAACCGATGTTTTTGATGTTTCACAAGGTCAATCTGCAGACCCCAAAGCAAATAAGCGTTGGGAGGATCTACGCAAGCGTGTGATCGAACACAACGTTCGAGTTGTTGCCAAATACTATACTCGAATTCAAATGCCCCGATTAACACAACTTCTCGATCTGACGGAAGATGAGACGGAGAAATACATCAGCGAGTTGGTCACTGCCAAAACTGTTTTTGCCAAGATTGACAGACCTGCTCGTATCGTCAACTTTGCTAAGCCAAGAGATGCGGATGATGTCCTTAATGAATGGAGCGGAAATATGAAGAGTTTGTTAGGATTGCTCGAGAGAATTGATCATTTGATCACCAAGGAGGAAATGATGGCTAGAATCCAACCAAACAAGTCATCAAAGGGCTCAAAAACCGGAAAGGTCAAGGCATAATGATCTTTCCTAATCTACCATTAATGATACCTACCTCTTTGTACAATTATTCTAGATTCTAAATGACATGAATCTCTTGCCCATGCCTATCTATCTAATTCTAGCTCTGTGATTCCATTGATCCTATGTATACTCAATCCATTGATTAAAGCTCTTCTCCAGCTTAGAAAGGAAGATCCATATCCTCGACGCTCTCTTCAGCCACTGGCTTCTTTTCATCCAAACACTTAACCATAAAACCCACAGCCACATTACCAAATTCCTTTCCCATTGGGACAAAATGACCCCCTGGATGATAGCACACCTCCCTGCTTCCCTCCTCGCTCGCCTCTACCAAAGCCATACTCCTATGTTCTTCCACGACCGTATCTAAACTTCCAATGACATGCAGAATACGTGTTTTTAGAGGGGGTGTATAAAATGCGGCGTATCCATCATAAGGTGCGTAGAAGCCGGAATAAGAAATGCAGAATTTGAGGGGAGGGTGGTGGAGTTGTTGTTTCAGGACAGTAAAGGAGGAGGGGTAGGGGATTGCTTCGGATGGGTTTTTAACGCATTGGAGCGCAAAAGCACTTTCGCGATTCGCCTCCAATAAACTGGCTACAAAATATGCGGCGCATGCACCTTGGGAAAATCCAATAACTCCATCAATTCCTCCTGCTTCGCGGATTGTCGTTGCGATTGTATCGAGGCCTTTTTCAATGCCAGCATATCTAGCTCCGCCGGTCTCGCGTTTCCACCATCCGTATGCGTCGGTTGGTGCTAAGGACGGGTCGGAGGAGGGCGTATATCCGGGGATATCGGCTGGTAGAAGGGGAATTGGAGCGGTGGGATATAGGAGCTGGATGCCGCCGGGGTAAACGGGATGAGACAGATGGAATTGGCGAGCGAGGAGTTTGGTTAGGGCCTTGGTCTTGGAATTGAAGGACGGCCCGGATTGAGTGTAGCCTGTATAAAATTAGCGATTCGAATGAAGAGGGCGAATACATAAAAGGAGGAGAAAACTACACACCATGCAACATCAAAATCTTAAGTTTTCTTAGTCCAGACCCCTCCGCGGGTGTCGTGCCATTTGTAGACATACTTTGCGTATCTGAGCAAAATCTACGGAAACGTGGCAAAACTATGGACCTAGAGGAAAGGGAAAGAATTTGAGTGTGGAAGAGAGACGGAGTTCGAGAGAGGGGAATCGAAAAGACATGGTGCATTTTTGAGAGAGGATATCTATCGATGGAGATAAGGAGGGGACATGACAAACTCGGGTCAGCCTTGCGCTAGGCTCTTATTGGGCCGGCGAGGTTGTGGGGTTGTGATGTTGCTATTCATCGTTTGTGGTCATCCTCCCCTTCTTTCGTAGACTGGTCGTCGCGCAAAACTCGATCACGATGTTCGCGAGGCACTGAATTCGGTAAATAAAGACATCAAAAGCTTTCTCTAATATGGAGTACTGGACAATAGTCACATTCTAATTTGCAATGTCTTAAGAGCGTGCAAACTTATTTTTGGCATAAGAATGTACTGAAAATATAAGTACCGGCTCGTCGCCGCCCCCTTGCTCCACTTTCTTGGTGAACCTTAGCGAACATCATCCCTCTCCCTTCACTAATATACGAACCTAGAAATGCAATCTGATATTGCAAACTTGATCCAGCTGTGACATTTGTTATCATGAATTTCAATGTCTTCTGAAAAAGAGTTCCGATTCCATTGACTTTCATCATGCTTCTATCAATTTCCGAGAGCAGGAAATTTCATGTCCCGAAGTACGTGAAAAGGTTTGAGACATATGGGCTTTTATCGGATGGGGAACTCGATTCGCTCGTAGCCTGAACGTCTTACTATCTTCTGTTTATAACTTTCTCACAGCATTCATGTGAAAAAACAACCCATTTACGGGGTAAGAAATAGCATTGTGGGTCGACAATCTGCTTGTGAGAACGGCAGAAGAAGCCTATTCGTTTCGAAAGATGTGAAATCTCGATCTTTCAGGTCAAACAGGCTACCAGAATCTTAAGGGTATCATAAAAAAGCCTTTCTGGATACCTAAACTTCTTGCTCCAACTTCCAGGCGGTGTTTCCGGTTTCAGATGACACCAATCCGCGACTCCACAAACGGAGCCTTCCAAAGGCCATCGTTATAATATATGCAATTTGCGACTGCTTCGATTCCTGGCTGAGCATTTCCTAATCAACTCAAGAAATATAGACACTGAGAGTTTGAAACCGGACTGCTTTCACTTTTCCTTGGGCCTTATGACTCCAATTTCCAAGAATCCCTTCTCAAAATTCGAACAATGCAATACGAGGCTCCGAGCAAGCTTCCCGGATATCAACTATGACGCCTTACTATCGAATAAAACGAATAGCTCATCAGCCTGTAACTCAAGGGGATGGAACAATCAGTTAAAAATTTGACCATATCATCACTCGCACTCATCGGCCTCTGCTCTCCAATATCCATCACCAAGTTCTTCTACGTCCCGCTCGTTTTGATAGAAAGTAGCATCATATTCCCGCATGATCTGCACCCTCTCATCCATATCCACTGCCAAATTAATTCTCCCGAGATCTCTCGGCAAATAATTCTTCATGCCTTCATGCGTATCATACCTCAATACCCAAACACCTCCGTTTTTTGGCCATCCAAAGATTAAGTTTCTTTTCTGTGCATTAGCAAGCATTGAGGGCGGCACACCTGCTTCTTGGTAATCATCATCTAGAGAAGTCCATTTGATCGCGTGATGACGTTCGCTACTCCACCAGATTGCCCCAACTTTTCGCATCAAGACGCAAAATTCATCCTCTTCAACAGGATCATGTGATCTTTGAGTTGGGTAAAGACGAGTCAGAGATAGGAAATTCATATCCACAATATTGGCATTGTCTTTGATGAATATACCACCGGTAGAGGGATAGCTATAAACCGTACAACTGATAGTGCTGAATATAGATCGCATGGTGTAATTGAAGGCGGGATTTAGTAGACGACGTTCCGCTGCCATGCGGGAGGCCGCTTCAAGTATTGAGTCTACTAGACGAGATTCACGAGCTGGAAAAGAAGATTGGAAGGTGCTATTAACTTTTTCGACAACCATGGGAGTAATGCCGAAGAAGTTTGCTAGGAAAAGGAGTACATAAATCCCTGCGCTAAGCTTATGTCAGTGGTATGCCAAGTGAAAAGAATATGAGTCTCACCCGACACCTAAAATTGTTGGAAAAAGCATTTTAGTGAAATATTTTGAGATCATGAGGTATTTTCCGCGGAATGCAATTGAGCAATGAGTAGAATTCTATCACCATTCTACTTTCTTGTCCTTGGATTTGACGCTACAAGATGTTGTTGCCTATTCTCGCTAAGCGGCCAAGTACTAGGTATGCTTTCCATAAGCTGCGACAAAAAGACTTGAGGTTAATGCCAAAATGGTCTTACCTTCAAATAGTATTTCTTATGTTCAAAATTGGTGCACACATCTTTCACTCTACGACGCACGTAATCATTTGACCACCGTGGCCGACTCTTAATTTACCTAGACACTTTGCACCCGGAAAGGACATTCTGAATCTCATATTCATAGCATCAACACCAAGCGGGAACATGTGTATGAGGTTGGAATCTTGCGAGTGCAATCACTAGGCTATTATGCTCATCAGCGCAGTCACTCTGACTGCCGATGACTTCTTCGGTTGATGACTTATTCTCAGTCGTGTTCCCAAACCCCATACCCCCAAAGAACCCGATAAGATTGTCCATCAAAAAATCTTGTTCCGGAATATCCATATTCAGATTCTTCTTGTTTCAAGGAAACCTGATCCTCTAGTAATGAATGCTAGGCCGGCATTCGTTCTGACCTCTTAATCATGGAGCGCCCCCTTCCACAAGAACTGCATCTCTTCCCAATTAAGACCAAAGGAAATCTTAATTCCTGACATTGTGAGGTCAGGTAGATATCTTCTTGGAGTAGCGCAAACAATATTGACCATTCTTGAACCATTTAAAGATGTCTCTCCTGAAAGCTATTATTCAATGTCAGAGTTCTGATCCCGTAAATCGCATCTAATATGCGATTTCTATCTTTCCTTGTCTGCATAAGTAACGTTTAAATCCTGAATACTCCCACCTTCTTCATATCTAGGTTTCACCTCCTTTCACTATCTTGTTTCCTTTGCTGAACCTTAGCTAGATATATCAGCCTCAAGCTTGAATCGATGTGAACTCAAAAAACACCAGCATTGATTTTTTATTTGCAAGTTTTGTAGATTTCGAGACACGGAAGCGTAAATATTTTGATTTACCGATCTCGGTAGCACCTTTCACCGAGCCATTACTGTTGTTGATAGATCGGGCTGTAGTATCTATATTTCGGATTATCTGACTAAAGCCATTAGTTACGCGTCGATACATCGTGCGAATGTATTTAGACCAGCGTTGTATCTATGCATTTCGCTCTCAACCTGTGCTGTCATGTTTCTCGAGTTACCAATCATTCGTTCGGTGTCCCTTCGTCTAGATAACCACTTCATCCTGCGCAAGAGTGGCTTTTCTTGGCCCTTCAGTCTCTGCTAAGTCTCCCCATCTTCTAAATGCCAAAAAGGAAATTTCTCCAGATTGAGTTTACAAACTTTGCCTAATCGTAAGTCCTTGGGCGTGATTTTCTCTAAGCTTTCATTTCTGACCACTACCTCGATCCTTGAGCATTCTATTTAACTTCCAATTTCTCATTTGAAAGTTATGCGTTCAGTCAAGTACAGTGCCCATCTCCATGCCCGCCGGCTTGACATCTCGAGTGTAGAGAAAACATAATGCACTAATGTGTGAAGTTAATTTGTTAGATCTAAAAAGTCCACTCCTATGGCGATGAAGAATCTATTGCTTTGTACTACCAAAGTGCTGCGAAAAGTACAGTAATTGACGAAGATAAAATAAGATATTTGCGAGCCAGAAAGTCAAGCAGTCAGCGTCAAATTACACCTACCTAATCATTTCAAGCACATAAGCTGCCACACAAGAGAAAGTCACTGCGAAGCCATTTTGATGACAGTTTTGACAGCCACTAAGATTTCGCACACGAAAGAGGCGGTCCAGTGCACCTGTTCATGCAGGACTACTTTTGATTTGGCCGCCATAAAGCAAGAATTACGCGATACTTTTTCAGGAATAAGAGCGATTCTCCTGGGCAATTTTGGTTTGATAAAACGATATGTGAAACGACTTCGAGTGTGTAAAATTCTCTCCGCTTGTTGCCTCAATTTGGCGACTGGAGAGGAGATTTCAGTTTGTGGGATTGTGAGCGATGGGAGATATTTTTCTTCCTTGGAAGAAGTTTATTTGCAATGTCTTTACTGATAAGATATTGTTGAAGAATATTGTCATCAGATCATCCATGCCCTTTCCCTTCAAGGGGAGCTAAATATACCAATTTCACCCCACGATTCTTCATCTCCAAACCTTGAAAGACCTGTACCCTCACCAACACAATTCTCTGGGGCATTAGGTGTTCTCAATCGAGGACAAGGAAAAGATACTGGTTTCGACATCCTTTTGAAAGTTAAGTGCCTTTATGAGCTTCTTTGAAAATATTTCTCTGATCTAGACTAGGATCATAATGCTCGAAAGTTTATTTAATAGATACTCAAAGTATTCACCAGTAGATGGTGATAACCCCGTTGACCTCGCTATCGTAATTGGACATCCATAACTTTCAGCTTTTTTGGTTATAAAAGATTGGGATTGGATGGGTGACTAAGGTGGAAAGTCAAGATGGGATGTTCCTCTTCCGCTGGTGTCTTAAGAGGTGATTTGATGGTGATCTGTAAGCTATTGAGGCCGAGAAAAGAGGGTTTGCGGTAGAACAACGAGTAACGGTGCTTGAAATTTTCTTGAGCTCGTCGTGATTCTGGATGTATAAATAGAGTAGGAAATGATGACGATAGTATAGAGTGGTAGATTTCGATTATTACTTCGTTATATCAATACTAACATATGATTTGATACTAGGTAGGTATACCTACAGGTTCTTGAATCACATGGTAGATTTCATTCGAACTTTAAAGATCAGATGATATTTGTCTTCAGTCATACGATATTCATACAGCAATTGTGAGTTAGCATTGTACAGTCAACCATCGATTTGAGTATCATATTATATCCAGCCCCCAGATCGCAGAGCAGAGAATATCACGAGAACCACAAGGTCTGTACAATTTCCAATGTCTGGGCAGCCGTTATTCCACGTGTGATGGGTGACAGAAGACAATTTGACAATTTGACAATCGTAACACTTAGATACTACGGCGAGCATGATTTGTATCATCAGAAGTCTCACTGCAATGACAATTGAGAGGCTCAAAATGCGAGTGTCACAGAAATACGAGTTAAGACAAGACATACATATATGCCGGCGGGAATGTTAGGATGAACACGGTACCTGCGTTGAAAGCCTCAAAGGATCATGTCCTGAGTTTCACGACAGCGTGGTCTGTACTTCGTAGGACACCGGTAATATTCTGCAGCATGAATTTTGAACCACTGCCGAAATTGGGGAAGCACTCGTTCGTTCACTGCGCTGGCAACCACGTTCCACTGTGTAAGAAAGAAATACGAATCTTTGGAGTCACGACACCCGGGATCGTCAAGCCGGCATAGTGTTAATCTCTTTCTTGAAAGGATGAGAGGGCTAGAAGGAAAGGGAACCTCTGGAGCGAATGCGGAGAAGTGCGACTTTGCAAATTTTCAGGACTGACATGCTGGCATGCAATTTCGGAAAGTATGGGCAGAGGTTTTCGTGGAAATATTCTTGAGAAGGATGAACATTGAACAGCAAATTGAAGAAAACGAATCCGAATGCGTATCCACTCTCGAACCCAGGATAAAAGATGAAAAATATGCAATTCACAAGTTCCACAAAACTAGTGAAGTTTTCTCCGTTCCTCTCCTCCATCGGTTCGCACCCGCCTTGCGTACATACAACTCCACCATGACGATATCAGACTCGATTAGTTGAATCTGGGCCGTTTATTCAATAAATTGAAAACCGCGTAAACAATATTGAACTTTAATATGTATAGTCCGTAAATTGAAGGCCAAAGTAAATATAGTATAAAGACCCCATAGTTCATTTCCGCTTATCGCCAGGAAATGTCTTAGACTCTTAGGGGCGCTTGACATCGACACTAACGCCATATTAAACCTCTTGGTATATTGCGCGTGAGTAGATGGAGGATCTGCGTTTGCGTTATAATTAGGATGATCGTTGCGCAAGTTGAAAAAGAACGTTGAAATACGACTGTGATAAAATCTGAGGGCGGCGAGCGCGGAGATTTTTTTTGTGAGAAATAGGAGGAAGGAACACGTTCTCGTATTACCTCACCTCACGTCTCAGTAGTTTGTTACTTGTCACCTACGGAAAGACGGTGTGATGAAAATCCGATTATCTTGCTTGCACATGCTTCCTGTGTACTGTACCTTTTCTTTTCCCCCCTCGAGTTTGAGTAAGATGCAAGATGTGTGTACCTGCAGATTTATCTAACTGTCTTTGATGCACGCAATTCGCCAATGCAAGGCAAGATCTCGAGACTCGAGCTGACATAAGATTCCCAACCTCCTGAGCTGATGATACATGAGATGAAAATGGGCATACGGCGAATACGAAAAGTGCGAAGAGAAAAAGATCGAACATGAAGCAACAAGAAGGAAGGATTCTTTCGCACAAAGTAAATACCTCTTTAGACTGGGGCGGAATTCAGAGTCTCTTGAAGCAAAATGAACACATTTGATTTGTTCTTGACCTCTGCGAAAATAATCAAAGATGGGTTTCAACAGGTTTTTGGCCCTTGTAACGTAATCCTTGATCCTCTAGCGAAGCGAATAGAGAATCTATTTAATCTGAAACGATGGAATGAGATTGCTCGGACTAGAGTCTTGGATAGGAAACCACGAGGGTAGCAGGGATTATGATTGTGATTGTGTGAGATAGAATAGGAAGGACCATTACCTACGAGGTTACTATGTAGAAAGTGGAAGAGTGGAATGAAGATGTCTAATTTGAAGTTACCGAATTTATTGAAAAGCTTCAGGAGTTTCGCTGATACAGAGTAGTGAAGGATTATAGCGTGTGACTCGCATGCGTGGTAATTGCTTGAAGCTTTTTGAGTATGTATAGTGTGAGTGTATATGAGTACCAGTAGGTAGTCAGTAGCTGTCCCCAAGAGTTGATTAGTCTGTTTGCATTTGTCTCTGTTGTGTGGTGTTGTGCTGTGTCGTGATGCTATTTCCACGCTCCTTGCTTGTTCCTGGATTCGCCCGTTTCCCGTGCGGCCGTTACTCACAGGCTAAAAGGAGATGGCAGGAGCTGGAGTGCTTTGGTGTTTGGTATCGAAATAGGTTGGTAACTAAGATAATGCATCATGATAAGGAAGGTGTAACTGTGTAATAAGAATGATAAAAGCGGCCATGAATATCACGCTCTATCAGGTATTCCATTGGTCGTTTGTTCGACGCGAGCACCCTAATGTATCAAAAGAAATCCTGCTGCTTTGATATTTCATACTCTTCTAGAACAACTGATCAACTAAACCAACTTAACCCATCTAAATCACCTAATTAGACCTCAAATTGTACTGAGGCATGGCGTCGACTTAGCTTTCAACCCACCAATGAAATCGAGATACAAAAACTAAATCTACGACATTTCTTTTAGTCCCTGCTAATGTGGTGACCCGCAGAAAACTCTCGAGACCTCTTTGACGACCTGTAAACAAAAAAAAACCTCTCCAAGAATTCAGGTCTGATCAATCAATAACCACGGTCCCTTGCAACTGGAACCTTTCCTTTTTCAATCGTACAGAGTATTGTTATTTCCTCTCCAATGTCTTTTTCATCACCTTGCATAAGCAGGGGACAGATTTTGTATGGCGAGAGACATAGCCCTTATCCATGGGTCAAATGGTATGGGTCATGGATAATTCGGGGAACAAGGTATAGAAACTTTGTCCAGATTGAAGGCCTTTCTGCAAGATTCATGCCCGTCAGCCAGTCAAATTATCACATTGAAGGGTCGAATAGAGTACTTTGAGTGTCTACCCTGCACGGCACTGTTTTCTCTGCGCTGCTGTCCACACCAAGTACTTCTTCTATGTACTGCGTGCCCCCATTCCCCTCATTTATACGAAGAAATAGAGCATGTACCCTTAGGAAGAGCCCCCCAAATTTGTTAATTGCCAGGTTCTCACCAGGGGAGTAGATATTGATCAGACCATTCATTCTCTTTGCTGACCGGTGCGAACAAATTGGGGTGATTCGAGAAGAATCGTAGATCCTTCCTTCCTATTTGTCGAAGCGGTTCCCAAGTCACCACTTCCTTTCTCAACGCCTTTCTCGATTTCGAACTCGAACTCGAACTCGAATCAATTCGATTTCCTGTGGCTTCATTTCATTGTCGATAACTTTCTTTAAATTCATAACACAAGCCTTGCGCTGCAGCATTGCTTGATCGACCGACGGGCTCGAAGCTCTTTTTTTGGATACAATAGGCTGGCGATAGGATCTCGATTCTGAAACAACCAAAGAATACCTACCTACATACAAGCTTTGAAAGCTTTCTTCTACATACAGTCAGATTCCCTCGTCAAAATAAATACTGGCACCCAATCTTTTAACTTGTACCCAGAGAGACTGGCTTCTCCCACAATAAGAAAGTTTGAAGATCAGAACGTTTGAGGTCGACGAAGGGATTTATACATTCTCTCTTCGACTTCAGGAAGCTATCGGGAATATTGGGAGAGAAGAAAGAATAGTTCAGGGAAGGCTTCATACCAATTCAAGGATCCACGCAGGCTTGCGAAACACCAAATGTATGTGAACGATTTCAACATACTCGATGATTACCCGTAGTGTGCCTGGTGAGGAATTTTCGGGCTTTTGGTTTAGTTGTGACGACCTCGTTGCATGGGATCATTCTCATATCTCATACTGTTATGACTTTTCACAATTGATCACTAAGGCACACTATCTACTTGAAGTTTCTTTTTAGCCAAAAGCCCTCGAGAGTTGATACCGAGACCATCTTGTATCTTGCCCTATGGCCCCTCTTCGTCTCCAGTCAATCTTTTGCCCCTGGTTCTATTGTGTTTTCTTGCTTTCATTACGCGCAGGTCATTTGTCGCTGGCGATAGTTGCTAATTGATTGTGCTTGAGTAGTTTACACTCTCTAAAATTGCCACAGTGCACATTCATCTTTGCAGATTGACTTGATTGGCTTTTTCATTCACTACATACGAATCACCTTTGAGCTTTGATATGCGAAAGTATACATCGGTCCAATAGATATTCAATCCTTCTTTATCTTCATTAACGGTTCCCAGTGAACCGAAATTACGCTCTTTAGCAAGTCTATATTCTTCTAACATCAAGGTTCGCCCTCAACATCTTTCAAAAAGGAAAGAAAAGAATTCGGTACGCAAGTTCAATCACCGGCTGAAAGTTTCATTGTGGCGCGGCATATCCTAGGAAAAGCTATTGGTCATTTACAAGGTGGTGGAAAAAGAAACCTATTCAAGTGCGAAAATAATAATCTCAACGGAACGGCTTCATGCAGATACGAACGAAATAAATACACGGAAGAATCCGAGCGATTGGATATTGGTCCGAATTTGCGGATACCTCGATATCATTTCACTATTGGTAGTACGAACGGTTTAATATCTCTATCAGATGAGTCAACAACAATGGGATGCGCCGACAAGGGGTGGATCGGTGAAGAGGGCAAGAGAAAGAGCGGCAGCAGGTAGGCCTACCGAATCGATACCTGCACCAAGACCTTATGATCCTTCATCACCGAGCAATATTCCAAGTCCACCAAGAGCAAAATTTCAAAATCCACCAGGAACGTCCAAGAATGGTGGTCAAAGCGCAGTTGGTCTGGCGATTTCTCGACCTACTCAAGTACCACAATGGCCATTAAAGGGAACAAATCCTGGTCCAGATTCTCAGCAGTATCAACCTCCTCCTAATCGCGGCCCCCCTCCTCAGAGACCGCCAAGACCTAGTCATGTACCTTCAATCCTTGATTCGTCCAGAATACAAGATATCACCCCAACCTTTCAATATCAACCACAACCACCTCCACAACCAAAAGATTTATACCCACCACCACCACCACCAACCCGTGGCTCGCCACGAAATCGAGACGATGAATTTGATCAAAACTACCAATCACTACAATCGCCTTTGTCATCATCACGTCCTTCGACTGTTTCATCAGTTGGTACAATACCCGACTTTCCTGTTCCCGTACCAGCCATCCCACCATCGGCAAGGAGAAGTGCTAATCTAGGACCACCGCCAACCTCCCGAAGAGGTGCCTCGTCATATTATTCCCAAGCTTCCTTTGTCTCCCCAATCCCAGAGGTATCAGAGGGCATGGGCCTCAGTCCACGAACACTCCCAGGCTCACATAGTTCATATGCATCAAGTGCAGCTATACCCTCGAGTTGGGGACCAGAATCGCCTGGTTATTATCGATCGGATGAGGATGATGATGATTATGAAGATGATAGAAGGTTCGATGCAGTATCAGAAGGTCGGGAGTCTCGAGGATCGGATGACAATGACGATCGAGGATTGATTAGAAGTGCTAGTATTGGCAAGCGAGCGAGACCGTCCATGATCGTGACCCGATCCTCAAGTCAGATCGACCCGGCACGACTTGCTGCAATGCCCATGCCGCCATCCGACAACAAGAGACTGGGCCCAGCACCATTACAGAAATCAACGCTCAGTCCCGCAGAAGCTCAAAGATCAACACAATGGCCAATGCCAGGAAATCCAAATTCACCTTTAGCTGGTGGTACTGGTCTCATTGACCCTACCCCATCAAGCTCTGACGAATCAGTTCCGACCGTCGCTATGGCCGTAACGACCGATCCACCCTCACGAGATGGAACGAAGAGCCCGGGTGCAAGCGCTATGCTCGGAGCATATCAAGCAGCAAGTGCACTACCTGGTGACTCGATTAGAACCAAGTCGCCCTTTGCAAACGAAGGAGGACCTTTTAGCAGGCTATCAGCAATCCGTCGACCACCACGTCTCAATATTGATGCCGTAAGGGAGGCAGAGGCAAGAGGTAGTTTGACAAGTTTACCGGATCTAATTAGGAGAGCAACAAGACTAGCTTCAATGATGGATCGCGGTAAAAGACCAGGAAGCCGAATGGGTCTTGATGATTTTCCAAGTGACAGAGACTTTCCCAGTGAGAAAGAAATTGAACGTAAGTGGTAGTCTTTTCTCTATTATAATACAAGCTCTAACATGTCTCAGTTTCTCCCAACTATGACAGACGAGGTTCTACTCTCTCCGGAATGTTATCAGCTTTTCCACCTCCCGGTCGTGAGACGCCTGCCCGCGATGCTCCACGACCTTTATCAATGTGGCCAGAATACGATCCAAATGATCCAAAATCTGTCGCAACTGGAAAAAAGCAAAGAAAGTGCTGTGGTCTACCTTGCTGGGGTTTCATTGTCGTTTTAATAATTCTACTCATAATAATTGCGGCCGCCGTCGTCGTACCTCTTAAATTTCTCGTAATTGACAAACCCTCCACAAGTACCACTGCAACCGCAACTACTGTACAAAGCTGCACTGCAAACGCTTCGACTGCCTGTAAGAATGGCGGAACCTCTTTCGTCGACAATAGTATCTGTACTTGTTTATGCATAAATGGATTTACAGGTAGCACATGCGCAGTCTCGGGATCTTCGGGTTGCACAACAACGTCATCAAGCACTGCTGCAAACACTACCATTGGCGACTCGATACCCCGACTCATTTCAGCCGCTCAAACCAACTTTTCGATCCCCTTGTTTGAGAACACAATTCTAGCAAGATTTAACAAAGGAAATTTGAGTTGTGCGTCGGAAAATTCCCTAGTCACTTTTGATGGAAGTGATGAAAGAATGGGAGATGCAAGTGCTGAAGTGACGTCTACCACGGACAAGAAGGTGAAGAAGGACGTGCAGCAGGTCCCCACAGATGTTGAGATTCGAGTAATTGCAAGTCCAGACTCAACATTTATCTCAACAAATATCATCTCAGTAGACTCTTCCACTAATCAAGCAACACCTACTTCCTCTCAGTCTCAGGCCACTCAAACTTTCTCAGCAGCATCGACCTCTGTTGCCTCACCTTCTACAACTTCCTCTCCAACCACAACAGGAACTGCATCTGTAACTTTGACAACCTCCACTGTTGACCCAACAGCCGTCTTCACTATTACTGAGGAGGTGCTAGACTTTGCAAGAGTCACTGTCCTTTTTGTTTTGCAGCAAGAAAACTTGGATAATGCAGTATCCGCACAAGGAGAATTACAAAAGTTCTTTAATCAACAAAGCTCCGAGAACTTATCTGCAATGAATGTTTCGATGGGAGGCGGTAATACTGTTAATTTGGTGGAATTCAAAGTAGATTTGGGTAATGGAACAGTGGGTCAAAAGAACACAGTCTCAAAATAATTGTGCTTAGCTGGTCGTTCGATCAAGTTCAAAGTACAAAGCCGACTCGGGGAGATGACCGGGTATGGGGTTAGAAGGAAGGTAACGAAGTTTTGTATATCAACTGTAGCGATTAGTAAATGCTCTGCTTTTATGGATACCCAAAATGCGGAGATAGTGTGGATGGGCAACGAGAAATTTGTACATAGAATCGAATATCCTTTTTCGAAAACTCTTTCGTTGACTATGGTTTATTTGTGGCTTGTATGAATATAATGTCTCTTCTATTTTGCTTCCTTTTTTCAGACTTCTTTTTCGATGCAAAGTGGGTCTGATTCGAGAGATGGGCTTGATTTGGGGAGGATTTGTGGTCGTGTTCTCTGAGCGAATACGATCTTCCGGAAAAGTCTCCCGGAACTTTCTCTTCTTTCAGGCGGCCTTTGGGTACACGTGAATTGGGATTGTGCGTCTTAGAGTGAACGTGCAAGGGAACAAGGGCGCCATGCAGAAGAAGTTGTGAGGTCGTGGAGCCGAACGGGTGGCACAATGGCATACTGAGAGAAGACGAGATGACTGAAAGACCATATGTAGCGCGAGAGTAACGCTGAGGTTGATGACTGAAAGGAGAGAAGGGAAGAGAGGACGGGCTTTTTTAGGCCCATTCTAAGGGTGTAGTAGGTAGTGCTAGTGAAGCGAAAATTGGTGGAAGAGGGAGAGAAGCGAGCAGGTGATAAAATATAGATGTTATGAAAAGAAAATTATACCCTTACTTTAACTTTCTGATTTGATGTTTCGTGCGTTCTTGCTAGGGAACTAATAGCTTTTCATATAGTATTCAAGAGTTGTAATTGCCGAGTGAAGGGGTGGAGATATTGTGATCAAGGAAAGCTGGATTTATACCTGTCCCGCCATCGTAGACATTTAGTTGAACATAGAGGAGTGTCATGATTTTGTCGTCGTTGCAGAACTTTAGTAAAGAACGGTAGATCAACTTTGAAGCTTTTGCCTGGGGAACGACAAAGTGGAAATTTCAGGTATTAATTGGAAGGTATTCATTAGAGCGGGGTAGTCCCTATGGTCTCTTAGAAGATCCTTCTGAAGCTATACCGCCTTCTCGTATTCACTGACCAGAGTTCAACAAAACCGAAGACTCAAGCAAAAGGCCGAGCTCCAGCTGCCGTAGCGTACATGTCATGAGCTCCTATTTATAACCCTCGATAATCCCACCACAAACACTGTTTCTCTCCTAACCCTACACACATTTCACTCTACCAAACATTCAAGATGTCTTTCAACGGTAGGGGCTCATCTTCACACAAGGAGCCACAACCTGATGGCAGTCAAGTCGAAGACACCAAACCCGACCAAGCATCGTCTGGACCGTCAGTAATGATGGGTGAAGAACCAAAGGAAAAAACCCTGACTGAAGGTAAAACCAGCCAAGAAAAAGATAGAACGAAAGCATCGTCAAGGATTTTACAATCGCGATCGAAGAATGTATGGAGTCCAGCGTACGTTTGGATTTTGGGAACCTGCGGGTCGCGAAGGCGCAGAGCAAGATGCAGCAAGTATGCAATCCACCTTGATCATGATTCTCATGCCGCACTGATAAAATTTGGCTAACTAGACAAAGATGAATCTAATTCCGACTGGATTTCCACTTCCGAATGGGATTCCGATGCTCCATACCCTCCCCCCCAGATTAAGAATTGCAACCTCCGCGACTACAACATACCTGTCAATGATAAAACTCCCATGGATAATCTTAGCTTGGAACAATTTATACTTACGGAGACTGAAAATATCCTTACAAGTTCATGCATTTCTTGGTTACGAAAACATCATCCTGCTTTGGTAGCTAGGGAAGGATGGGGTAATGGCAAAAAAGGTTCTTTGGAGGTGAAACAACCCGAATAACGCACTCGATTCAGAAAGTATTTTAAGAGAATCAGGTGTGTTAGGTAATCAAAGTAATTGATATACCTAGTCAAGCTCATTGAACCGTATTAATTGGATTAGGTGATATTATCTTATAAGCAAAAAATCTGTTTAAGTATAAGGTTGAAGCTCGTCTTATAAACCAATTAATGTTTTATAATTTGAAATATTATAGACTTTTTAGCTTATAAATATAGGGTATAAAGTCTATTTAAATATTCTGTTATAATCCAAAAAAAAGATTCTTGGTTAGATGAGAACATAGTCCATTAATTCAGTATGACTAATAACCAAATATTTCATTCTAATCCAATCAATACGGTATATACATTTAATTAGAACACGCACTATACTTATTGTAACCCTGCATCCATTATCTTCGTGTTTTCTGACGCAGATAAGTATTAGCCTGTACCGTCCCACGAGCCAGCGACTTCAAACCATTTCCCCAAATCTTTTCTCCTTTGGATTATGCTGCATCGAGATGTTGAAGAATCATTTGAATGAAGTCAAATGAAATCAAATTTACCGAATCGTCTAATATCGCTATGGCACTAAGACCCACTATTAGAGCCCCAATTCGAGTATTAGCCGACATAGCGAGTTTCTGACTAATAATTGTTTCTTCAACGACATCTAACGTAGGTTTTAGAGGACTTGCGCGTCCTCTGGACCTGTTCGGTCGAGGCTGATCAGAATTAGTACTGGGTTAATGTAACTTTATAGTCACTGGTCTATCATGAGTGTCAGCCATTTCTCTGCGTACATTTCTCTCAAATTGAAACGTTTCTAGGTCCATCCAATTCACTACACCTGTTGATTACCTAACCCAGGGGGAAAAAAAGAGGAAAATTCTCAGCCATAGGTAGGTATATAACGCATCTTTTGAGCATAGAAAAATGCACCAAAAATAAAATGGTAAAAGAGTGGTGAAGAAGAAGAGTAAGATATAATTCAGAGGGGAAGAAGAGACCTTCGACGGTGATCTCGTCGACGAGGTACCGGAGGATTTGTCGATGTCAGCACGACCGTTAAGCCTCGGTGACAGACCCGTAATGGCGCACGAATGAACAACTTTTGTTTCAGTATATAAACTGCCACCTGACTATTTCGATGTATCGTATGATTGCCTAGTAATACGAGGTAAGCGTCGCATTTTCATCAGGCTCTCTCTCCCGGTAACAACTATTCTATGATGTAATTGCTGTCTTCGTATATTCATAATAAACTAACCTATTTGCTATAGCATACCCTAATAGGGATAAGTTCAGTGACAATGATGACACATTTGACTGGTCATTTTACATCCAAGAAGATAGTCATCAGATGTTGATAACCCAAGGTGATAGCTAGAAAAATGATACACTAGAGCAATTCCTTCCCATAGTCTACGCTTGTGCGCAGATTTAGCCAGCATTGGGATTATGTTAGTCACATTATAATTTGTTCTCTCTGAAGAGCGAATTGCAGCCCTTTATATTGATAGCTTAGCAAAATTGAATCAAGTAAACCATTCTCGTCATCAACCCCGACAAGCAAACGAATTTATCTTTCATGACTATCAAGGTGGTGTTTTTGAAGATTGAAACTCCTCTTGGTAGGTCGATCGTAAAGAGAAATTTTTTTAGCTTCTCACATTCGTGTCTTGTAGGTTTGCGATAATAGACAACTTGAGATCAAAACACAATGAAGCGATTTATATACAGCTTCGAATCTAAACAAGAGAGTTCCTCCCAATGCCATTTGTTCAGATGAACTGTGAGTTTTTCTTGCTCTGACAATGATTCGTCCAGTACTTATTTTAAAAGCACCCAGAATCTTGTCGATTGATAACCGGCGGTACCTATCGCTCGAACCGGCTCTCATAACGCTCCATCTATCTTCTCATTCCACAGCCCGAATAGACTCTTTGATAATCACTCTCTCGCTCTGGAAAATGTCAAGTCTTATGTCCTTCTTTGACCATGTGTTTGTCCTTTCATTTTCGCGCCATTTTCTATCAATTATTTTTACATCATCTTCATACTTCCGCTCTATGATGGTAATTTTTTGTTTTGCCGATATTTGACTTCGAATTCTTGAGGAATGTCCACCGAATTTGTGGTGTTATTTGGGAGACGTCGATGTGCTGTAAGCGGCCAGATGAAAAAAATCAATGTTGGTAAATAGCAAGAGTTGATTTGAACAGAATTGAAAGTCAAACCCTCTTTTCATATTGAATCAGAGGTTAGATGGTGTAGATAGGCATCTGAAAGGGTCCTTATTAGACCTTTGGATTGTCAATGGAGTTTTCGATATGGGACGGGACGTTGCTGATGCTACATGTAATACTTGACCCAAAGTTTATGTCTCCAAAAGAATAAAAATATATCATGTAAAACTACATAAATAAATGCATCAATCATTCCCATCCTCCAACGGCTCTTTCAAATGATTGTCTGTACAGAATAACAATCGAAAATCATGCCATCGAATGAGTGATACCCGACCTTCTATCACACTAAGACTGTGAGTTTAGCTTAATCCGGCTTTGATGAGCAGCCAAAATCTCACCTGACTATTTATGTGTCAATAATTTTAGAACATTCATCGTTATCTTGGAAGGCATGGTTTGGGTTATATCCCATCTTAATTCAGCCAACAGACGGCAACTCATTTTTTGGATTGATTCAACCAATAAACAAGAAGTTAGTAGAAGTTATTGTGTTCCAAGAGCCTCAGAGTACATTCGACATTGTACAGTCGTATCTGTGAGGATAAATTAAAGGAAAAACTGCCTCAAGTCCCCTCACCCAAAGCATTTACCACTGTGGCGAAGAGCATTTAGTGTTTATCATGTGTAATTACTAAGTTAGGCCTCTAGTGCTAGTCATTTTGTCCCTTCATCAATCAGTCATTACAAAATTCTATGAGCCCTTCTACTTTGCCATTCCAACCTAGCCCAGTGAGTGAAATATCCCATTTCGAGCTCACACGCTATCTATCTCACAGCTGTGCTTTTGGGAAAATATCTTCTATCAAGCTCTCTCGTACACTCCTGATTCTCTACCATTGCAGTCTCCTGAGAGTTATCTCACACAGCAATCATGCTATTATTTTTGTTTTTGAGACTCTCGATGTGTTGATGGAAGCTTCGACCATCTTCTCTGATGTTCAGTCCTCCATGAATATTCTTCGCGCATGTTGACACAAATTCACGGATATCTCTCAGATTCACCACTGCTTCATCATCCTTCATCATTTTGGCGAGCTTGATAGAATCCTCCAACATCTTATCAAGAATTTCGATGGCAAGTCGTCATGTGCGGTGTACGGCGCTGTGGCGGATCTGGTCTACTTTGTCTAGTAAGCCGAGAAAATTATTCGTTCGTTGATTGGCAGTAAGTCTCAACGTGTTTTCTTTAATCTTATGGCCGTTCAATTGTCTGTGGAAGAGGTGCAATTCTGTATCAAGCTCGTGCGTCCAATGGCAGGATGCTAGAATACCGGGATGATGTTGCTTTAGCCATTTAAAACATGCTGCTTCGAGGAGCAGTTGGGTGTCCATCAGTACATAGAACTGCAGTTTCACAGGTAAATGTGTCCGATCGGAGATCGGGACATCGTATTGCCCAAGATCGTATTTTCTTGTTCCTGAAATTCTTATTCTAGGCCTGCACTCCCTAACTTTGAACGGAGTAATGGTAAGCAAAAGGGTAACCAAAGGACAGATGACTCTAATAGAGCTATCACAACTAATTACCTTTTCTATCTCTTCTTCTTCTGTTCGCTTTTGCGTACATTCCCAAGTCTCTATTATGTAGCGAATCCCTACGGTCAGGAAACAGCGAATCATGGCATTTCTTCTGTCTACCGACAAATGAGGCGTTCATGACCGTGGAATCTGGAAGCTCAGGTGCTTCAAACTCCATGTCGCTAACTTCTGCGTCCTCAGGCCTAGGATACGGGAAAAAGCTTTCCCAAGTCTTTGCGGGCTTGTGAATCCGCTACCATCCATCCATCCTCTATCATTTCCATAAGACTTTGTAAGATTGTGCTTGAGGTTAATCCAGCTAGCAAAGGTCCACGCGCCTCAAAGTCAGTCACAATCTTGACCTTAATGTTTCGTATCGACTTATATGGTTTGTTATCTCAATTATCAAGCCGCCAAATGCCATAAATACTCTGAGACGGTCGCGCTGGAAAGTGGTATCTAACTTTAGCCATTCTGGGCGTTCATCTGTTGTGGACATTTCAATGTCAGGTCTTTATCAATGAGGGTTTGTGATGGGCCAAAAAGAATATTCCTGGGACATGAAACAGCGATCTCAATAATATCATGAAATTTGACATCACGAACTTTGATCTGCGTGATTCCTACATCAACGCTACTGAAACGTGTCGACGCGTTCGTTCGAAGGTTCGACAGTGAATAAGAGTGCCACAAAAAACAAAGCTTCTTTTGGGATATTGATAATTTCGATAGCCTCGTATGATTCACTAGTCTAGCGTGTGCATTAACCCTCGAGGCGTTTGGTCACATGATTTTTAATAGCTCTGCTAGGAGGGTTTGGATGGCCATTTTCTAAATCGCGCTTGGTCGGTGTAAATATCAACCCTTTTTTAATAGTTTATTGTAATAATCAATTATTCAATCTTATAATAATAAATTACAAATGATATAAAATAAAACTTTGATTGATTGTCTATTTAATACAAGTTTTTCTATTTCGAAATTCCAAATTTTGTTAATACAAATGCAATTGAAAAAGTTTGAGTTGTTTATATAATATATATATTTTATTTACAAAAGTCATATTTCAAATTGATACTATTGCTATTTAGTGCTACAGGAGGACTAAAGAATAAATCAAAAGATAGATCTGAATTACTTCGACCTATGGATTCGAAATCACATATCAAATCACTTATAGCTTTAGTAATTATAAAGTTGATATATGTATAATATTTTAATGATGGTTATTATATGCGATTTAGAAAACAGCCGACTAGATCCTTTGGGAGGACCTTATGTATATCAGTTAATCAAAAGAGCGAAAGGTTCAGAAGTGGGTCGATGTATACACTAGACTTATGAATCACTTGAAAACTTCATCAGTATGTAATAAGTGTCTCAAAGAATACACCTAGCATGTCAGTTATCAATATATGCACAACCATCCCCGAGCCTTTCCAAGTCCTTCAAATGCGGCTTTGCACCAGTTAATATCCAGGCATTTACCGCAAAATTTAGAAGACATCACTTTAATGATGATTTGACGGAGCGGACAGGTAAAATATGCTCATCATGTACCCAAGATATGGGACCGTAGTTCGAATGTATATCTTTGCTAATTACTGCAAACTTAACCTCCAATCTCAGACGATAAATTCGCTGGGAAAGGAGAGAGGAGAGAGTAACGAGTTCCGTCGATTCAGCTGTTCTCCTAATATAATCTGTCATAAGGTTAGATAATACTTTCGCTGTATAGACGGAGTTTAGATAATAGGAGACTACCTTCGATGGTTCCCATCAGCAAAGCGCAAAGAATTTTGAATGTATGAAAAAAAGCTGACTTATTATCTCATCGTTTATGAGATTAAATGGAAATACTAAAATGCCTTCACGACACTACCAGGCCACAATAGTATACCTTACTAACTTGAAGCGAAACATTCCGACTTTCTAATGCTGGCTTGGTAACTGCATGTGTGTACTGGATGTTTTTTTTTTCGATTTTAGAATGATATTCTATTTTATGATTATATATATTCTGGACTATTGACGAACATCGACATCAAGTAGTGGAATAAGTATATTAAATAATGCCCCAGATAGTCATTTGATACACGAACTTTTATGGTGAATGGTCCGAAGGTGTACGTTGCGCAAGCATGAGATTTCGTAGCAGTCCAATCTGCAAGAAAGGTTAAGCACGAGATTAGATCATAATATAAGTACACTAAAATAATAGACAACAAGCTCATAGTCTTATAACCTGGTGATCTTCTGGCTCCTTCTTGTTAGCCAACTTATCCCTTTTTTGCTGTACGTGTCAGCCGCGAGATTAAGTGATTCGAGCAATGAAGACATGTATCAATATCAAAAGTATTAGATAATGATGATTGAATCTTTTATAAAAATGTGAAAATCTGCCATAAGATAGTCGCTTAATAGGTATACGTATTGAAATTAGCCGCTAGTTCCCACACCAAAACGAAACCGGACACCTAGCCGAATTGGAAAGTTGTTCGCATATCATCGAGTCAAAAAGACACCTTAAGGAAATTACTTTGCTGTCCTTCCGTCGCCCGCTCACGGGTTAGCCATACCTCAGGCCTTCGGTTTTCTTGAAAGACATCCTCTTCCTCACTATACCAAGCACCAACTACTCCTTCTACATTTGTTTACTTATTCAATATATTTTCAAAATCATTCTTCACTAATATTTCTCCACAATCGACTGGATACCCGAAGTTACACAAGAGCATTGACTCTCGACATCGCCATCCATGGATCCTCTCATCCTTTCCCATTATTCTAAGCATTCGTTGAACGCTCTTCTTCACCAATATTTTTGGCTACCTATTTTTCACTTTTTCAGTCGTTATTTCCGTATTGACTCGCTTAATTGATGAGACCCATAATTTTGACAGGTTCCCTCTGTTGGGTTGGAACCTCGAAGAGTTCTGAATGGATGATGATAATCATTTCGAGCGCATATCATGCTCTGGCCAAAGAACAGACGGGTTAGATTAAATGATCTTTGCTTTGAAACTTCTATTCTGACAAAGCTGGCAAGCTTTCCATCTCATAAGTCAGTGAATTCCGCTGTTAAGGTCAAATGAGCCCGGAACATTGAAACACTGTATAAACGTCTTAAACAATAATTATGGATCAAATCACAATCTAGAGGAGGGCAAATCTGTTACGTATGATGTCAACCCAAAAATTATTAGACTGACTCTGGCTCTATAAGAGAAGATTTTAAGCAGAGGGCGCATCGGTCTTCAACGCCGGGTAAAAGTGAAGGTTCGAACAAGTTGACGTCGACACATTGAATGTCTCTATTTGGCGTGTTACCCTACCTACCTAAACACGCAAAGCTATGCCAACTATTTAAAATATTACTGATTAGAAGATAAAGTACTCGAGAGCGCTTTTTCTGTATCGTAAATTATGTATTCACAACAATCTCTGTCTCTGCGAGAAATCATTTTCATACGTGCGGGAACAAAGATGGTGAATTGATTCAGCTTTCTACGGTACGGTGTATTTAATCACAATGTTTCCAAGAATGTTGATTCGAATTTCTTCCTACCAACATCGTTTGTTACGAGATTTGACATAAAAATAAGAAGCCTGCCTTTGACCAGGCCATCGTCTCTTTCCACATGAAAAGAGTTCTTCAAAAAGTCCTCAACTGACAAACTACCATAAACCTGGATAATCATATCAATCTACCACAAAAGTTTATCATGTCTGACAGAGGGGTCGGGTTGGTTTCTCATCTTTTTCTCCGAAGGAAGCTTGCGCTAACTTACCTATCACAGTAGAAAATCTGGCACAAACAGATTCTCCATTTCGAATCGTCCTACTGTCTCCAAGCGTGCTACCGCAAAGAACACCATACCAACTGAAGATCTCTCTATTATCATCAAAAATCAAGAAGCCAACATTAATGATCTCAATCTTCGCCTTGACAAGATGGAGCAGAAAATCAAGAATATCGAAGGGATCTTGACGAGGGTGGATGCTATTGAGCAAGCCGTCCAAGGCGTTGGAGAAGAGTCAGGACAACCGACAGATGATAACATACATGCTGCTACGTCTCAGAAGTCTACGAATACTCTCAAGAAGAAAGAGAATATGTATCGTGCACTTGGCATCAAGCCTCCTGCAAGTAGCTCCTGATTTTTGAAAGGCGTGCTATAAGGGAAGTGTTGTCAAGGGAGGTATCGTGCAAAGAGAATCAAAGTGAGGTCAGCTGGAAGCTATTGCAACGTGGATTTGCGGGAACATCTGCCTGTACAATCTTACTCAGATACTACCATTCGCAAGGCTGCAGGAAGGGATAGTCTTTCACTTGTGGAAACAAGCTCATTTCCAATGAATCGAAGAGACTACGACTAGTATTTCTAGTAATCATAATCCAAAGTCTTACACTGCATGTCAGCCTTCTTTCACGTTTTCCTAATTTAAGTCATCCGGAATTAAATAGTGATCTGCTCTTGAAACTTAAAAGTAGTGCTGAACTCTCTCTCAAGTGCCAAATGGAAATTTCTTACTCTTTATCTACTGACGTATACTATATTATCTGGATGTATAGCATCAATAAACTACTGAATTCACCCTCCCCCCTAAGGGATTTCGGACACAAATCCAAGTCATGAATGTATCACAACATTAAAGAAGTCAGTGCCTCTTTTTATTTGAGCCGCAACTGCGGCACTTCTGAGTATCCCACAACAATTTGTAGGCCAAAAAGTTCAATAATCTCTAAAAACAGTTATGTCATGCTACCTCAAACCCTTCTTTCACACCAATTTAAATCTCCATACATAACTTGATACCTGCAACAAACTCGTTCTCCGGATCTCTGTTCTATATGACTTTGAATTCTTGCATGAGTCAAACCACCAAATAAGAAACTTCGGTCAAGGCCATCTGCTGCGCTGGACAAATTCCACCACCCCCGAGAAAAGGTAAATATTCCCATGTTGTTCGTAAGTTTTCCCACCTCTCAGGACGAAACTCCATCGCATCTTCTCTCTAGATGTTTCGATCTTTATTAGTGCATGAAAAACTATTCCAATTTCCGTACCTGGACGAACCAGGATGGGGCTTTTACCATCTGGTCCACCTCCTCTTGGAAGTACAAAATCTTCAACACATGTTCGTATACTGAGACCTGCTGGAGCAAGACCTGGATTATCAGTGTATTGTTATGAGTGTAAAGGGTATACTATACTAACTTTCATTGACTACGAACTTAAGATACTTTATCGACTTTGGCAGGTCGAATCTTATGGCTGCATCACCTATACTGATAACTTCCTCGCGCAAATTTATATAGACATCCGGGTGACGGACTAAATGAAAGAATATGAAGCCATTTGCACTAGAAGTAGAGTGACGAGCTGGAAGAAATAAATTCAACATTTGGTTTTGAAGTTCCGTTTTATTCTTTGTTTTCTTGATGAGCTGATCCAGATACACATAGTTGGCTGGCGAGACTTTTTTTAACAGGTTTCGCCGATACCTGCTGCCTGCCGATAGCCATGTCGACGTATCTGTCAATTAAAGTATGGACATAAGATATGTCTTTCCTCAATTATGTATTACGCCCATAAATGAAAACCAATCTGCCAAGAAACATACGAGTGTGTAGGCCTATCAGAAATTTATCAAATATCGAGATAAAATCTTCCGTAGAATCATCCTTTGTGCCAGCAAGAAGGGAGTCTTGTGATACCCCGAAGAGTAAGGCAGTTGTTCTGTCTAAAAACTGCATCATAAATCATTGTTTCAACAAGTCACCCTTCGCATACAAACATTAATGCTTACCACTCTTTTCAAAAGTGGTTGTAGATCAATTGTTGAACCATCTCGGGGTATCAATTCCAGCAAACGATTCACTTGTTTCTCAAGTGATGGGATGACGGAAAATCTGACCCCAGAAAATAGTTGCTTAGCAATGCTTCTTTGATAGGCCTACGATTGTCCGTCCGCAGTGAAAATACCTACCGTCTTGCATCAAAGGTTCTACTACCAGTATCCGGGACGGTGCGACGCCAAACTTCTCCGAGCTGTTAGCTAGAACTGTTTGGGTCACCAAGGAATCCATGGTGTCAATAACTGTTGTTCCCCAAGAGTTCGACTAAAATATCTTGAAATTTGCAGTGAAGAGCCCTGCAACTGTCACAAGCATGCTTCCACTTTTCATGGCCTTCGCCCATGCTACAAACATGTGGATGCCGAAAAAAGGATCTTCATGAGCATATTTCTTAGGAGTAGAGCATCCATTCGCCAGCATTGCATTACGATACAGTACTAGGCCACTTATATCCGCCCCCCCGCTTATTTTATGGTGTCACATATTGCACCACCCTTTTTCAATATTAAATATTAAATCAATCAAGAATTATAAAATTATCAAATTTGAACAAATGAATAATATATTCTTATATTATTGATATATATAAAAATTATTTTATTATTAACTTTTAATCTATTAATATTTAGTATACTAATTATTCACTACAATATAAGCCTTAATTTTAGAAGATATATTAACTTCCAAATTATTAAATAATTCTTTATTTAATATATCTCAAGCTATTTATAAATAATTCTTTAGTTTTTAATAAGTATATTCTGATTTGCTTTTATTAATAGTGATATTAGGAAATATCTTATATATTTTTATCTTTAGGGTTTATTATATATACTCTATAGAATTAAAATCAGGGGAATAAGGAAACTAATTTTTTAATAAAAGGATCTCCTTTTTTTAAAATTAATCTTATATTTTATAAATACAATAAATAGAAGTATTATTCTATATAAATTTATATTCTGAATTAAGTTTTTCGAAAATAGAGTTTATTTCAGTTTTAAAAATCTTGAAATAAAACTTAGTATTATATTCATATTTTGTATTCTCAAAATCCCTATTTATTATATATAGATTGCTTTTTCTAATATTTCAAAAACTTTTTTAACATATAATTTTTATATTCTTATTTATATTATATATTTTTAACTATTTCTGAGTTCTATTTCTAAAAGTTAGTATAAAAGTATTATTCTGATCTTTTTCCTTTTCCCTATTTTATAGAATATTTATCTAATTATATAATTAGATTTTATTCTTTATTTATTAATTTCTTATAAACTAGATATTATTTAAACCATTTAATAATATATACTAATATAAGTTCTAATCTCTTCTTACACCTTCAATTAATTATATTATATTTAATCAAAATCCTCTTAATAGTTTTAATATTATAATCAAACCTAACCTCTTGAATAATCTATTTATATATAGCTTTCAAAAATAATTATATATATTGTAATAGTATTTATTTATTTTGTTCAATATATAATTTAGACTAATTAGCATATAATAAATATATATTATTATTATATATTAAATCTTATAAAAGAATATATCATATAATTCCACAAAAAAGTCTAAGGTTCTTCGCAATTTAATAAAAACTGAAACCTTTCTCTATCTTACTAATTATTTTATCACATATATATAAAATAAGATATTTATAAAAATCATTTTGCATATCTTTAATATATTGTGTACTATAAATTGAAAGTATAATTAAAATAATAAAATGTGATTGTAGGAGTGTAATGCGTGAAAAAACGCGTTTTGTGGAGTTTCGGTTAATAGAAGTGCACGGTGACTGTAGGGAAAGCGACGATATATTGCCCGTATGCTTAACCTCGAAGCTGCAAGCCCTACCATCCATAATGTTATATTGATGAGACTCCACATCGTTCATGGTAGTTTTAAACAGGAATGTGATGTTTGGGCTACCAAATCTGAGGGGTGGGCAAATACTATAAGAGAGAAAGAAACGAATCATGGAGAGGAAAAGTCCAAGGAGCAAAGAGAGAAACAATCTTGGATGCTTCAGAGCTTTTGATAGGTGCGATAATGCCACAGAGCAACATTCACGTAGTTGTATATGCAGACATTCCTTAGAGTTAGTCTTAATGCTTGATTGTACCTCCAAACAGGAAAGTGTATATATAAACTAACATCTACCAACATAAACGAAATCATGGAAACCATTTTCAAGATCAATACTCATGGTTCAATAACTTGCCTGCCGTCGTGCGGCGCGATAAAGCCCCCAGCACAGTTGCCTGCTGCAATGTAAAATTGGAGGAGCACAGAAATGGCAGGTGATGAGGTACGATACTGTCAATATAAACTAGCTGGAAAGATTTTTACCGGATATTTGTTCCTTATCAAAGTATACTATAATTATGCGTCATATATCCCATGATGAAAGTGTGATAAGGCGGAACAATTCTGAATAGTTCTCAGCGCCAGTGGCCTCTATACCCAACATTAAATTTGGCGAAGAAGTTTTCCGAATGCTATCTCGCTATTGGTGCCGAAATCCAGTATGCGAGTCTCGTTTAAGAATCCAATCTTCATACTTTTGTCCGGCCGATTGCTCAGCGGCTGACAAGTGATTCGTTCATGACTGGAGACATTATCTTCGGCTTGAGATATCCATCCGCGAGCTGACTATGATTTCTGTCAATACCCCTTACTCCCTAGATACCACCAGTAATTTTCAACCATGACGACAATTTTCTTGCGTTAACAAAATGGCAAATCTGAAACAGAGATACGCACTTCTTGAAAATGGCATGGAAAGCGAACGCGAGCCTCAAGGTTCTGATCCCTTATCACGCAAGATCACACGCAAGTCAAGAAGCACAATACCTTTCGCTTCATGGACGCTGTTCTGGGTTCCGAATGTGTAACTATAGGCATTCTAGTGCTTCAGGCTCATCGATGAACCATAGAAACTCGAACGGACTGAGTTTGGCGAGCCGGGCTACTGCATTCTTGGTGACAAGCACGAATTAGGTGCCAGCCGGTCTCAAGCGTATATACCTGTTCCTTGGCCAGTCTACGGTTCTTCCGATAACCGAGGTGACCCTGAAGCTACCGACTAAGAATAGGAAAGATTAATAATTTACGTCTTGGTGTGATTGCCTTGTCTGATTCCTAAGTTGAAGAGAAAGGTCTCCATAAAGCTCAAAACTTTCATGGGATGACTCGGAATTGATTGACATTTGTTACTGCCTGCGATCTAACAGTCAATTGTAACCTCTGGTATCGACTCCAAGTCTTTTCTCTCTTCACCCCCGTTCCACAAAAAAAGAATTTCCAGCGAAGGGATTCCAAATACCAATAAATACTATGAAACGAATCAAACATCAATCGCAACTTCAAAGCTTTGAATGAAGGAGCAGTCTGGAGAAGAAAAGCAAATTTCAGAATCGGAAAACATTTCACGGAAAATATAGAAGCCGCAAGATTGCGCTCATAATTATGTGCGAAAAGATTGTGAGGTTTTGGATGATTTTCTCTTCATGGTCAAACTCTTTGTATATAAGCGGAGGGAAAAGAAATATCACTGGGAATTGTTTCTTTCGGTGTAATAAATTCTCTTTTGAAATGTAAGATTACCTAGTCCTTTAGGCGCGCGGCAATGAAGTTATCTAGTAGATCCAAAACAGCTGAACGATTCTCTGAAATTGACTTCAATTTTCAATGCGTATGGCCCATTACTAAAAATGGTGATCAGCACCAGATTGGAAGGTGTCATTAAGCAAACTAGCGTTTGTAAGGCTGCATACAAAGGCGGATAGTCATGTTTGGCCTATGCCTAAGACCGCTCAATATTGAGCTCCAGAGAAATTCCGAGTTCAAGCGAAACTTTTCAACGAATATCATGTATAGGTACCCTTGTTTCATGTTCTGCTGATAGATTGAAGATAAATTGAAAAGGCCTCAGTGATTGTGGGGATTTCCGGCATGGTGAAGGTTCATATTGCCTCATCTTAAGTATCAGAACACTATGGTCTGGCAAATGATTTCTCAACAATACAAGTGGCCCCAAGTACCAACAGTTTGTTCTAATTATAGGCCCCTGTATTGTAGCATTCAACGACGATCTGCCTCGTTCATGGGAGGGATAGGCGAGAGTTCATTGATTTTCATTCGCCAGAATATTCCAAAGCTGCACTCTTAAAACTAATGCAGAACGGGGCGCATGCTGTGTATCTTCAATTATTTTTAACCATATGAGGTTGCTGCTTCCGCCTGGTGTTCTTCATCTTTTTTCTCTCATTATTATCCTTATGTTTGGAAGCAACAATGACGTCTTCAAATTCACCGAATACCCTCTCTCCACGAAAAATTTTACCTCTTCCCCGTAGATCACGAAACAGACAAACGTCAAAAAGCAGGCAAAGTTCGGGCCCTAGATCTTCTCTTAGTGGTGAGGCGGACGAACATGCTGCAACACCAGAGTTTTCAAAAAACGAGTCCACAGCTGCAGACCATCAGATTGAAAAGAGCGACAGCCCAAAATCGCAAGTTGATCCCGTATCTGTCACTACTCTATTTGTATCAAGAGTTCGTGCAGATAACGCCGTAACTCCCCAAACTTTGGAGAGAAAACAAAGCCAAGATAAACCAACTCAAAACGCAGAGTTAAAGCCGCTTGTGACACCAGACCATGAATTGCCTCAGCCTCTACACACACTCGAAACAGAAGAAAAAATCACAATCAGCGATCCCTCAGAGAATCTCCCTGAAGTCGTAGAAGATTCTCACAATACATTTTCCTCTGATGGCATTGAAGTGCGGGATAGTACCAGCCCCCATATTAGCCACTCCCGAAGATCGTCCGAAGGTTCATTTGCTGAAAGCGAATCATCAAACGAAGACGCAAAATACGCGGTTGAAGACGAAGAGGCACCAATCGAACACTATTTCACCAAAGAATTTCAGTCCATTCTTGGAAGAAGCTATGATATTGCGATTCAAGTGGCCGACGAACTGGAAAAACTAGAGAAAGTTTTTGGAGAAGATGTAAATTTTCGAAGACTGTTGAATGATTCAAAAGGACTGAGCAAGGGCGATATATCGAGTACTAGAAACATTGCTATATTAGGTGCATCGGGAGAGGGTAAGCCGAGAAATTTCTTCTGATCCGTATCATGATGGATCAAGCGCTGATTTCCTTACAGGAAAGAGTAGTCTAATAAACTCGCTTCTACATGTGACAGAGCTGGCTAGAACTGTGAGTTTCCTTCGAACCACTTATGTTAAGTAAATATTGATGTATTTTTCAGAGCGATGGAGGTTCTGCTTGCACTTCCGTGGTCACAGAGTACAGGCAAAGGAAAGTTAGTACCCTCGAGCCGTTCTCAATCGAGGTAGAGTATCTTTCCAAGCCAGAGCGTCAAGAGATGGTAGAAGAATTGTTGTGGAGTTATCGACAGCTACTTTTACCAGATTCAGATAATGAAGGCAATGCGCTTGACTCTGATGAACAGGAACGGATTGAAAGAGAATCTGCAGTGGCATGGTCGGCTCTTGAGGTATTGTTTAGCCAACAAGAAGAGTTCAATGTCAATTTCGTGAGCGATAATTCGAAAGGTGCATTTGAAAGGATCAAGGGCCAATTGTTAGAATGGATGCAGAAAATAGCGTTTCCTGCAGATGATGAGTCTGGTTTATGGACAGCTAGGGCGCATACGTCTGATGAATGTCAAGAACTAACCAGTGTCTTCATGGAGGATAAGCTTTGGCCATTCACCAAGATTATCCGCGTCTATCTTGATGCTGAAGTGCTGAAAACAGGCGTTGTCCTCGCCGATCTGCCAGGTATAACTAGTGTTACTGTTTGCTGCTACTGGCTGACGCATCCCTATAGGTTTACAAGATACAAATTTAGCGCGTGTTCGAGCAACACAGAAGTACTTGCAAAATTGTGATCATGTCTTCATCGCAACCAAAATTTCCAGAGCAATTACAGATACAACCCTAAAGTCAGCATTATATAGTGAGCTAAAACGCCATGTCCCGCTTGCATGGGAGGAATCGGGAGGTACCAACATCAATTTCAAATTAGCTGTCATATGCACAAGATCAGAGGTATGTACTTATGTGGAGCTGGGAAATTCTTATTGTAACATATTCTCCATAGGATATCAATTCAAAAACAGCAAAGAGGACTTTCGTGGGTAATGGAAAAGAGATATCTTTGATTGACATGAACTCGATTGACAAAGATATCGAGAACGCGAAGCGCAGGGGTGATAAAAGCCTGAAAGAACGCCTGGAGCGAAAGTAAGGCCTGATCTTCCCCTTCGAAGATGGTACTTATCTCTAACAATCGATAGAAAGTTGTGGCTCTTTATCGAAGCTCGGAACCGGCATGTTACCAAGGGACTTCAAGCCGCGTATCGACAAAAGACTATCAACGGGCATCTAGATGTTTTTTGTATCTCAAACACAACATATGAAGACTATGTAGAGAGAGGGGACAATGAAATGATTCAAAAGAGCGGTATTCCGGAACTTCGTCGCTTTTGTCGGAAGATAACTGCTAGTGCCCAACTTCTGCAGGCACTGCATTTCATGCGATCAAAGCTACCAAGTCTATTGAATTCTATTACGCTATGGTTGGATTCCGTTCAAGCTGTCTCTCAAGGACAGAATGATGATACAGGGACGTTGGTATTGGACTGTTATGAGCGTTCCAGAAAAGAAGTAAGTGATAAAAATGGCACAAAAAATCTTGTATGTGCCATTTCTCTAATTATCAGTAGGCGACTGCGTCAATCACGAAATATCATAGGGAATTCCGAAATGCCTTACAAAATGACGTAATTCGTTTCTTCAGTGGGTTATTGTTTCCCTGTTGGTTTGATTGCTATACTAAAGAGAATTCAAAAAAAGATAGGGAAAGTGTACAGTGGGAAGCTACTGCAAAAGAGAGAGCGGAGGAATGGGCAGAAGTAAGCGATTGAGTGCTCTTTTGAAAACATTCTAACGAAGGATAGTGGCATCACCGTATGATCTCTTAGATTTTGGACCCCACTCGACAAGAAAACTAATGTGTTTTGAGTTCAATAGAATCATACAATGCGTGGTGTAGAAACAGTGGAGAGCATGTCACTGTTGCACGGGGTTATAGAAATTGGAACGCGGAAATTCTCGAAAGAACGAGAGTGGAGCTTGAAACAAGATGGGACTTTCTAGAAGAGAAGATCTCAATAGATGTGGAGAGCCTCCTACAAGAGGTCAAATATCAACTTCAAAATTTGGAGACTCATATCGAGGGTAGGATACCTCAATATACCATTGGTTTCAAATGCCATGAACGTCACACAAAGCTAACAGCGCTGAAATAGGGCAAGGCAGATCAGCCCCAATGCAGTATGGGATTGACTTTCGTATACAAGACTTAGAATACAATTTCGGTCTCATTCAACAGGAATTTGAGAGAAGATTGAGGTATTGCATCGTTCCCATACTTCTTTATCAGTTTTCATAACTTTCTTACAGAACAATTCGACAACACGTTGAGGAACCAAATGCTTCGTCCTTTGTTGTTGCGGAAATGATTTCAGCTTATCGTAAAGCCAGCGGTGAAGGAGGTAAGCCATCATCACTATTTAAACAACTGATCCCTTCCGTAGTAACTCAAAATCAGGCAAAGGTATGAAGGCACGACAAATATCGATTATTGCGAAACAAGTCAATGGCGGCACAATCTTCCCCAACATTTCTGCCAAAACGCGTCAAGAAGCAGTCACCTTGATCGACTATGAATTCAATAAATTCAAACTGGAATTGCATGAAACTTTCGATCTTATACATAAAGACATTGACATGGCAATTGCTGAGAGACCACAATCCGAAAAATCTGCTGCTACGACTGAGAGCATAGAGTTGGTAGAAAGATTTGCAAAAAAGTTCAAAGGCTTGAGGTTGAAGTATGATGAGATTATTCGTGTTCAAGAGGGACAAGTAGGAGTTTGAGGAGGTAGTATCTACTATTTTCATGATAGTTAGTGGTTTAGTTCTAGTGAATCATGCAGCAATATGGTTGGATTTAAATGGGCAAAATCTGAGCCAATGTAAATCTACCTTTATTGTTTGACTTCAATTCACATAACTTCTCTGAATGTCTTAGCTTGAGTGGTACCATAGTTCCTTATCTTATTTACTTCCTGATTCTTATCCTCAGATGCTCTGGTTGGATATGATCTTGGTGGTGAAAATTAACGTCACAAAATTAGGAGTTTCAATACAAATTTTGTAAGCTTAGGCAACGACTCGTGAGTACCGGTCAAAGCTTCATATCTATAAAGAAAATGAGTAGGTTTCCACTGTGCTTGTTGTATTTAAAATTTAAATGGAACTTGGTAGAATTTTGAAACTGTTGCATCTAAAACTTGTCGTTGAAAACGAAATAAAGCACGCGCCATTCGCGTAGATTCAGGGGTGGAAACCAGTAGTATCTATCTGAAGACGAAAATCTCCCGAACAAAATTAAATTTGACAAATACTCGCCGTAGAGATAAAAAAGATCCAATTAGACTGACTTTGAAGTGGCTCTATATCTAGCCTATAAACCATCATAATCCAATCTAGTAATGGTATTCCAGACTTGCACCTGACTTGTACCGTACATATGAAAACCAGAGAGTGTTCCCGGCAACTCTATGATGTTTGAGGACAATCACTCTCGCCATAGTACGGTCTTGATACAATACAGCTGCACAAATACGCTTAGAAGAACCTCTATCATACCAAGCTGTATTATAATGATATATATACATCTCATAGAATAAAGCTTACCTAACACTACAAGAGCAAGCAGAATTTCCTTAATGGTAAGATTTCATTTCGTGAAGAACGCTGCTTGAGCCATATAATCAAAGGTTTCCCACAGAGTAATCAATATATCACTCCAGGTAAGTCTCCAAAGATCATACGGCAGACGACTGGTGGTTTATATCATGGCCTTAAACTAAATTGGTAGTAGAATGAAACAAGCAGCTCCAATTCGAGACATTGGTTAGTGCTCTACAACTACAAACTCCATGGAAAGAGAAAGTCGGACTAACCATGGAAACGTAGGAAACCAACTACTGATCGAAACACTCGCACCCGGAACTACAAACTTCTCAATATACGCCAGAGATGAGAGGCACATAATTCTCGACGAATCAGACAGCCTTCAAACAGATCGACCAGGTCTCGAAAGATACCAAATAAATCGAGATGCAGCTATCGGAGGTCACTCGTATGACTTCGCCGAGCTGTATCTAGAGCATCGCGAGTGGCAGGAACAGGTGAAGAAAGTCAACCAACGACTCAATGAGTACGTTTGGCAAACAACAAACCTGCGCGAAAATCCGGGGCTTATGCATGAGACACATGCTTTGATCAAGCTAGTCGAATCTTTGATACGCGAACGAGATGAGCGAGGCATAAAATTCGAGATTGCTTTGCATGCTAGAGAATTAGCAGACGGGGAGGATGCAGAATTGAGGGAAAACAATAATAGTTCTTCAGATCCCTCAGTGGAAGAAGAGCCAAGAACAAAGATCACTACTGCCGAAATGGGTATGTGAGCCCCTCGTAACCCTCAGTTTAAGCTTTCGGCGATAGCTAATGTGCTTTTGACAGTGGAGTGGTTTAAAACAATCTCTGAACTTTGGGAGGAGGATAGGCAGACGGTTATGAGCATTCACCACGCATATGATGCTGTTCGCGATGGAGAATATTCTAACATTCGAGAAGCATTGGAGGATGCAGCCAGCTTACAATACTGGCTTTGATCATGGCCATGGTGTCTTTGGGCTCTAAACTAGAGAGCAATCAAGAGGCTAGACATGCTTGCAAACTAAAGGTTGTCCTTAGGATGTTTGTTGACAAGCAGGAAGAAAGGCTATCGTAATCGTTGCATGGGTGCAAGGAAAATGGGGAAATAGCGCCTTGGAATATAAAATCAATAAATGGTATCAAGTATGGTGAATGAAGCGAAATTTCTGCTCTCGTTTGTACTTGATCCCCTCACGTTACCATGATTAGAAAAATTATATTCTTCCATGTGACCTTCACATAGTTGACTGAAAGTAATCTTGCAGAAATTTAATTATACATTGCTGTTCAAACGATGCACGCTACTGCTGGCTTCATTTTATTCGCACATGTTGAGCAGCGTGATTTCAGTTCTCCTCCTTAAAAGGAGTAATGGGGCGAGACCACGCTTGATTGCTACAATCCATCGAGAAGAAGACATGCTACTAGCAAGCCCCGGATCGGTAAGGAAGGATTATAAGCCAAACAAGAACTGGAACAGAGCCGGGGTAGGATGATCCAACCCTTTTTGCAAAATCACAACTTTGACACAAATCTATCGAAGTGGAGGAACAGAGCCCCTTGAGTCTACAGTTTTATGCTCATTCGTACATTGCATTCCAAGCTTTAATCATGGACATTTCTTTTGGTATCTAGCGCCAGTCCATTCGAGTATTCCGTATCTTTGCGCCTGTTTGTAATGTGCCATAACTCCACACTTAAACTCCAAACCCAAAATAACCCAACAGCATTCGGTTCGGCTGCAGGATTCATCCTGTTGGACCGAATATGTGCATTCATCCAAATCCAATCCACCATTCAAATGTAAGAAACGGCAACTTCCAGCACACTAACCCTCCTGACCCTACTCTCACTTTCCTCCATATCGTCATCCTTGCTGTCAATTCCCACGACATCATCAACAGTCGCTACACTCTTTGTCCTGACTACCACTCTCACGCCTTCTTGTTGCTGCCACCAATGCGCCAACATCAAGGTTTTCTCAATTGCCTTCCCCGTTCCTTTCATTACGACTTCTTCGCCAGTACCACTCCCTGATTTCCTTTCCATCCTACTTATTTTAATGCCTTCTTCGATTTCTCTCATTAACTCCCTGTCTGTACTAGGCAGAACTGTAGGTCCGGCACGAAACTCTGCGCCATCTAGATATTTACGGACTCGTTTCACGATGGCGATGAATTGCGATTTGTCAGAGACGTAGACGACTTTCTCAGAAGAAGAGCGGGGTGACGCGATTGCGGGGTGCAGAAGGGGTCGCTTTTGAATTCTTTGGTCTGCGCACACAAATTAACATCTATCAAAATGGAGGAAATCAAGAAATTCTTACTTTTTCCTATCCTTGGCAGTTTAGGTTTCTTGTCGTCCTTAGAGGAAAGTGAAGGTAGTGTGCGAGCCATTTCTGTGCCAGCCACGATGCGGCTCTGGTTTTGATTTTGGTTGCGATTGCGATTGCTTATTCACAATTTGTGCGCAGGAATGTGAAGAAGTATGAGAAATGTTTACGATGTATAAATTGATAAACAAGGTATCAAAAATTAGATGTAGAGTAAGGAAGCAGTATAGAGAGGGCCTGTAATTGCGATTTCGATACATTAAATTGATACAGCAAAGTTCTAAATCGAGACGCTCACCGCCCGGCAGAACCCATTCTACACTAACGTCATAGGCTATAGATAGATAGCTCCACCAAAGTGCAGCAATCTATATCATCCCGCAGAACACTTAATTTCTCATCAACGATATATCGATATGTCTACTTCCGTCTGGCCGTCTTTACCTATCCATGAGTTGAGGAAAGAAGAGGACGATTCTACGGTATATATCAACTTGCTTTACCTATACAATCTCATCTACGTAACAAGCGGAAACTAATTGTCAGTCCAGGAACGCGAACTATCATGGCTTCTAGAATCACTACAGGAAACATTGGCTTCACTTAAAACGGGCCTAGAAGATTGTTATGCGCTTCTCGCGCCCGTTGAACCAGGGTCTACACTTGTTATGTCATCGCCTCGTTCCGAGTATTTGAAGGGCCATATTACACGTGTTGGTACTCAGGTTGTCAAAGGAGTTTGTCTTCCCCCTTTTCCTGAGTCTTCATATCTTTAACTTTCCTTTCACGATCCAAACCCTAAACTATAAATCCAAGCTCTTTCAGCGATCGCTAACAGTCCCTCCCAGACTCTTCACCTGCGCCTCAAATCTCTTCCACCGTCCTCGTTTTCACTGTCACCAACGTTGCCCCTTCTCCTCGAACCGCTCACTCAACTCCGCACACTCCTAAATCAAAGTCTTGATTGTGTAGACATAACTCGCTGGACCGGTGATCGCCATTCTGCGCCTTTTATATCCTCCCAATTGCATCTTCTCCATAGTATCCTTACCGAGGCCAAGCTCGTCCTCAAAGGCCCCTCTCTCCTCGAATCTCCCACACAAACCCCCGCATCTTTGAATTGGGCGCATAACCCTGTTGATCCTGATACTTTCGCCCCAGCCTTACCATCCAATCTCTCTCTCGATCTCGCAATCTCCGATGGCTCATTATTGCTCACCATACGAGTTCTTGAACCTGTAGCACAACAAGTCAACTTTGGGAGCAGGATAGCTTTTGCGATAGGAGCTCAGAGAAGATTGGAGCATGATGAGATGGATGAGGTCTTCATGTTCAAAGGGGAAGAGGTCAGGGTTAAGGAAAAAGTTAGGGTCGAGAGTGCGGATCCAAGATTAATGAGTGTTTTGGCTAAAGTGGCGGCCCTAGAGCATACAGTTGAAGGGGCGAGAGCCGGTTTAAAGATTGTTATGGGCGGCGATAGCCTGGAGGCTGAAGACTAGTGGTGTGTTGGAGCTACTTTTAAAGAGTATCAGCCACCACAATCTGCCCAATAGCAGATTATGATTCTTCATGGCATTGCCAAAGTCTGGCCCAACGTTTTTGGATGTAACACTCAAGGGGTTCAATTGGCACGCTTGCCAGCTGAGTCGAAAGTAGACAAGATTACTGTGGAAGTTCTTCCAGCTGGATGAAGTGCAGCTACATTAGGAGTTAAATTTAGGTCCTGCGATGATACCATATTGTTCTGCGGTTCTAGGTTTTATATTTTCGTTTTTATCCAACTTATCGATTGGAATGTATTTCAATCAGTAATAACATCTGGCTTTGCACATGCTTCTCCGGAGTATGTATGGATTTATTTGGAATGTAATCTTATGTTTAAATTTGTATTGGAAATAGAGCATCATCATAGTGGTATAATGGTAGCCCTCGGAATCTTCAGCGGCATTGCAGTGAACCTTCCTCTGAATTCCAAACTCAATACCGCAGCTCGGTTGAAAAAGGTACAGAAATTATGGCTATCGTCAGGGCCGCCCCTGCTCACATGAATGCCTTTCCACTTATAGTCGTCAATCTTGACGTGTATACTTAGCCTGCTTATAGAACTTGTGCTTTAAACATTACTAGGCTCGCCGTCGCATCTTGCTCATTCGCCTTTGAAGTAGTAGCAAGTATTCGTCCGCCGAAAGTCGAGTTCACTCCTGCCGTTTTGGCCATCTTGGATACTTTGAAAAGACGAATAATATGACATTCATTGCGAAATACTTAGACCAAAACCATTTCACCCGAGAAGTCTAGGGAGATACTTCAATTATTCAAGAATTGCAAGCGAAAATTATAAGCAAAGTTGTTCGTAAAAAAGTTCAAACACTATTCTTTTCAAACACCTACCCACTCAGAAATCCACTTAGCAATCCACTCCCTTTTAACGCCCTCCAAATCTTTCAAAGCTTTACTTGCCTTCCTGGTCTCTTCCATATCCAAGCACATCTTCGTAGAACTCTAACAGTTTGACTGCGGAATTATTTTCCAAGATCTCATCTAGTTCTCCTTCCTTCAATGTAGCCCCGGGTCCTGCTTTCAGCTCTACATCATGCCTAACTTTCGCGATCCAAACATCGAGTGGAACGATTCTGATCGATTTGCCAGAAATAGAACTTAAATCTATTACCAGCTCCTCTCTGATATCTTCCCAGGTCTTGGGATTGGGATTCAAAGGACGGAAAACCTGAACCGGTCTTCCCTCATTTTGGACGTTATCGGCCAAAGCCAAATCTGCGATCATATCTGCAAGTAGATCTACCGGTACCCATTCGATTCCTCCAAGGCTCGAACCTAGAGAGCTGGGAATACAACCTACATGTATAGAACTGAGAATGAGACTTGGAAACCATTCAGTCTTGTTCCACATCCCTTTAGCTCTTACCGGGCCCGCTATCTGGTCGACTCTTGCGAGTGAGAATTCATACCCATAAGATGATAATTGCTCTGATGCGTAAGAGATAAGAAGTTCCGAGATATATTTGCTTTCCGCGTAGCCATTTGGTGCTACGATAGATTCAATTATATCGGTCGATGGGTGGATTATATCCTCGGGTGTAGTACCAGATGAACTTCTGTATCCCATGACGGAACTAATCGAGGAGACGAAAAACAACCTTCCACCTGCGCTCGATACTGCGAGCGTGATAAGATTGATCAGACCTTCAATGCTCGGACGGAAAGAAGACAATGATAGATTAAAATTGACAGGCCAGGCATTGTGAATGATGCGAGTTGCTCGCAGTAAGTTGGAATAGTTTTTTGAACGGAGCCCAAGCTGTGGCTTCGAGAGATCTGTCGTGAGAAATGTGACTCGAGTATCTGCAGTGTCTGCGAATTGACTCCGAGACTCTCGAAGACTTTTACCCGATGGTGAGCGGTTTAAGCAGTATATATGAGCGACTCGTGGATTCAAGAGAAGACTCCCCAGAATATGGGAACCAAGCGTACCTGTAGACCCGGTCAAGACGACGATTTCATGATTCGTGTCAACTTTCCTATGCGAAGTTGGCGGAGATAGAATAAGCAAATCAATACGACTTCGAAACTCCTTGAGCATACTGTCTCTCAACTGACTTGCCGTCTTTTGACCATGTATAGAAACCTCGTCTTTCGAAAATTTCACGACAGCGCTTGCTAATTGAGTAATTGATGGATCGGTATAAAGCGTACTTGAAGCAATTGATGTAATTCTAAGGCCATGACGAAGCTTTCTTACAACTGTGAGAGCCTGTAGTGAGTCCATTCCACGAGCGAAGAAGTCCTCATTCACATCTAAATTAGACCAAGAAGTAATGTTGACCACAGCTTCTCTCATGAACTCGGAAACCGCCGATAAATCACCAATGTCGATGTTCGAAGAGATTTCGCCATCTTTCTCTGCTGTCATGCTATCTGCATCAGCATACAAAGCGTCGAGTTCTTCCCGGTAAAGCTGTAAAGTCCCTGCTCGCTGAACCGTGCCTTTCCCCGCAATCAATATACGTTTGATCGGATTTGTGAAGAAAATGTGTGTCTTGGCAACCTTCGCATGAGCCTATCGGTTAAATTAGTACCTAGCCGTCGTTCAAAGATGGAGGATAGATCAAAAGGACATGTCGTCTTTCAACTATTCTTCTTAGAGATTGAAATGTCTACTCACTGGGCATTTTTGGTTGGCTTCTTCCACCGAGGGCCAAATCTTTTCTAGCAGCGCTGCACGCTCTGTTGTTGAGGTATTGATATCTCCATTAATAGGGTCTATCAAAAGTGATGCTTGAAAACGTTGTGCGCCCATCACCAAAGCCGCTTGAACTTCTCGATTGCGAGCTACGATGTGCTGCTCCATTGATATAGGATTAGTCTTCTCGCCATTTAAGAATACAATAACATCGTCAGCTCTTGCAAGCCATTTCCATAGGTTTGGCTTGATAGGATGAGGGGTAAAGAGATCGCGACTGGCATATTCCGTTGCTTGGGGGAACATCGTGAAGGTAGGTTGCTGCTTTGACAATTCGGGATCGGAAAGCATAGTCAGCTCGTGGGTATTGTCTATTACTGGTCTGAGTTCGGCGCCTGTGTCTGGATGAAACTCGACATATTTCCAGTCTCCTCGATCGAATGCGCAGTTTCTATGGATCAGGTTTGACAAGCCAAGTTCCGTAGCTCCAAATTGATTCACCAGTCTGATCTTAGATGCAACTATATCACCGATGGCTTGTGGCAAGTCTCCTCCACAGTAGATTATCATTTCCAGATGCTCCGCGCAATCATCGAGGAGATTGGGCTTTGGCTCAACTCATTGACAATAGACGGTACTATGAATGCGATATCTGCTGGTGTTTTCTTCAATCCATCCACAAGTCCTTTCGCGGAAGGGATTGCTCCGGAAGTAGGGCTAATTATCACCGTTCCAAATGGTACAGCATTGAATAAATGACAGCAGAGGTATGCACCCTAAACAATATTGCATCAGAAACAATGGCGTGATCAAAACAATTTGGAACTTACGTGGAAGGGTGGGAAGGTTAAAAAACCTCTTTTTCCCTCATACATTCGATGTTGGCTCTCGTAGCCAGCTGGTGGGTCCAGCGCCATCAATGCAATATTCCTTTAGGCAGTTTCAAGAGTCCAGATCATAGGCTTTGGAAATCCAGTTGAACCAGAAGTATACCTTTCGTAGTTAGATTAGCTTCTGATATAGCATGATTATGGGTTCACTCAACTTACACAACAACGAAGGGCTCCTGATTCGCTTTAGAGAAGTTTTATCAAACGGAAAACGTCTCCCCTTATTTTTTAGAATATCTCCAACGCTTGGAACCTCAACGACGCGAAGATGGGAATTAGCTTCGAGGATCTCGGTGATTTGAGGAGGGCAAGGAGTCGGCGATAGAACAGTTCTGCATTCCAGGCGGTCAAGCAAATTTGTTTGAGCTGCAACGCTGTTTCTTGGGGAGGTGAGAAATATCTTTTAGACCTTAGCACTGTATGATCATGACGAAATAATTATCTGAATTCGATAAATACAGAGAGATATTTGAACGAATGGGGGCGGTCTGAGGTCTATGCAGAGAAACAACATAGGGAGAATTGTCACCAAATAGCCAGCTTTTATGGCACCCAAGATCAGTGCTGGATATCTCAGATCATTGGGTCCGATATAGGCTAGAACCTCAAAGTCTTTAGTAGGACCCAAGGTTTCGTGCATCCACCAAGCCAGACAGTTAATGGCGCTTGCATAATCACCATATGTGATCTTGCGGTAGCCATGATCGTATGTCGAAGTAGAAACTGGATACTCTGCATACAAAGCCTCTGAATCAATTTCAGCTAGATGGTCAACGATGTTGGGAACGAGCTCAACTTTCCATTTTCGAGAAGTCATGGTTAGCGAGCTTGTAGTAATTAACAAGCAACTCCTTGTACTTAACTGTTTGCAGTCTCTGAAGCTCGACAGTCAAATTGCGATGGATAAACTTCTGAGGAGATTCCTTGGCTTCTATTTTGTTTGCCATGATATAGCAAGGTAGTCTTCAGATGTAGATAATTATCTGACTGCCGGCAATGACGGCACCAGCAATACTGGAGCCAAACCAACAGTTGGAATTTCATATCACCAAACGCTATCCGACGTAAGCATATATAGCATGTACTATCTGACCTCTCGAGATGTTTTACAACATCATTCGCAATCAAAGAAATACACCCATCCAGCAATTGATTGATCTGCGCAACAGGAAGGATTATAAAAAGACAAAGATTTTGAGAACAGTACAGGCAATTGCAAACGATATGTAGCCTGCTCGCCTGGTAGCTGATAAAGTAGATGAAACGAGTATCACGTGGGACCCCAGCCACACTTCACTCTGGATTCCGATTTGGCAACGATCAACGAGTTAATGATCAAACCATCATCAACGGTAACCTTCCTGGAAATATTATAACTGAAACAATTGAAATCAAACAATATCATAACTCTCTCATTCATCACAATGACAATTCGGCCCCCATTCGGCCATCGCATGCGTGACACCCATTTCCAATTCTCTTCCAGCTACACACCTCTAAACCACGGTTCCTTTGGCGCGTACCCACGTCCTATCCAACAAGCTCAGGATGCATTTCAGAAGCAGTGTAATGAAAGACCCAGCACATTCTACGTCTATGATCTTCCAAAACTCGTTGATAAATCACGAGAAGCCGTTGCACCTCTTCTAGGTGCTAATCCTAAGGAAGTGGTTCTAATCCCGAATGCAACGACAGGGGTGAATATTGTGTTGAGGAATCTGAAATGGGAGGAGGGAGATATGATTGTTTATTTTAGCACGATTTATGATGCCTGTGAGAAGACAGTCGAAAGTGTAAGAGAGATGTTAGGAGTAGAAGTAGCGACACATTGTCAGGTATTGGAGTTTCCGATTAATGAGGAGAATGAGTTAGGAGAATTCAGAGAGTTTGTAGAGTTGGTAAAAGCGATGGGCACAAAAGTTAAGTTGGCCATATTTGATACGGTAAGGTTATCTTGATCCTACAAATTGAGTCACTTTAAATTGTCAGTAGTTCTGACATCGTCTCTCATATATCGCTTTAAGTGCATATCAATTGACTTTGATTGATAATCTCAATTTTCTTACAATTTTGATGACAGGTCCTGACATTCCCCGGTGTGCGAATGCCTTGGGAGAAGCTGGTACGGATATGTAAAGAACTAGGTGTCTTGAGTTTGATTGATGGTGCTCACGGTATCGGACACATCGATCTTACACACCTTGGTTCAGTCAGTCCTGACTTTTTCGTCAGTAACTGTCATAAGTATGATATCTTTTTCTCATAGAAGTTCTATTCTAACCTACGGCAGATGGCTCTATACCCCTCGCTCGTGTGCTGTCTTTTATGTACCCCTCCGCAACCAACATCTCATTCGCACCTCCCTTCCTACATCTCACGGCTACCGCAAAAGTTCCGAGAATGACACTCTGGAAGATATCAATAACTATTTCGTCTCAATGTTCAACTTTGTAGCAACGATTGACTACACGCCCTACCTATGCATCCCCGCCGCAATATCCTTCCGGAATACCGTTTGCGGCGGCGAAGCGTCAATTCGTCAATATTGTTTTGACCTCGCTAAAACAGGCGGTAACCTATGCGCTTCAACCCTGAATACACATACTCTTCCCATCTTACCCGGAAGAGAAACTTGTTTCACTAACATCAAGCTACCAATACCCTTTTTGCGTAAAAACAATGAGAAGTCCTATTCAACATCCGAGACAACAGCATTCAAACCTGCCGATGCAGAAAAGATCAAAGTATGGCTCAACAAAACCGCAGTCAAGGAATTCGACACCTATCTGCAAATTGGATGGCATGCGAATGTACTCTGGGTCAGGTTGAGCGCGCAGATATATCTTGAATTGAGAGATTTCGAGTGGGTAGGGGAGAAGTTGAAGGGGTTATGTGAAAGGGTTGACGAGGGGGAGGTGGAAGGAATAAAGAGAGTGGATGTAACAGAGGTTCCGGATGCTCAGGGTTCGTTTATTTGTGGTAGCGCTTGTGATTATTAACTTGACGATGCGGTTGCGGATGATTCGCCCAAGTAAATGAAACGACCGGACGCTGATTCTGCTGGCGGGAGAATTATGAGCCACAATCAGTTCTACCAAATTTGAGAGATGTGGACAATGGGATATAAACGTGAGAAGATTCAATGTGGCACGTCGATTTTGTTTCAGTAGATAGGTTATATGCAGCATATGGCGTTGATAAGAGGGATTCGAGGACATAATTTTCCATGTCTTGGTGAAGAGGCAACCTTACATTGACTGAGCTTACCAATTAAATTTCTACCTCACTATTCAGTTATTCGAGATAACAGCTTACAGATGGTATCATCTTGGCTGCTGTCTGGAAAAGTCACACCAGCGTTCCTTTGAATAGCTTGCCAGTGAGAGTAAACCATCAGTCATGCGTTTTAGAACTCTTGAAATCCTTAGCTATATCCCCCAATGAGATCATCTGTAATAATGACTGGAACACCTAATGCGTTCCCAGGAACAACTTATCTCCACTCAAACCTTAGAAGTACGTACTATGACTTCCAGCGATCCTGCATATAGATTATATCTTTCGTCTCCACGCCCTTCTCTTGGATATCTCACGCATCAAAGCTCGAAAAATTAGCAGGCAAGAAAGCTTCAATCACATCACCCTCCATCCCAATCTTACACCACCCATCAAATTCCCGCATATAAAACACTCCACTCCCCATCTCCTCACTCGTCCCATTCCACCACGCAATTCCAAGCGGAAGATCAGAAGCTATCCCCTCCACAGCCCCATCCCGAGCAACACTCAAACCTCCACAAACCACCATGTCGAAAAAGCCAGGCGGTGTGGTGGTATAGAGACCACAAGGAGTGGCGCGAGTTTCAAGGCCCGCGATACAGACGAGGCCAAGAATGCAGGCAAATAACAGGGCTGTGTAGATCTTGTACCAGAGACTTGTAATACATGGGATGATGGTGGTGGTGGAATTGTTGGTCAGGAAATAGAATGTATAGATGGGGATTGAACAGACGAGGAAGATGGTGAAAAATATGGCGACGAGAAATTGCGTAAGTGTGAAGAAGGTATTTGAAGGATCGGATGAAGTTTCATAAGGTATTAGATAGAGGAGCGCTAGGACCAGGAGAGAAAGTAGTGGAAGGAGAAAGAGGATCCGTACTATTATACCGCGCCAGCTACGAGGAGAGAGGAGGTCAAGTGAGTGGACTGCAAATGGTTCGAGAAGTCCTAAGCTGAGAAGGGTACGACATGTTGGTGATTTGCGAGGTTTTAAAGTGTCTGTCAGGCTGTACCCGTCACAAATTTCGAGTTCTGGGTCACTATCACCATCAATATCTACATCCACGTAAGAGTAGTCATCAGATATCCAGACTGCCGCCGGTAATCTTATCAATCCGCATATAGCCAGCGGCGCAAAAACTGATCCCAAAGAGATAGTATTAGAATAGCCACCTCCGTTCAAGCCTCCAACCAATTGCCAAGCAGCTTGCAGCCCTTGTAATACAGTGGCTACTGTTTCAGCTGAGGTTTTCGAAACCCAAACAGCATGCGGAGAACTAGGAATGCGAGTGCAAAAGCGTCGACTTTTCCGCATCATATTTTCCGAGCCATCCCAACCACTTGACGTCCAAAAGTGTGCATTACTAGCTGCCATGTCCGCAGAATTCCATGCACGGGATCGCGCTCGTCGATCGATGATTGAGAAGTAATGCCATAGTATCGAAGTAGGATTATAGTGGCCGAGCCTCTCGTGCCAACGAGGTCGTGGGCTAGAGAGATAGACGGGCGATGGAACTCCGGCAACGATATGAACAATGAGGGGTGCAAGACAGAGTGTTAATAGATTTATCCAATCTGCAAAGAGAATCCCATATGCTTGGTATGTAAATGGGAGAACGCCGTTGTACGGAAAGTTACTGCTCATTGTATGGTTTTGAGATTGACAATGAATAGGAGTCGACAGAAAAATAGACTATCAGTATCGAAGACAAAGCCTGCGAGTAGTTCAAGCTTCACTTTGACATTTGTGGAAGATTCAAATAATAATACATGCGAGAAAATAAATCGTGCAATACAATGTCGCACAGCGAACCTCATGTTTGTTTTAACAACCCACTATGCCACAATTCTTATTGGGATAGGTAAGCAGCAAATTGGAGATGCAGGTACAAAGACAACCAAGCTATTGAGCACAGATAGTATAACAAATCAAAAATTCTGGTAACAGACACTTATCGCGTACCGGGACTTTTATCAAGTAACTCAACATCGGCCCTTCCCCTCCCCCCCCGTGGGGGCCCAAATACAAGAATGTTTGCTGTGAACCGGCGCTGCGCCTTAACTTACGTTGAGCAAACACCGCCGCGTTTGTAGAGCTGAAGAGATCTTTCGAAGCTACCTAGTTATATGGCCTATGAAATGTCGTGTATGTGAATACAGAGCAACGGAGTGCAATAATATTGTCATCTCGGCACGAGCCGAGACCGGCGGGAACGCTAGCAGAAACCTTGTTTGATACTTTTCCATTCAATCTCACAATATAAACTGGTGAAATCAAGCTTGACTTCACCCATCCACTGTGTTAAAGTGTTTGCATTTGAATTCCTTACAAGCTTCCTTTGGTTTTTATCAATTTCTTAATACATGTAGCAGCGTGCTGATCTTGTCCCTTAAGTTCAGAGCTGGGTATCGCCCATTCAACTTTCCTCGCTTCAATATCACACTTCATTGACTAAATCTGTCCTGGTATCCGCAACGCTTACGTTCAATGCATAACTTCAATCCTCCCGCCGATTCTGGTATTATATCCACGCAGATATCAGATCAAGCAACTGGGCTCCACGGCATTGGAATCAACACTCGACTCTTCATATTTTGAATCAATGGCACAGTCTTATGAACTGTATCTCCCCAGCCCTCAATCTCCCAGCTTTGCTCTCTTCTCTTTTTTCTCTCCTCTAAATCAGCAAATTGCCACAAATGGTGCACGGTGTTCAGTTCTCCGATTTGTACAAACCATGCTCCAACGCCTTCCATGACTTCTCTACGAGCCTTTAGACCGCGGCGCCAATGAGTCTCCCATTCTAAGAGGTTTCCGGGGTGCAATGTGTACGAGCGTAATTCAAAGAGACCACCAAGTTGACGGGGTGCAGTGGTAGGCCAGAAGGAGAATTCTTGCATGAGAGAAACGTTCTTCTTTGTAATGAGAGACTTGAGTTTCTTGTCGAATTCTTGGAAGCCAGGATGTGATGCGATACTATGCAGGGAGTCATGGTAACCGTGATATCTTTGGTATTCCCAAATATGGACTGTAATCATTCATCTGTCAGCGTTTGTAGGTAAACTAAATTCGAAAGTCGACGAGAATTGGAACGTACCAAAAGTATCACAATCTCCAACCTCTGTTCTCCAACTTCCAACTAAGTGTACTTTATTCTGCTCCATTCCCGCCATCTTCGGATACCACTCCCCAACCAATTGGACATACTCATCAACCTTGTCTGGCTTGACCTCATGAAACACGATCGAGTGTACATATTTGCCTCTAGCCAAAACCTGACTGAAACTCTGTTCAATCTCCTTTTCCATCTCACGACCTTCTGGAGTCCCATATATTAAACTACTTAATTTTCCTTTCTTCTCACCATTTCCGTTTGTGTGCTCTACTCCATTTAGTGTATGGTCTGCCGAAGCAGATATTTGAGCTTGGGAGGATAGTTTGGACTCACTTGCAGCTTCTTTCTTGCGATGTTGTTCTGCGATTCTTTCTCTGAATTCTTTCTGCTTTGCATCGAATGAGGCCACACCTTGAGGGGTGATATTTGATAGGGCTGGTGTACGAGAGAGAGAGGTAGATGTAGTGGTGAAGGCTCTAAGAGGATGACTCGTGATGGAGCTGCGTGGGATTCGTCGTGTAAACATTTTGGAGTTGTTGCTTGATTATTGGTGTGGTCAAGAGTTGTAACGATTATTGGAATTGTTGGAGATTGGTTGAAGGATGAATCCGTTTTCGTAATTAAAAGTTCCACAATCTCAGAGAGGTGAAGGAAAGACTTTCGCTTGGTTAATTGGACAATTGAGGTTTTATTCTCCAATTGTCATCCGATTATCGTATAATGGGTTGTGTTGTATCGTCGTACTTTCCGAAGCGCCGGTATGATGTCGTTGCCGTGGTTGATATACCCCGTCTCGTCTCGTCTCGTCTCGCTGGTTTTTCGAATGCAAAGCAGAAATAGAATTCAATATTCTTTTAGAGAGTTGTCGTTGTTTCCTCCTCTCTTTTTCGGAGATGCAATCAACAGAAACAAAGGAAGATGGAAGCTGCAAAGTAGGTTTGGTTTAGGTTTAATAAGTTCGTAGCACAATAAACCATATAATTGGCTAAAATGGAATCCAACAATGGCAAGCTTGTCAAATACCCCGCACTTTTTGACTGTTTTGTCCGTCTTAAACTGTAAAAAGCACTATCAAGTAGTGAATAGCTCGAGCGGGAAAGGGTCAAAATTGTATGGGCAGAAATAGATTGGTTCAAAGGTTCGTATGGTTACAATACTTTGGAGGTGTAATGTGAGAGAAAGAGAGGAATTGGTGAATGAACTGAAAGGGGAAAAGAGGACAACCAAGCTGCAGCTGGACAGTGACGAAAGTGAGGAGTAAAGCAAGGATGTGGTGGCTCCATTTCGGATGAATGTGAGGGTTTGCGGGCTTACGGGCTTGGAGTTTCTTGTGGAGACCAATCAAAATTCAGATTCTATCTTGTGTCCGTTACATTTGTATGGGGAAATGAAGCTGAAGATGTGGAAGCACGTGAAGATAGGCCAATGATCGTAGACTAAACTGAAAGAGGAAAGTGTGATTTTCTGGCCTCATGAACAAGGCATTACACATTTCTGGAAAACGTGATATGTCACTAAGCTCAATACATTCTAGCCTTACTTTGTTGCGGCCCTTCCCATAGTTGACCTCACTACTATTATCGGAATCACCACCGTCTAACCTCCAATCAACCCGCCGGTACATTTTCAGTCGTATCCCACAGCACAAATTCACAATGTCTTGGTTAGGAAAGAAGTTCCCTGTGCCTGTCGGTATGTGAAGCCATTCAATTGCGAGCTGTGAAAAGCTTTCGTTCCGCACTTTTCCGACGTCCAAGTAATGTTTACTGATAAAATTGTGTATTTAGCAAAGCCAATGGCTCCTTTCTTCGTTGCCGGTATGTTACTTTGAGCGCCATTCATCGCAAGTATATCACGGAGTGCGAAGGTCAAAAGCACTTGGAACTGGGGAGGAATGGCAAGGCTAGAGCCTGAACTATGGCTAATATTACTTGGGAAATTAGGTGCCGTCATTATGTACGGAATCAACTCTGCTGCTACCGCAATGGCCAACAGTACGTCTATTCCATTGTTTGTCTTCGCATGTGGACTGTAAATATATGCTTATGAGGGGATACTGACAAGACTGGCTATTACAGGCGAGGAGTTCAAGAACGATCCTAGAAACCCAAACGCAAAGACCCCAAAGCCAGCCGACAAACACTAAATGGGAGAAACGTGTGATAGGGGGCATGATGACTGAGAACTTGCATAGATCGAACCTATGATAGATCGGTTGAACGGGGCGTTCGTTCCCGTGAAGGACGATGTGTAAATTAGGAGACAATGAAATCATCTGGTGTCCTATAAAGGAAGATTTTGCACTGTGACCTATCATGCAGGTTTGAGTTTACCGACAATATCTTGGGTTGGACCTCCAAACCAATCGTTTCGAGCAAATTTTCATGGCATGAGTGAGTATGGGAGATGTTGAGTGAATAGCCTCGAGCGGGGATATTACATGCCTAATTAGTTGTATTGTATTTTTCCCTTCCCATTATTGTCCGAGTATAGGGGCGTAGTATGAAACTTTTGTCTCCAAAGGTTTGTTTTCAAAGTTGTGAATTGCTTTGAGTTTGTACTGATTGGTAGCAATCAACGATTCACACGTTGCTTTGATACTAGATTGGTAGTCTTGCAATTTCAAGTCTAGTGAACTGTTAAAGCATGTTTGGCTTGTCTTCACTGTCCTTCATGTTTCTCTATCACATAGTATGACTGTATTCAAGTTGCAAGTGCTAATATCAACGATTTTGCGCTCAAGGATATCAAAGACCTCCATTTACCTAGGTAGTCATATACCTCTCTCTCTCTTCCCTTCTCTCTCAAAGTATTGTTCATATCAATGCAGTCCAACCAGTTTGTCTAAAAACCAAGCTCGAATTATGTGAACTGTTTAATCATCAGTAGCATTCATGTCTCTGTTTTTCTATTGCCCAGAATTATTCACATAGAAGTCATCTCGGACCTTGTAATCCCTGAAGAACCCGAGGATCTAGTGAATTCAAATTATGACACTTGTGACACCTGACTGACCTTCCTGTTGCCTATGACTCGAACCTGCACGGACCCCATAACAGTCTTGAATCATAATAAACCCTCCCCTTCTCATCAACTCTCAACTTTGATCTGCAAACCTCTTACTTGAAACTTCTAGCAAACAACTTTTTTCTCAACAAGTTTGCAAATCTATTGTTGTTGTGCTTGTCACAATAACTGTAGTTTTTGGACTAAACCTTCTTTGATATTGTACAAAATCCACATCCTTTCGCAAGTTTCCACAAGTCTCCAACTTCGAGCCCTTGACGTGGAAAGTTGAATCTCCAGCTGATCGATCTGACTTGCAGGAACCTATAAGGACGTACTGCATTATTTACTTCAAAATGACGCGCCAACCTTCCGATCAATGTATCGACGCTCCTGGCCAATCGACCAACCCTTTGCCGATTCCTACTACCCAATCTGTTCCCCAATCTGTTCCTCAGTCTGTTCCTCAGTCTGTTCCTCCTCCTCAAAAGTCTGCTGATCAACAAACACCCTCCTTGGGCCATGTTTATCCATCTATTAATGCTGCGTCCTGCAGCCATGGACAAGGCCAAGAAGATGTTTTCGTACCACCTCCACGATTGACGTACTTGGATTTATTGATCATGGAAAATTCAGGATTTCCAAGTATGGCTGAGTTTGAGATCTTCCTCCAGCTGTACCAGAAATCATATTATCACATGGAACTAGCGGAACGCAAAAAGCTCTTCCAGCAAGTGGAGCTTCTTCGACGAGGTATGCGCCACCCGCAATCGATTCAAGCGCTGGTAGAAGCACAGCAGAGTATTCAGGCCGGTCAACCGTTCCTCAGCCTCAAACATTATGCAAACTTCAGCCGAAACGGATATATGCTCACCTCAATGATCAGTCGCTGCCTCAATCTTACCTCTTTCGCTCTGCAGCGAGCCGTTTTTAAGGCCGCACTAGAAGCAAGTAGGAACACCGATACGCCAAACATAGCAACCATTTCAGGAAAGAGCTGTGAAGATATTGTGAGCATTTTTCTCTTCGTATTTGTCCAAGAAATAAACTAATATTCGTACCAGTTGACCCGTGGTGTAAAACACTGGACCGCTGAGGACATCTTGAAACTTGAGACAATCGTCTACATCCGCCCCTCTGAGCACCATGTCAATAACCCTCCATCTAAGGTCACTTCGCGTACTGATTTTTCATACTTCTCGCATGACCCGCCTCTCCATTGCCCGGATCCTCCAAAGTATGGAGGTATGAAAATCGAGCCAAACGATTCCGCTTTGTCCTTGCAACAACCGTGGACATACAGCCAGTGTTTGGACTACCTCGCTGGTCGGACAATAAACTTCATGAATTCTCGTGATCCAGAAGCTTTCTTCTTCAGCTTGCCTTCGGACGACAAGCTTCAAGGCATGACGGCGGATCAACGTGCAGAGTTTGTTCGTAAACACATTTTAGAGGAAGATGCAAAGCGTACTTTATCGAAATCAGGCAATGATTGGTACCCTGTTCACACGAAAACCTCCGAGCGTTCTACTGAACGTGCATACGATAGTTTGCCTCCGGAGCTTGATACCACTGCATCAATCTCAAAAGTTAGCCCTTACATCCAGGAAAGTCTTGTTAATCATCGAAACCTTAGAACCCATAATATTTACAGTAGTCGAGGTAGACATGGATTCGAATCACCATCGAACCATGGTGCAGATTATGAAAGAAGAATGGGGTATGAACGTAAGCCGCCATCGAGCATTGTGGCAGATGACGGATATTGCAATTCAGACCTGGGGGATGACGATGATTCTGATTGGGCTCCCACTCAATCTGACAATTGGAGTTCGCCATTGAGATTAACGAAGCGTGTATCCTTCGCTGCATTGGTGACAGACATACCAGGAAATCTTCGCGGACAGGAGAATAGTATCGTTCCATCTGATTCCCTCTCCTTTGCAGAGTCAGAGAATGATGAACCAACCACTGCAGACAATGGTCCATTGACCGAAAACATTCGCGATCGTCAGGATCGTCTTTGGGCAACTTCTGCAGCTCATGCTACTTCTGCGATGGAGGTTGTACTGGCTTCGGGTGATGAAAATGACAATAATGTCCCAGTTATCCCACCTCATACCTCTAGTTCGAAGAGAGGAAACAGAAAGCGTTCAATGACTCGAGGTAGTCGAGTAGCTCAACCACGTGCTCAACGACGCGGTGGGTATTTTGATACCTTGATCAATACTTTGGAAAATCAGCATTCGCAACTGTCCTCACTCCCAAAGTTGAGCGAGCTTCTCAGTTCTGTGGATGAGAAGCATCAGACGGCTACCAAAAAGCCTCAAGGTATCCAAGCTCAAGAGGCTTTGTTCACTACTTCGGACGGGGCTCCGGTGCAACGCGGCGTTTCAAACGTTGGATGTGCCCCTCAAGAATATTGCATGCTAGCCGCGAAAGAAATGTACCTGGAGCAGCAAAGAAAGAGGAGAAACCAACTGTTGCAAGAACAGGCTGCTATGCAAGCTGAGACTGTCTTAAAAACTAGTTCAAAAAATGATCATGACCTTGAAGCTTCAGGACATAAACCGGAATTGTTAACAACGGAACAGGAAAGCAAGAACCAAGTTGAATTGAAACGCCAAGAACAGGATACCAAGTTAGCTACTTATCCCTTCTGGGAGAAAGGTGGTCAAACAAAGCCTGTAGAATCTTCTCGTGTTTCTCTCGGAAATGACAAATCTATCCGCAATAGTCCATCAAAGTTCTACAGTCGCGCATCGAAGGAAGCTCGGCAATTCAAAGTCGGTCAGCATGAAAAGCTTAAACAAGATATGGCCACTAAGTTCAATGAACTTAAGAAATTTGCGGACGAGTTCAAGATGTCCACCGCAGTGCCAAGTGACATTGCCTTTATCAATCACGGTGAGATTCCCGTGGCTGTCTGGCAGAATTACCCTCAGGATCGTGCTAACGCTTGCGACGAAGGTCCTCTTCGTATCGCGATCAAGGAAGACAATCTTCGTCGTGCTAAGGGTGCTCCATTTGATGAGTCGAATGTGGAGGTCATCTCGGTTGAAGAAGCTACTCGTCTTCTTGCTGCTCAGAAGTTAGCTAAAGAGATCTCGACTGCTACAAAGTCTGCAACTGGTACTTCTCCTCCCATTCCTGCAAGTCATCAATTGAATGTTTTCGATCACGGCGTCACAGCTACAGGATATGATCAAGACCGTTTTATTCAAGCTACCTATAGCAGCGTCTATAGTTACAAGGCTAACCATGATATTCACAGCTTCGGACAAGACAACTCAATGAATGCTAAGTACAGAAGATATTCTGAGAGATCAAGATTGAGATTGGGATTCAATGATTTAAGTGGCGAATTGTTCTGAGCAGGTGGTGATTGATGATGGATACGAATATTGCGAATGGATACATGGATGACAGATAATGGGTAAAAAGCAACTCGTTTCTATTTATTCGAAGTTCTGAAATATATGCCGCTATTAGGGTTGTGGGATCGAGGTCAAACGAGCTCTTTCGCAAATTTAGAGTCAGGAAGGTTCATAACTAGTTACTCTAAGGAGAATTAGATATTAATGTGGAAATCGCAGGTAGTCTAATTCATCAGTTAATCCTATAAAAAAGATCTTTGGTTCTATTGATTGACCTGAAGATTGCCATTTCTACTCAGGTGGTTCTACCTCGACTTTACCAATTACTACATGACCACGTGCTAGTGGCTGGCGTGGATGATGAGAATTTGGTGAATGATTCACTTACGAAAAACAATCTTTAGATAAGATTTGTGATTTTCCTTGCTATCTGTTTTCTGTAGCTGGCCCAATTCTTCGACGGCTGAGAAATTCCTGGTAAATCCAGAAAAATATTTCCAGGGCGACTTTTCAGTCTTTGATATCTTCAAGTCGCTTTTTATCTAGAAGCTTCAGTTCTTCTCCCTTTAAAACTACTTTCCATCTCAATCTACCTTCCTCTCCTTCTCTATTCCACGTTCTCCCCAGACTTGCAGTATTACGTGCAACGATGGATTTATCTCATCGCTCACCCCATCTAAGTGGTATGTTATCATTTAAACTCATCATGTATATTGAAATTCTGACCTGTCAATCCCCTTTAGATTCCGTCAACAAGAAGCATTCTGTGTTTCGCGTTCCCCGATTCCACCCAATCCCTCGAATCTATACCGAAAGTCTTATTGTTTTCCTTGCCTTTCGCCAAAGCTTCTTAACGCTATCCGACGTCGACCGCGTTCGCTATGGCAAGAAGAATACCAGAGACGCATTCTTGAATTCGTTCGCTCCTCAATACCTTGAACAGAATTTACATGGAATTTCATTCAAATGCATGTGTGATTTAGTCCAAGATCTATGGGCCGCGAAACACTTCCTTGCTGGATCTGACTTGAACAAGCTTTTCAAGGGCTCTTCCTGTGAGCGACAGCAAGATCCCGCTTTTCGAAGACTTATCAATGTCCCAATATTAGGCGAGGTATTGGAAACTAATATCTGGCTGTCGAACCAGCAGTCACATTATAAGCCGCGTATCACCCCATCTTTCAGGATTAGAAAGTTGCTTTCAACACGTCCATGTCCTTTGCCACGCATGGATCCTGACCAACTCAATTTTAATCGCGATAATATGATTGAATGTCCTCCAGTATCTGGTCCTTCCAAACCTGACCTTGGTCCCTACGAAGATGATTATGAGTGCAGCACAGCGCTTCCCTTCCTTCTCCAACATTCTCTCCTCACGACACTCCAAATTCTCTTCGAGAAATCTCTATTCAGCTTCGCATCCGAACACTTTCCTGCCGACCTAGTTTTGAACTTCAAAACTTGCTCCAAGCCTATTAAGCTCAGTAGCTGGAGCTCGCATATACACATGAACGCTGCTGATATCCGGCTCAAACTTGGCTCTAGCTTTGCTCTTGAATATCTGCTTTTCTTTCTGGGTCGCTTGGAAACAGTGAGAGACTTAGTTGTGCATCGGAAAGATGGTGAGTCGATCGGATGCACTTTTGATATTATGACAGAGCAGTGGCTAACGAAATCAGGCGTTCCTATTGGAGCAATCAATAGTATGTGCAAAGATAGCATAATTTTGGCGAGAGCTTTAGGAGACACACGAGCAGTTTTACTACGCTCGGCACAGGAAAAATTGTTCATGATTTCAGAAACACTGTAAGTTATTCCTTAACATATAATGGTTTATTTCGCAGACTTTTTACCATTAGCTTATTCCTCCTCGCCCCTTGAAGAAGGATCTACCAGTGCTGTGAACTAACTCGATTTTTCACGCTAGGCTACAGATCCAAACGCTACCTCAACGTTTTTCCTTGCTTGACGAAGAACTAGAAATCGATCTGATGATGAAATCCAGCCTTCAAATCTCAAAGAATGGCGAATCTGCTTCACGTATTGAGGTGTCTTATTCTGAAGCAATGGAACTATACTCGAAGTTATCCAAATGAGTCGTAAATATGCTACGTGGCTTAGCATATTATAATTAACAGAAACGTAGGCCCCCGTCGCCTGCCCGTTTCTGTTATTGATACTGAGACACAGAGCATTTATCGATCGATAGAGAGGGTTTGGAGCATGTATCAAACCATGAGGTGTCTACCCTCTGGTCTTTCTCCTGTTATTAAAGGACAAAACGAGCAGATTTCGGATGATGATGAGGATACTGAAACATCAAATCATCAGCATAATAGTGAGAGAAACTGGTTGCTTTCTCAATTCAGGGAAGTTCTTGACGAAATAATAGCAATGTTTTACAGGTAATTTCATTTGTGTCAGATCGAGGATTGTGGTTGGCTTGAGTAGGATGATGGAGGACCACTGTAAATGAACATCAACATTGTCTTAATGTATCCAGAAATTCATTTATTGAAGATCTCTTTCCATCGAGCGAAAAATCATTCGAAGGCAGTGTTCTATAGATTAGCAAAAATGCAATGGAGTTTTATTTACATTAGTATACCTCATTATGAATGCTGGATTTCGGACTACTCATGATTCAATCGCTCCTGGCTCAACATTCCAGAAGATATCGCAACATAAAAAATGATGTCTTCCCGCAAATGATAACTTGGAATAATAAGCAATGGACTACGAATGTTGGGATTCCTGCAATTCAAGAGATAGGGGTGAGATAACAGGAGCAACAAAAGACGCTGTGATTCTGAGGGATGTATTTTTACTAAAGAGGATCTTCTACAATACGTAGATCTTCTTCCATAGACGATAATTTTGAACATCTAGTTGCTTTCGTGGCGGATTACCTTAGCATTACACTTCATACCGTATCAGTCTCTTGTTCTCGAAATCATCGTCAAGTAGAATTCACAGCAGATTCTTAACAAGCCCTTATATTCCTTTCTGTAATTATGCCATAAGGTTTCTTTAGGTGACTGGAAGCATCGCATCTTTTATTGCTTTATATAGGTATCCAATACCAGTATGAAATTTGTCAGAAATTGAATTAAAGAGACGTTTGATGTTTGATATAAAGGCCCTTAAACATATTTTACACGTGCTTGCTTCTTCATTATTGGTTTAAGGATGAATCTTTCTTCTAAGTGACAATAAATAAGTACTTTCCTCTTCCTCGACACCTTCCTGTATGTCACCAGGTGGTCTCGGGAGTAGCAGCTGTGTCGACTGTGGGAATGATGACCACAACAATGATTTGAGAGAATTTGAGCGTGTTGAACAGGAGGATGAATACCAGAATATCGGTGATAATGACTGGGGATATTCTGCTGAAGAGTTAGAATCATTTATGTGTCAAAATGAAGGTGGGGAAGCAGCTATGTGCGAGGATGAAGAGCTTCTTGGCTCATTACACGGCGCCGGTAGATGTATGATGGAGTGTTGTATGTGACGACCATTAAGATGAAGGAGGTAATATCATGTGGGATGATGAGAAGCGGAGAACTCTTTGAAGGTTCTAAGCACGTCACAGTCTACTATGTGCTGCAAAAACAAATTGAAAAATGGGAAACTTTCTAATTCGATCACTTATGCAAAAATTTAACCTGGTATGCAATGTGTTTTCGTGGTTCGGTGCTGACATCCCAAGATTTCATTACGGTCAATCTTTTTCTCGATCCTCATCAATTGATATTCACGCCTTCCCCAACTCAAAAATCACAATCACATCAAATCTATGAGCATATCATTTTTATTCACTCATCCATTTTAAGATTCAAACATGCGCTATCACCAGCCACACAAATTACAGAAGTCAAAAAGGAAAGACCGAAGCACGATTCTTAGGAGGTCACTTTTCTCCATCACTCCATCTCTCGCAACATTTAGAAAAACGAGATCATCAAGCTCAAGAATAAAACCTCAAAATTCAATTGATGCAGCCGTCCTTCGAAGAAGATATCATCCTGGTCAAAATCGTGCTGCTCCCGAAGTGTCTATCAAAATCAGAGAATATTTGCCAAAATTAGAGATTTTCATGGGACCCAACACAGCAACGAAGCCAGAGATAAACCACAAAAGCCGTTGGAGTTCACGTGCAAAAGCTACTTCATCTTCTTCCTGTCTTCCAAACATGGAGACAGATATGAATATACCTCGAGACTCACTTCGAACTATTCCTTCTCTATCATCAGATGTGAGTTCAGATGAGGAAATTGGGGGTCGCAGCATTCACTTTCCTGCGAAACTACCTGAGCTTCATAGAATAAATGTTCAGGATAATTTTATAAAGAGTCTAATAAGCAAACTTACGAAAGAGAGACGGGAGAGAAAATTGGTACTGCGAGGCTCAAGGAGATACAAATATCTGGCTACGATGAAAAGAGTCATGGATAATGTTTGGGACATTCAGTCGCAGGTTTTAGACAAGCTCAAAGGAGGGAGGAAAAGGAAGTTGGATGAACAGAGTACATAGTTGGGTTTTAAAGGATGGAACTTCACGTGAGTCCCTGGTCGATATTAGGGAACTCGTCATGCTTTCGGTCAGACATCAATCACACGTATATGAACATTCTAGGACGATGGGGTGAGGGATTGATCCAAGAATGGTTCAATACTCAACTGTGAATATAGCCTTGATTTTGACAGGTCATTTGAAGCGTCGCTGAGGCACGATTGGGAAGAATTGATATCTGAAGACTCATTCCAATTATTTACAGATAGTGAGAGTAGACAGATGTGACTCTAGAATAATCAAATGAGATCATGTTCAGTCTAGAGCAGAAATTTGAGTTGAGATAAAGATGGGCATTCTTGGGGAGAACAAATGAATCAACTAACACATTCTTGTGAATTTTAAGGAAGAACTTCAATGTCTTTATCCCAAAGTATATTAGAATAATAGCTGCGGGAGCTTACATGAGGTGGCGTATAATCTACGTATAGCAAAATAATAAAACTTCTTTGCAATCTCAATTTTAGGCGTGTTATTATTCCCGTGTATCTGAGGGTGTCTTCCCTTTCAAGTAGTTTCGCTATGGGAAACTCACGAGAAGATACACAGGTGCATCTAAGTATTACGATTGATCAACAACTGTCAAGTGACGGGTATATCAGTGATTCTTTTCTTTTTCCATTCAACAAAATCTACACTATTGAATGAGAATTTACTTTACTTTCAGACAGGACCTCTGGGCAATCAGAAAGGGCAAAAGATACCAGCCATCGATAGCTACACAACCTTAAATGCAGCAGAAATGAGAAAAATCTCTCAGTATTAATCGAACAGGAAGAGAAATATCCAAAATAATGTCGCAAAGACAATGTTTCTGCGAAGCAAAGACTACGAAACCTCAACTTGCTCTTAATGGGGAAGGATTATCATTAGTCCTACCCACTGACTTGTTTTCAAGCTGAACAATCATTCAACAAAGTCAGATTGCCCAATCATTTAAACAGTCAATTATAGCCAAATTTTAGGGCACCTTGCTACTTCATAATTTTTGCAGGTTCAAATCTGTTTAAGATTGCAAAGTAGACGTTAAGCGAGGTGTATTGGGCTTTCTCCACTTTAATTTTGAAAAATAGTGTGATCATCAATTTGCAACTGCATCGGTAAAAACAGAAGGTTGAATGCAATATAAAATCACGATCCGTGAATTTCTTCAATAATATTGATATCACCTTGGGTCTTCAGAGTGCATTATGACATTGAAATCTCGAATAAACACGAGGGCGCTTTCCAAATTCCTTTCAGGATAAATCGTCTGCATTCAAGGCCCAATGTGTCTAGCGGAATTTTTTAGGCTGTTCATTAATCTCTCCTTTACTCTAGAATGACTGCGATCTTGATGTTTCTAGCTGTGTTCTGTTTATTAATGTGGTTCCATGCCAAAAATTATTCAGTTGCTGTTTCAAAGTTATCGTCACGCATTGGCAACGGGAAGCACATAACCCTATTCTAAGTTCGATGAACTCCTTGTGTCTTCAAAAAAAATGTCATTCTCGAATCTTATATTCTTGAAAGGAGAAGTCTAAGGACTTAATCTCTTTGGTGTTCTTGGGTAATCGCAAACCAAATGCACACTCGGCAAATTCAAATACCAAGCCACAACTCTATCCAGACCAATTCCTCCACCACCGTGAGGAGGCACACCGACACTCTTAAACACATCTACATATTCTTTGATGCCAGGTTGGTTGGGGTCCAAACCCTTCGATCTGATCACCTCCTCCAATTGCTCTGGTAAATGTAATCGTTGACCACCACTCAAAATTTCTTGTCCACGCATCATGAAATCATATGCGTTAGTGACGGCAGGGTTTTCGGGATCTGGCATCGCGTAGAAGGGACGAGCATCGACTGGGAATTTGTCAAGGACATAGAAATCAGTATTAAACTTCTTACGAACGAGAGCTCCGAGAGCCTTTTCTTGAGGTGTGCTCATATCTTCAGTGTCGGTGACGTTTCTGAATTCTTCGGGCCCTTCTTCACGAAGGAGCTTTTGACCTTCGGCAAAAGTAAGACGGACTTCCTTGCCAGGTTCGGGAAGAAGGAACTCTTCGGATGGGTAAATGGAGCGGATAAGCTCAATTTCTTCACGGTAGTTCTCGGCAAGGTTGCGGAAAATGAAGAGAAGAACACCTTCGAGCATGTGCAAGACTTCGTGATAATGTTCATCAATTTCCATCTCCAAATCGAGACCAATAAACTAGGAATAAATTAGTATTACATCATCTTCGCAGAGCGGGTTTTGTTACCTCAGTCATGTGCCTTGGAGTATTTGAATTCTCTGCACGGAAAACAGGTCCAACACAGTAGACTCTCTTTCGGCCTCCAGCGATTTCAAATTGTTTGTAGAATTGTGGGGACTGGGCGAGATAAGCTTCTTTGTCGAAGTATGGCATTCTGAAAACGTTTGCACCGCCTTCGGAAGCAGCTCCGATCAGACAAGGAGGATGGAATTTCTTAAATCGATGGCGTCTCAGATAGTCGCAAAAGTAATCCTCGACAGCGATTCGAATATCGGCGATAGCTTGGCTGACAGGTGCTCGTTTGTGCATGGCGGGGTTGTTAAGGTGAGAAGCCAGACTGGCTGTTGGGGTGCCTTCTGTGACACTGAGACCTATGTAAGCAAGTGTTAGCTCATTGGTAGAGATAATTGTAAGATATTGATTTACCGGCAGCAGCTTCACTAAGATCTTCTTCCTCATCCAACTTGCCTACAGCTCTGCTCGCTGGTCCCAATCCCAACCCCAACATCTCGGGCGCAGTAGCTACCAAGTAAACTTTTCCAAGATGTAATTCGAAGTTCGAAACCTTTGTGCTCTTAACAGGCTCCAATGGCTTCTGCACAACAGCCTCAACGGCAACGAAACTCTCCAACTTTAATCCTCCAATCCATTTGACCATTTGTTTGCTGACTGGCTTGCCCTCCGCGCTGGCACTCACAACACCTTGGACTGTCCAGTTACCCTCCTCTCTTAACTCCACAAACGCCATCTTCGCTCCTTGCATTCTTGCATTTTGAATCCATGCACGAACCTTGATTGTCTTGCCAATATGTTGTTCTCCAATCTCCCTCAGATGTACACTTTCGGCTTCGATCTTAGTGGTGTGTTTGATTTGTCCGTAATTATCTTTCGCAAGATCCTCAGCAGCAGCAGATCCAGCGGCAGCTTGTTTGGCAGCTTGCTCAGCGGCTTTACGTGCCTTTTCTGCTTCTTTCTTGGCTTTGGCTTCTGCTTTTTTGGCTCCTTTCTTAGAGGGTTGTGCGGGGTCTTCACCGGTAGGTGGGGCGCCTCCAGCTGCGATAGCGGGGTCAGTTGGAATTTCTTTACTTGGTTCCGCCATCTTTACGATTGTGAAGAAATCGGCTGTAAGATTGGGTGGTGTTGAATGATAACTTTCACGTTTACAAATAGAGTAAAAATTAATGGAGGGGTACTTTTGTATAAAGTTATGGTCATGTTATGAGTAATGCGGCAAGAATTTAAGCGCCAAGGTCAAAGCTTTTTTTCGGACAGGGGTCATATAATCAGATGTCATCGTGGAGATTTTTATTTGTATTCTTCTTTTGAATATAACATAGGTAATCTGGCTACAGAGACAATTCTATATAACCATTCGTCCAATCCATAGGTAAAAGTTTTCGTCACAATACACACATACCAACCACTTCAACTGCCATCTTTGCCCGACCTATTGTGATGAATCCTCACCTCTCCTGAGCTGAGTACCTTCAATTGTTTGAGTAGTATGTCTCTCGAGTTTAATACTGCTTCTAGATTGTTTGCTTCTCAGGAGTCTATCGTTCGTTGTAGGCTAAGTGTGTTTGCTAGGACAACCACTTTCCCTGATTTATGCAATACACTGCTAATTCGTTTATTTTTCTTCAACCAATTATATCTCTCAAATGCACTGCCTGCACTGTGTTAAGAACATCTTCTAAGATGGGAGCTCTTCCTGGACCATGTGGTTCACTTCTCAAGTCAAGGACTTCTCCCAGATTGATCACTGCAATCTGAAGTCAGACGCTATGAGCTCACGAGAAAAGTTCAGCAAACATTTTTCGGCCAAACATGTACAATCTTATAAAGAAACGACAATTCCTTCCCTAAATTTGACTATAGTTCTCGAGCAATTCCATTTGGGAATGTTTTGGCTGACACCTGTGATTTTGTGCATTTAGATATGCCCTGTTTTCCAGATCTTTGACATAACCATCCCATTCACCATTAACTTTTCCCGAATCCCGATCCCAAAGAGAACATCAAGCAACTTTATAAACCAATTGGTACTTTTGACGAAACGAAAAACACTATCTGAGTAATGTGTCAGAACATTACAATTCACTGGTAGGAATTTTGATCGCCGTGCTCATTGGTGAGCAATTGCCCTCTTCACTGCTAGAGTCCTCGATCTGGGTATAATCTTGGAGGTTGCTACAGATATAGATAGTACCCGTTTGATTGGAGAATCCGTTGAAACGCGTCGCTGTAGCTGAAGTATAAGCTGTAATCATAATCAGTCAAGCATCAGGAAGAGTGGTCCGGTCTTAGTTCTCACCTCCCATGTTTCTGTACACCAAAAAATCACCAATTTTAACTTCGCAGCCGAAAGTGGTGCTCCGACTCACACAATCTGTACTATCACATGTTGGCCCCCAAATCTTGTAGGTGTGGTTTCCAGTCTTGCGTGCCATCGTCGTATTTAATTTGCCTTTGATCAACGTTGGCATAAACTCTTCCTTTTCGATGAGCCCATTCATAAAGTTTCCGTATACACCATCGTTTTGATACAACATTTCCAGAGTTTTGGAAGGTCCTGTCGTTGTTGACACCCGGCGTGCTATAATTTTGCAAACAAGTGTAAATGCACTGCGCGCATAGAAACGTCCGGGCTCTGCAATGAAAGTTGTTTGCTCTGGAAATCCCGCTTCAGATATGGCATTAGATACAGCTTCGGCCATATCTCCAAATGCAGATTCTGTGGACTGAAACCCACCGCCAATATCGACAATTCTCAAGGAGAATCCTAAGGATTCTGCAATATCCCAGACCAATCTTGAATGTTGAACGGCTTTTCGAATCACTGCAGGATCTGAAGCGCCCGACCCTTGACATAAAGTTAACTCTGGAATACATAATCATTATGAGAGGGCTCTCTACCAATATGAAAACTAGTTCCAACGACGTCCATACCCAGTTTTTTCGCGCGTACAAGAAGTGCTTGAGCCGATTCCAGTGGGGCACCGTATTTATCCCCTAGGGCAACAAGAGCGCTGTTATCATTCGCGAAAATTCTAAGCATCAGTTGTGCGTTAGGCATGTATTTGTTTATGCTATCCAGCTCATCGATATTATCAAAGGTCGTTTTTCTGATGCCCGCATTATAGGCAAAAGCAAGTGCTTCGGGTGCCTTGCATGGATTTGCAAAGATAATACTGCCAGGATGAGCACCCAATGATAGAACGGTATGCATTTCCTCCACGGAAGCACAATCAAATCCAACGCCGAGTTGCATGAGTACTCTCAGCATGACGTTGTCAGTATTGCATTTAACGGCTATTTTGCACATCAGTTCCATGAAATAAAAACGCGGCTAAGCTTTCACTTACCGTAAAATGGCCGGACGAAAGGCAGATGAGATACCCAAAGATCATGTTGACGTCGAATCACTTCTATATCTGCAACGAAGAATGGGTCGTTAAAACCAAGTATATGTGGAAATTGTTCTATATGAGCAATATGTTGGTATATGGTGTTATTCAATAATTGTTCTGCAGGTTTTTGTGGCTCTCTGCAAATGCTGGTACTTAAATCCGACATAGTTGAGAGTAATCGGTTGATTTCCCCAGGAATTTGAGTCTGAAGCACGCAGAATTTTCGTGGGTTGGGTTTTGTAAAATCTCATGGCAATCAATTCTAAGGGAGAGACCCTTTACGTATTTGTGCCGCACTAGACTTTAGACCTACTGGGTACACTAAATCTTAGATATTGGCTACGCAAAATCTGAGATGTATGTTTCAGATCATACAGCTCGTACTGAAAAACACACATGTCTCACCACGGGACATTTTACTAGTGGCATAGTACCTTGAACTCTGCACATCATTCAATCCTGAAAGTTTTGGATATGGCCATTAACATTCATAAAGATGAATCTTCTTCTCAATTCTAACGGATTTTTCAATAGCCAATGAGAAAACCACTGTGACTAGTTGAAGAAAAAAAAGTAGCAATTGTAAGTCAAGTTCTCTGAGAAATCAAAGTGCCGCCTCTTTCGATCTACTTCATAAGTTCTGCCAATGTTCCTGGCATCTCAGCCGCAGATTGTTCAAACCGTTCAGTTGTTGGGACTGCATTCATTCAATTTGAAGACATTAGATGCATGGCGAATACATCAGAAAAGCTGAGTTATCAACGCCTAACAGACACCGCCAGAACGAAACTACTTTCTCTAGGGGCGTTGCCCTTGCAACAGCAACAATCTTTTAAGACAATTGAAGCCAATTTAGGATCTGGGAATGCTAAATTCATACGCATTTGATGTAAACGCCGTCTTTATACTTTGATCAATTTCACTTCAGGGGCTCCTTTTTTCAATAGCAGCGGTGTCCTCGAACCATGTAAGTGATGATTTTGCCAAATCGAATGTTCCATCACTTATAAAAAATCAAAAAATTACAGGGAAACATGACGAACACTTCGATGCTGCATAGTGTTTCAGCCTGTTGTTGAAGAACATGTCCTTATTAGGCATTCCAATCACGCCAATTCATGGGGAAATACATGCTACTTGGGAAAGATCGATGGCCATCTGAGACAATTCCATTTTGTCAATGCCGATCAATGCTTATTCTTAGGAGGACCTGCTTCCGTTTGTGGCCCGTGTTGCAGCGACTTAATGCATGGTTCACAGAGCAACATTGTCAATTAATTGGAGATTTCTACGTCACATGGGGCAGATTCGCTACACGTTCTAATACTACACGAATTCTGGAATCAAAATCAATTCATTACAAATAAGAACTACATTCATTAAGTACCGATAGAAGTACATGCACACGGCACGGAGGCATCAATGATGTATCTTTATGCAACAAGTTATGTAAGTATGAATTTAAAATGCTATCTACTAGTCTTTGCATAATCAGACGTTCTCAAAATCTCTACACCATTTCGTGTTTCCATGACCCAATACTCTCGCATATCCAACCCTCCTTTTTCCAACTCAACTTTCTTTTACAAAAAGAAATTGAAAAATATTCCTACACCATTTCCCAGCCATATTTATTCAATCTCAGCAGCAGGAATTCTCAGAGCATATTTGCCCTTTTCCTGGAGAACACTCTCCCTGATCCCTCTTCTCGGCCCTTCTCATTCTTCCCATTGCCCTCTCCGACTATTAATTCTCCTCCAGTTCCAATTCTGCCCCCTCAAAGCTATCGAATCTCGGTCCGAAAGCTTCAAGCAAGATACAAGCATCCTAAAATGGGCGAGTATCCAAATCCTCCAACCGAGTCACAATATCTCGTAGAGATGGAGACGACCGACGAAATTTGCGTAAGCTCCTTACTACTCTTGAATGATTGATTTTCATTGCATTCATAATAGTAGAAGCAGTCGGCGAGGGATTACAGATAGAGCTTCGTCTGCTATTGCTACGAGATGTAGCTCCAGCTGCAGACCCAGCCTCGGATGCAGCGTGTGTTGATTTCAACAAAGTTTGATAGCGAGTCAGAGAGGGTCTTCGTTGGCGTTCGGGAAATGATATATCGAGATCCATGGCATCATCGAGATCCATTGCGTCTCCATCGTCATAGTAATCAGGAGTGGTATTGGCATATCCTGTTGGGGTTTGACTCGAGGCAAGTGAAGTGTTTGCCACGATTAGGAATACTGCATCATCGATTTCCATGGGATCCTCATCGTAACCTGGGCCAGAACTAATAGCTGAAGAACTGCCAAGCATATGATTTGCGGTTTGAATGCTAGCTGATTCAATTCTGGCTTCAAGCCAAATATCCGGGCTATTTTGTTCGGCTTGAGGCGTGGAGAGATTTCCAGATGGTGCGTATTGATGAATAACAGGCACAGAGAAGGAAGTATCTGGGGCGCTATGTCGTGAATTATCAGGACCCTCAGAAAATGATCTCGACCGAGGCTTGAGCTGTGTGGATTGAGATCGGCAAGAGCTGTCCCATTCTTCATTTCGAGATACTTCGAATGTGGAGAAACAACGGCTGGGGGCACTGTCTCTGCTGATACTCACATCCTTAGATGGTGGTATAGAATAATATTTCGAATCGACGTATGTTGGTTGCGCAGCCCTGTAGTTTTGAACAGGAGCAGTTGAGCCCTTTGGTCGACGGAGATCCGATGGGTTGTAAATATTTTTCTTTCCTCCATGTTTGGGAGTGGAAGAAATCATGGTCATGTACACACTTTTCGTGGGACGTGGTGTACGACTGCCAGCTGTGGGTTGCGCGATGTTCGATGACTTTGGCTTCTGAGCCAAGGCGTTGAAAGATTGTCTTGGGTTTTCCCGTGGCTCATGGATGCGCTCTTTAGTACTGAGTAGATCCGAAGGGCTGCTTTGACTTGCAGAGACCAGACCGTCCTTGTTGAGAGGTGGTAACCCAATAGCCGTTCTGAACAAATCGCTCACCAGATCCATGTCTGTGAATTTTCGAAGCTCACTCATCAAGCTCAATGATGGCGAGAACATCTTTTCCAACCACAATTCATTGACGATTAGTTGTAATCTGCCAAGCTCGACTCCATACAGCTCACAGCTTTTCTTCAGAAATTCTCTTCCGAACATTTCAAGCAGGGGCACACTTTCCAATCCCCAGCCGTAGTCACTTTGTTGCCTGCGAGTTAGCCTGGAGAAAGGAGTGCGGAACATGAAGACCACCAAAAGACGTTCGAAGTGTTGAGCTGGGTTGCGATGAAGTGGTAATAGAGATTTGAGTTGTAGGATGTCATCTCGTCTTGATGCTTTGACTTTTTGAGGAGTTTCGATTTGCTTCGAAGCGAGGAGTTGCGCAATATGTTGCTCCCTGCTCTTTTTATGTTCAAGAGTCTGTTCAATATCGTGTCCAACATTGCTAGTTCTACCAGCTTGCCCCCATTTTGCTATCCAACCGCGCAGATCCATGTTGTTGCTGGCCATGTTCAAAAACGTCGATGGAAGGTTTGAGTGTTTGTTTGAAGTTGTTCTTGAAGAATTTTTAAGTGTATGTTGATATCGAGAGTTTGGCCGATGAAGAAGCTTTGTGATTTGAGAGTGAGTTTTGACAAGAAGCGAATGAATGAGATAGCAGCTTTTCGACAGCGGGGCAAGGCCTTAATATGTAAAAAGAGGCCAAGAACAATAGGTGCTAGCGTATGATTTGCTTATCAAATCCCCGCGTGTGTATGTGCCTACGGCGTTGGTACGGTAAGGTGCGTTTATTAGCAAAGTATTTTCGGTGCAATATCTTTGCTGCAGTGAAGATTGTATCAACAAATTGTGACCTTTTCTTCCTCTCAAGGGTGGGAGCGATAGCAGGCTTATATCAGTGTTCTCAGTAGAGCATCTATGCTACGGTGAGGACCGTATTGGCTATGATGTTTCTCAAAGTCGCGATCCATATGCTTATATCAGCACAGTTATTTCAGTAGGATATCTTTGCTACGGTCAGGACCGTATCAACTACTTGATGTTTCTTATTTCGCTCAATATCGCGAACGATAGCATGCTTATAAACAAGTCAATACTCTACCGAGAAGCATTATCTATGGTGAAGACCGTATTCACCCCTAGAAGTGACTTATTATATTGATACGGTCGAGTAGAATCCAAATATAATCTCAAAGCTAGAAAAGTGAATCTCCCGCAGTCTAGGCAACTACCTATTTCTAATCCCAATATTCACCGTGTATAGATAGGTACTTCGGCCAACCCACTCCAGTTTAGCGAGAGAGGAGGCATTAGATACCTACCTAAGCATACCAGCTGCATCCTGAGAAAGTCTAACCAGACCACAACATCAAGAAATGAGAACCGTTTATATAACCAAAGTAGATGAAAGACGACGTAAGCCCCCCTCTGTGGTTATCGATTACCAATATATCTGACGCTGTGTTAGTACGAAAGAAGTACCATAAAAGTCGCAGTGAAAAGGGTTCAGGGCACGGTTTATAACCATCGCTAATTTGATCGGGCCCAGAATCATGTGAAACGATCCACGATTAAGCAAATTGATTATGCACTATAGTGATTATGATTGAGTAAAGCTTTGATTGCAGAATCATGGGTCTTATGATTGAAAGTCATGAAATCGGAGAAATGCTTGCGAGGAGGAGTGCGCGAAGTGCGGAGCGGACTCTCCAAGTTTCAGGCTCCGTGTGCATTGCAAACGCGATACTGTGTTCTATCTAAGGAGTCAAGCAATACTTAAATGCATCTTAGTAAGAGACCAGCGCTCTCGCTAGACCACTACAATACCTAAATGACCCGTGACCTAGGATCATTCACTACCTGGGTAACGTTCAAACAACAAGCAAATGGGTAGATATCTAACAATCAAGAATATCACACGGTTGTATGGTATTCAGCCTATAGCCAGTCTTTCCCATCTACTGTGAAGTAAATTTATACGACATGAACATAAACCAGACAATTTTATCTATAAATGGCTTTAAGAATACTGAATCAAATATTATGAAATTAGTGAAATAGTCCATCAAAAATCAAATTATTTATCAGACAACTGTATCTAAAGGGTAAAAAATGAATTTAGGATTGGATTTACAAAAATATTCAGACCCTCATCCAATCTAACATATTCGCTTCATCTGCAAGCTCTTTCTTCCCTTTCCTCTTCTCTGCAAACACAATTCCCAGTCTAACTCATCTGATGTCATCCTCACTTCACCCATCATTTATTTCACTCCACCCACCCACCCCACAATCAACACCAAACCCTCATACTAACAACAAACCACTCACTTTTTCACTTTTTTAATTTCAAATTCCTGCCCCTATACACATGTACCGCTTCATCCACCCCCTCTCCCAGCCCCACCGTATATCTAAGACATCCTCCTCTCCCCTCCCTACCTCCCACGGTCTATCCCTTACCAAAATACAATATCTCACAATCTCAACATCTTCACAAACAAAGTCAAAGATTCCATCTAGCATCAGTCTCTAGCATCAATCACCAACTATGCAATTTCCAATCATTTTAATACCTCAAGATAAACTCAGATAGGAAGCACAATACTCTCATCACACCAAAAATTTCCTCAGATTACATCAAATCACACATCGCACCTTCCGTTCAACCCCTCTCAAAGTCTCAGCCAAAAGAAAGTTGACATAATATGTAAATTGAAAACAAGCCCCAAAGTTCTACATACATACATGCGTACATACAAACAGCAAACGTCCACTATTAATCATTACCACAGGCATCATCAAAAAGAAGTCAAGGCCAGAATAATTCTATCCTTGCCTTCTTTCATTGCACTTTCTCCATATCTCCAATCTAGCCAGTATCAGAATCTAGCTAGGTAAATGCAAGTGAATACCAAACCCAAGCCAAAAATCCAAATCATGCGGGGACATGCATGCCAATTAAGTTCAAACCAATCCATGATGTGACTCCAAACGCCCGGGAAAATATCAATTAGCCCTCAAAGCGTCAGTTGGAAGTATGACACCCTCAAAATTCTACTTGCCCAGTGAATTTATGCAACGCTATTATGCATATAAGTTATATACCCCAACTCCCAATACACCGTACAATGTGATAATTGATCAAGACTCGCTCTAGCTAAGCAATTCATTAAGCGAATCTTGAAAGAACATGCCCTACCTCGACCATCAGATCAATACTCCGTTGATGGCACTTTTCGCTCCGCACATGAGAACAGATTTATATGATTATCGCCTCTCGCAGCACAAGCTAACATCATACGATGCGGATGGAAAGCCGTAGCTGAAATGGGTGATTGACGAGCTTGATGTAGGAAGCTCGAGTATGGCTCCACTCTTGAGAGTTCTCTGCCATCGAAATTGAAAACCTTGACTGTATGATTTCCAGTGCCACTACAGATAGAATTAGTAATTTTCAAGGTGAGACAAAGGAAGCAGACTTACACAGCAAATACTGGAAGATGTTCATGAGTGCTTGCAGTACGTAGAGTATCCTTTGTAGCCTGAATAACTCGTAATGGTTTGTCCATTCGAATGTCCCAAAGTTTAACTTTACCATTGCGACTGGCGGAGAGAAGCTCTCTTTGACCACCTCGTTGCATATGCACACTCTTGATCCATACCCTGTCAGATTCATCTTTCCATTTCTTAACCATAGCTTCTTGTGGCTTGTTTCTAGCGTCAAATACTCGTATGGCTCCATCACCAAAACCTGCCACGAAAACATTACCTGTCATTTGATCAGAAGTCAAAGACGTGACACAAGAACCGGACCGAGCATTGATATCCACGACACAAAGCTCTGGCGCCGCAGCCCACACTCTGATCACCTTTACATCACCGGCTACCAAGAGTTTTCCAGTAACTTGTTGCCAGTCAAATACCATACCAGAATTGACGTTACTTGGGACAAGATGCGTCAAAGCCCTCCATGCTGAAGCAACCTCAATCTTTTTGTCGGAGTCATAATTCCTATAAATACGAATAACACCATCTGAAGACCCCGTCAACAAGAAGGCTTGATCGTCCTCATTGATAAACTGGAGATCACTAATCCTGGAACCTTCTGGATTACCATTTGAAAATCTACTAAGGCGATCTTGCTTCTTCCAATCCCAAACACAAATCGTGTCGCGATCATCAGACACAGCGAGATGATCTTCAAATTGATGGAGTGTCATTTTTGTCGGTTGACTAGAATTGTTGAAAAATCCAGTAGCGTGCGTCCATTTGCCATTGCCGGCAATTTCTTTCTGGGGTTGAGTATCGCGAAGAATTGCTTCGTTCCTCGATCGTCTCCAAAGTCGTTCGTTATAGTCAGTACTTCCGGGCTCCTCAGCTTCGTTCGGTTTCATCTGGGGTTCGCGGAAATATTCAATTGACCATTCTAGGAAAGTACTCTCCAATGGTATAGTACATGGTTCCGACAGGTTTCGAGGTTGAAATCCCCCTGATGTTGGCTCATTTGCTGCATGATATGTGCCTGGGGTCGATGCGATATCATTCTGCTCTGGTGGGGAATTAAAGTCTGGCGGGAGACGTGATCGCGCTGGCAAAGAATTCCGATTTAGGCCAGGTGACTTCAAACCAGATCTTCCGGTTGAGTCAGGTGGTGTCACTTCGCCAGTAGAACCACCGAAAGGCAGGGTAAACAAGTAACTAGCTGTTCTTTTGAGTAAGCCCTGCTGGCTCGACTGTGTGCTTGACAAGGTATCTTGTCGCGTTGGTGTACTGGGTCTTGTCTCCGACGTATGCGACTTCGATGCCTTTGGCTTTGCTGAAATTCGATTTATGTCATCAAATAGTTTACGGGCTGCGGCCCCAACTGGTGAGCGAAGGAGTGATACATGGAGAGCATCCACAATAATGGTTGCATTACGCTGAACTTCCGGATGTGGATCGATTGCCATTATTAGAACGTGTTTCCAAACCACAGCAAAGATGGAGTTGTGAGACAAGCCCTGAGCTGTGGCTTTGATGGTACCATCCTTATTTCTGTTATCCATACGAGCATAGTGCAATCCCATTTTGTGGTCATTCCCATCGTCGAGAGGGGGAGATTGTCTATACTCCCGTTCCTCCTGTAGCTGTTCGAATGCCACTACCCAAAACTTACTCTCATATCGATGTATAAACTTAGAGAAATATACCAGCAGTTCTTTGCGGACCATGGCGTTTCCATCATTTGCTAGTTCTATGACGGTCCACGATATTGACTCCTCATTTCGAGCAACCTCATCTGTCAAGTCCGGGATTCCCAGAAAAGTTGTCATGGCGTATAACATGGCAGCTCTGACTTCGCAGCATACATCACGAACCAGACCGGATAACTTTGCAGGTGCATTCTCCCTGATACCCCGCCATTTCGCTTCAGGGAGATCATTCCAAAGCTGACTGATACATAGACACGCCCATTGTCGTAAAAGTGGGTTGTCTGCATTCTGCAAGTGTGTCAAACAGTAAGTCATGATATCTGTTTGGTTGCAGACATTTTGACCTTGCTTGTATCCATTGCAGAGCATGGCTAGAATGAACGCACACATAGCTTTGTGTTCAAGGCTATCCACTACTGGAAGACCTTCATTGGGTTTCAATATACTTGAGAAGTAGTTGTAACCACTATCTTTCAACAAATCTTGCTGACATGTGAGATCAACAGCCAGAACACGAGTCCAGATAAACACCATCACGGGCTTCAATTCTGCCGCGGCTGATTGTAACAATTTTAAAACGTATGGAAAGATACCTATGCTCAGAGCAAGGTTTACGGCCCAAGGACCCATATCAAGAAACTTCCCTAACAGTATCAAAGCTCGTACTCGATGCTGCTGACTGAGGAGAACCTGAAGAACAACTGGAAGCTGATCGGGAGCTTTGTGAGTTACAGCACCCTGTGTCAGATAAACCTCAAATGCTGTGAGTTGTTCCGTGAAGAAACTGGAGTTCTGGAATTCATAATCTGGAAGTTGTCCAGACTCCTTCATCTCCAACGACGGCAATTGAGCCAAAGCCATTTCCACAGCCAAATCCCAACTTTCCCAAAGAGAATGTTGATGGGTGTCTGGAAGCTGCGGGTATGATTGTGGGTGGCATCCATAAGCTGACATGATTCTCTGCGCTAACAGAAAGTTTCTGAATAAAGCTGCCACCATCAAATCTTGTCTGAAGAACTTCCTAAACAAGGGTCTAGGGAGGGTGGTCCAAGCTATGGTATCCGTAATGGCTGTAAAGATCCAGTTCAGCTCTCCCAGAGGAGTGCGCCTTTCTTGCAGTCTACCAGGAAGCTTCTTGGCTCGCTCTGGTGAAACTTGTGATGGGAGAGGGTTTTGTAGAACGAAAAACCACAAGGCCATTTCAATAGGGGTAGTCAGGCATGCTGTAAAGACATCAGCAGGTAGTAGAGGATTTGTGGGTAAGTTTTCCTTAATTCCACATGCTGCCAGGTGAATGTAAGGCTTATAGTTTGTAACTACATAATTTGGGTCCTTTTTCGAGTTTTCAAGCTCTTCTTGTTCATGCTTGTCAACAAAGCGATGAAAGTTATTCAAGATGTTGCCCGAATCTGAACAGTCCCAAACGAAGAACGTGGGTGCTTGTAGCCATGTTTGTAGATCATACAATGATACCGGAATATACTGTGTGTAGTTCTTGTTAAAGACCCAAATTTCACCAGATGAAGTAGGCTTTGGAACGCCATGACCATTGTAATGGAAGAGAACTCGTTCTTCTTTAGCATTCCGACGGAGTGATATGCAGAATTTCTTCGTCTCTTCGACGGATGGATCCAAATATTGCTTATATCTTGTTCGAATAGCCAATGTCTCGTACTGGGCTTGTAAAGATTTTCCAATCGTCTCCAGAGCCTTTTGTACAGGAGGATGTGAAGGATCCTGCCAGGCCTCCAACTTTGCACCAGGTGTGGTCTTCAATTGATCGGGTGGCTCGACTCCAATGTTTAGACATATTGCTAATGCGGCAGATACGGTCTTTAGACGATCCTTCATCCGCCAATCCTGAAGTTCGTATCCTAGTGATTTAGGGTTGCCCGTCGTCTCGTGTCGTTTATCCGTAAAGTACATATACCAGTTCTGTTGTACAATGTCAGTACTTGTTTCTAAGCCTACGTCCACATGGTCAACTCCAAGCGCCCAGTCCAATGGAGATTGAAGGCGGTGATGTTGCGCTCGACGGAACGCTGAGCCATTGTCTGAAACTGCAATCACACATTCGCGCTTCTCACAGAAATAGTCTGCGCCTTCCCAATCTTTGTTCGCTACGGGCGAGAAGAAATCGAAGCTTTCAACAAAAGAGTAACTTAAACTCCAAACATCAAAATAATCATCCATGCTTCAGAAAGAAAAGGATGTTATGAGATATATAAGATAATAGTTTGCTTAGGTCCAGGGGCTGACGGGTTGAAACAGCGGCATATTCAAAGGTTTGGTAGACTGATGCCGGGCCGAGATACTATCATTAAAGGAAAGAACAACTTACATTTGCTAGTTGCGAAACATACTCTTCAGACGCATAATTAGTTCCAAATCCATGCCTTTCTCCCCAATCTTGTATATCTTCTTCCATATCTACATTTGCATCTTCACCTCTCGGTCCATAATCACTCTTGGATCTTTGAAGTAGTGCAGCTGGTCTGCGCCGTATTTTATCTGGCTCCGAATCGTCTTGTGATGATTCTGCAGTAGCTCCAGTCGAAGTTGTTGGCCGTGTGCTTGATTCATTCTGCGATGTACCATTGATGCGATCCAAGTTCGCCGGCGCATATGCAGATCCAGCTTCTACGCCGTTGACAGGCTGTATTGGATCATTGCTAACAGTATGCCTCGAATTCATGGTTCCTAACGTGCCATTCATACCATTTATTGCCGGACTCGAATGTGGCAGTTGTTGTGAGGTCGGCACAGTGGCAAATGTATGGTCTTGAGGTTGAGGTTGTTGACCTGAAGGTGAATTTAAATTTGGAGTGGGATTTGATCGGTGTAGATTGTGTTGTTGGCGGGGAGCTCCATGCTGAACGGCAACTGCTGTCATGATCTTAAATGGAAAAAATTACCATTCTTCAAACACTAATTGCTCATTGGATACTTGAAAGTCGAGAAATGAATAAACTGAGGCGGTCGAGAGGGCGGTCGAGGTCTCGGCAAGGCTTCGCGATGAGTTGGTTGAAGGTCCTCTAGAAAGATAATCTATATCTGAATCTCAATGACTGTTAGGTGGGAATTTACATCAAAAGACAATCAGACGCGTGGATCAAGAGAACCAACAGTTCCACGACGATTACTAAATGACGTACAATTGGTGAATTATATACTACCACGAGGTTGAAAAAACAATTTCGACTGGAGGCAGAAATTGTATATATATTTGGGTGAATCGAAATAATATCTATGAATATGCGGAGAGCGCTGGAGTACCTATGTACCTGTGAGTTGTGAAAGTAGCAGGATCTTTATCACTATCATACCTTGAAATTAGATGTCACGAGCTGGAAATATTTGAATGCAATAGAATGACCGCCTTACAAATTGGACTTAGCACAACCTTGGAACCGAGATCCCGCTATATGTACCGACGCCACAATATAACGTGGCTGATGTGGATTATTTTGGCCGGCATGGATGGCTGACTAAGCATGGCGCCCTTGTCGTTGTGGCTCAAAATTGATAAGATGCGAAGATGCAGGAGATGGTGATACTACCTACCTATACAGAGATGGGGATGGGGTATACCTGAGCAGACTGAAAGAATCGCTGAATCACATATATCATATATATGATGACTTACTATTAATAAGGGTTTCCAAAGTTTATCAAGCAAAGCTCTCGACTTTACGTGACCCCCCATTTCTTCCCTTCTCAATCCATCGGAAGATTGACCTGATACAATGTTGTACTGCATTCTCAATTTACTCAATTCTCCAGCTTTCCATTCCACCAAACTACTACCAATCGCTACATTGATTCTGGTCGTGGGTTTCGCATATTTCATGCACGATGCAAGTTATTGTGACCGGAATCTTGTCGGTGCGCAAAGGAGATCTGATTGTTACCTACCACCCAGTGTTTCGGTTTACCAAGGAAGAAACATAGGAATCGTTGTACCATTCAACACCTATATATTCATTACCTTGTTCCAGAAAAAATCTTTGATGCCCTTGGGGACCACCCTCTACCATGGATTGCTTCAATTGTACGCAATATGTAGGTAGGTCATCTGTCAAACAATTGCAAAGGATTTTAGCCGCCAGAAGTCTGAACCCCCAAACATCACACCTCCCAATCATATGTTACATGTTCTGTTTCTTCTCCAAAGTAAGTATTAGACGAACATAGAGGAATTTGGTTTTCATGAGGATGGTGTCACCGTTGCCTCGGATCCTCCTCAGCTTGAAAAGATCTCAAAATGGTACTGCACTGCATAGAGAAGCAGAAGCGTAGGATGGTCAAAGGGTTTATTTATCGATCTCGTGGATACATCGCCACTGCATCGCCCAGATCTTTATCTCTTCTCATTTGTTGAATGAGGATGTAAGAAATATGACAGCATGCAGCTGGATAGTTCAAGATCAAACGCCCAGCCATGATTGGACCTATAGGAAAGCAAATGTATTTGACCGACAAATCTTCTGCCTACCTAATTACTGCAACAATGGAAACCGACGCACTGCTAATCCGGGATCATGAATAGATGATCGCCTTCGTATGAGATATCTGGTTGGCTGGATAAGTCGAAAGGGAGGCATTGCTGCATACTAATCAAGCGGGTGCCGACATATTTTGTAGCTACGATTCAACCCCCTTCATCATGGACCCCCTCAGAGATTCCATGAATCGTTCGAGAAGGATTGAACAGAATTCTACGATATCTGGAGAAAAGATGACGAGTAAAATTTAGCTACTTAGTAATTCAAGTAAAAGGAAACATGAAAGATTTATCTCTAATTTCACGGTAGTCCAAATGCATAGCAGTAGAAGCAAGGGCCTCAAATGTCGATACTTAATTTGATAGCCCTACCCATAAATTACTTGGGTATGAAATGAAACTTCTAACCGTCGATCGAATTGAGTAAAGTGCGCATGAATGAGAAGACGATGAGTGGAACAGAAATGAAGGGGAAATGGTCCAGAGTCAGGGGTACATGACAATGGCTGGACGTGAACGATGAACTATTAGAAATCCTACATCGTACATCGTACATACAAATCATATCATATCAACTTTAGGGAATTGTGAGAAACGTTCAGCAGGACAAGAAGAAAAAGACTCTACTAGGGACTAGCTCTAGGTAATGGGTATATATCGCAGAAAGGCACATACTAGATGCGTTAGTTTCGTACTCCGTACATATATATATATACATATATGTGTGTGTGTGTGTGTGTGCGTGTGAATATGAATACGATATGGATGTACAGACGCGGAGGCTGCAGAAGTTGGGAATTTTTGACTCAGTCTCTTTTCCACCAATATGATTCTCATGCTTTTCCTATAAGACAAGCCAAATTGATATGGCTCTAGGGAAGGGGGAAAAGGGTAATCTCAAGGGTAATCTCAACGTTAACCGTTTCCCCCTTTCCTTTTCCCTTTCCTTTTCCCTTTCCCATCGTTCTTACCACAATAGCTAGGGAGGTAGGTAAGTACTAGGTAGGGACTGGGTAGGGACATTATCACAATACACTTTCTTCCACGTCAATATGAAGCCTTTATTTGCACACCATTTGACGAATGTATTCATTGTCAGGGTATTGTCAGGATTGGATCTCAACCCCTGGTATATCTCATTCCAAAATTGTGGTTCTTTGGTACCTGAAAGATAAAACAAGGCGTATTACCATGCTGCACGGCGGATGAGGCAATAAGTTGCAAGGTAGTAATATTTTATACTTTGGAGTTGGTGGTTGAACTTGTATCCTCCTAGGTCGCTGCACACTGGCACATATTCTTCTAGGTACTTCCGTCGAGGCAGGGCAAGGCAGGCAGGGCAGGCCTTCCAAGATCAGGTCAAGCGATAAAATTTACTTGTACGGAGTAGATACGAACAGGAGATTCATCTCAACTCAACTCAACTCAATTCAACCCAACCCAACTCACCCTCATTCACTCACTCATACATACATACTCCCAATTGACCCTCCTCCAACAGAGTTTGTCTTGGAATAGAGAAACTATCACATCACATCGTATCCCATCCTGTCCTATCCTATCCTGTCCCATCTCGTCCCATCCATCTCATCCCATCCCATCTCATCCCATTCATTCCATTCCATGCCATCATCAATCTCCCAATCTTCCCCATTTTCATCATCACCACCACAATACTTTAATAATATTCGGAGCTTTTTACTGTCTTTTCTTTTTCTTCTCCATTAATACCGTTTTTGCGCGTCGAATCATCCAATACATTATTCGATTGTTTACTCTTCATACTCATATTCATCTTCACAGTCATATTTATATTCATATTCATATGGTTTACTTGATAGAAACTTTGAATGAATTCCCATAAAATAAAAATAACCACCAACACTTCTAAATCCCAGCCATTTCTAAACAGCAAGAACCCTGGACATTGGCTCAGACTTAATCCCTTTTCCTGAGACTTTCCAAACCAAGTTTAATAATAATCTCGAATTTCTCAAACATAAACAACAATCGTTTGTATTAAACGAATTCGCTATCTCGTCGAAAAGAAAACATTTATCCACTTGCGCTGCCGGCACTGGGAAGAAGTGAAAGTGGTTGGCCTCGAATGGCACGATGGCATTCCTCTTCAAGAGTAAAAAGAACGCAGATAAGGCTCAAGCCTTGAGAGATGGCGGCAATGGGGCTCCTGGTTCACAATCATCCCTCCAGAGCGAGAAAGGTCGGATGCCGCAACAAGCTGAGAGGACGACGACCCCTTCGAGTAGTGTCAATAATTCCATTACGTCGCTGCAAGGGGGCAATCCAGCGACGCCAAGTCCCGAACAATTAAACGGACGACGAGGACCAAACCCAGAGCAAGCGCAGGATCTCGCGGTAAGTGATTGGCAACATTTTTCTGAATTTCGCAGATCGCAATTGCTATATTGAGATTGGATTCAAATACTGATTGATGATGTCTGCGTATAGTTACGAAACGGCGCGCCGCCGCCAACACAGTCAATGAATTCAAATCCTAATTCCTCATTATACCCATGGTCGCAGCGAAGAATAACATATACAACTAATCATCCTCCTCCTTTTCCTCGATATGGCGCCGCTGTCAATTCCATGGCCTCGAAAGAGGGTGAGATATACCTCATGGGAGGTCTCATCAACAGCTCAACAGTAAAGGGTGATCTATGGATGGTGGAAGCGGGTGCAAATATGGCATGCTACCCATTGGGTACTACATCTGAAGGTCCAGGTCCAAGAGTCGGCCATGCAAGTTTATTGGTGGGAAATGCCTTTATTGTATATGGAGGAGATACCAAGATGGAGGATTCTGATGTTCTAGATGAAACTCTATACCTCTTGAATACTTGTAAGTCAGCCCGGCCACATATGGGAAGCATGCTAAAGAATCATTAGCTACGAGACAATGGTCGAGAGCTGTTCCAGCAGGACCGAGACCGGCCGGGAGATATGGGCACTCACTGAACATTCTGGGCTCAAAAATCTATGTCTTTGGTGGTCAAGTCGAGGGATATTTTATGAATGATTTGGTTGCGTTTGACTTGAATCAATTGCAAATTCCGACAAATAGATGGGAAATGCTTATAAAGAATAGTGATGAAGGTGGGCCTCCTGTCGGACAGATACCCCCAGCCAGGACAAACCACTCTGTGGTCACTTTCAATGAGAAGCTTTTCTTGTAAGTCTATAACAACGAAAGAGCCGATAGCCCGAACGACTACTGATTCTTTTAGATTTGGAGGAACTAATGGCTTTCAATGGTTTAATGATGTTTGGTGCTACGATCCGATCACTAATGCATGGACTCAACTGGATTGTATTGGATATATTCCAGCTCCCCGAGAGGGCCACGCCGCTGCAATTGTCGACGATGT